TTTTTCGCCATATGTGCATGAAATGTGTATGCTAAAGAGCTTATTTCAGCATTTAAAGTGATATGCTGTATTATTTTGAGATGCTTCTCAGAGTTTCTTGACCTTGTTCTTGTTTCAGATATAATACTTCATGCACTCAAATAGATGGTTCCTATGGAAGTGCATTGGTGCTACAGTCTTAAAGTGTTTATTGTCTTCGTAGATGATACTTTCATCTACATAGAAGAATGTTTGCTACTTTTTCAGTTATTTTCATTAAGAGTTTTCTTTATTTTCACTACTTACTGAAATCATTTTTAATTCTCAAACCATTAGTGTTGCAAAAATAAAAGAACTGAAATAAAACCCATTTAACCAACCTTTGAAACATTTACATGAAAAGTCACTTCATATAATGTTCAGATAGTACCTCAATAAACACATATCATGTTTCAAAGTCAAACAAATTGTTCTTATTGATTAACCCGAAAGTTACATAAAACTGTGAGTGAGTGAGGGAGTTAAAATTTAATGTCACATCAGCAATATTTATAAAAGCCATATCGTGATGATACATATAACAGACAAACAGAGTACTTGAAAATTTATTGTTACAATAAAAGTTGATAATTAGATAGTAAATACCTTCTAAGTAGATCATAAGATCATGTACGTAAATGAAAATATCATCTATACTCACATGCAAAAGCAACACAAGTCGAGTATGAAGTATACATGTACGTAATTTTCAACATTGAATACAAGAAATACCAACAGGGTCAGATAGACAAAAAATTGAAAATATTTCATTGGCTGTAAAGACTCAGATGATATTATTGAGTTTTTGAAGGGTAAAGCAGTTCCACAGGTTCTGGGTGCCGTTGTACAAAGCGGTCTTAGCGCTAAGGTGACCGTAACTCCCATACCTTAACATAGGCTTAAGGTAGCCTTAGCGCTAAGGTTGTTTTCTACAACGGCACCCTGGTCAATAGCCAATATGTCAGTCAATAGCTAGTGTGACCCTGGTTTCTCTCAATATGAGTTATGTGGGGCAATGTTGAACAAGGTGTGATAGGTCCGATTTTTTGCACAGCCTTATACCCACTAATGGTGGTGACAATTTGTGCATGTTCGATTTCACGAGAAATGTGTGCATGATATCCACATGTTCATTGGTATGGTGCATTTTAATGATTCCTTCTTTTGACGTGTTTTCTACTAGGGCCTTCCAAAATGCAAAGACAAATTGTTGATAAGACCATCATGCTTCACTATATGTCTAATACCCACATGAATTTAGGGTTCCGAGTTTGTTTCCTATTTGGATAAAAACTTGCGTTTTCGTGTATGATAATTTGGTTTTTAGACAAGTCACAAGTAGGCTTCCATAGATTTCAGTAGCTTATGCAGTCGGCTATCATACATCTGGTATTTCAGTGTATCCATAAAATCTTAAAAAAACATCTCTCCCATTTGTGTGAAAAATGTCCATTGTTGATTTAATAAAATGAAGACTATGCAAGTGCCGTGTCATGTACAAATTGTTTTGTACAAGCATGTCATGGTATACATATCTGACATTGCTTGAGATAAAATTAGCCTGCCTAACAGGAGAGAACGTACACAATTCGAGACAAGGTCAGTGTACATCGGGACGGGGGGGGGGGGGGAGGACAGGGGGATGGGAGTAGCTATTTGAATGAATGGACCACGGGTGAACTAAATGTGCCCATAAATCATTGACTCTATGTTTTCTATGTAAGTCAAAGAAGATTGTATTGAAGCCAACCCGGTTGTGTGGTGAATGAAAGCAAAATAGATGTGATTCAGATGTCTGGTAGATTTTCTTATTAGCCTACTTTCATCAGTTAAAAGGCATTTAAAGTGAATATTGTATTTCATATCAAAATTTAAAATATTTTTGCTTACATTATATAAATTGGTTCTCTGTACTGCGACCTTAAACAGTGTGTTGTATGTATATTAAAAAATAAAACTAGAACTGTAGTATAAAATATAATATAAGCCTTATTTCCATGGCACTGACTGTTTATTTGATTTCACAATGCAAAAAAACCCAAAAAATCTTTAATGCAGGAACTTAAAACCAGAAATAGCCTGTTGGCAAGTCTCTTCTTAAAGTCCTGGTATTACACCGTCTGGTTATAAAACCTGTTCAGTGTTTTCATTTTCCTGCTTCAAGTGTTTAAAACTTTTCATTCATTTTATTCTCTATTGCTTACAATAGTTTGGGCAAAATTATGTGCAATGTTAGCAGCTGGTAGCACCAACTTACTGTAATTTACAGCAGTAGCAATCATGATCAGGTTACCACTTCTGGAGATGAACCTAACTAGTCTGAGAACATGTACAAGTATCATATATGCCATACTTTGACTTGTAATAAGTTTGACAATAGAGAGTCAATCATTAATTTCCCCCACAAGGCTTTGTGATTTTTATGTGTGTAAATAACAATGGCTAGTTACTGGGAGGTGAATATTTTGTGCAAGAAACTTCTGGGCCAGTTACTTACCAGTATATTTCCATGTCATAACGATCCCTAATGATCCGGGTTAGAATTGGTGTTCAGTGACCCATGTTTGTCATTAAAGGCGACAAATGGGATCGGGTGGTCAGGCTCGCTGACTTGATTGACACATGTCATTGTACACCAATTGCACAGATCGATGCTCACTTAACTGTTTGGTCCAGACTCATATTTACAGACCACCGCCGTATAGCTTGAATAAACAACAACAAACCCTAAATTTTACAAGATAACAACTCCGTAGAAATGATACTGTCAATGATGAGATAATAAATTGTTTTAGGGATTGTGAATATCAGTGTGTAGGTAGCAAATGCAACTGGCATGTGATTGGACTTTTGCTCATCTATTCCTTCCCTTCCGATCTCCGTTAAGAGGTAGATGCTCCTTCCTTACAATAATGACTATGTACTGGCCTTTCATGTTCTGCAGTAGTTTATGATTTTATGTGCGCTATTGTTGCATTGAAAGTTAATTTTCTGTGACATTAAGTTACCTGTAATCACATTACATTAACTGCCTTTGATGATATTTTCAAAGTCCCCAAAATGAATTTTTTCAAATTGAGCTGTATTTCTCATTGATTAACAACATTTTTCAGTTTAATATTCAGGCTAGTCTTAATACTGAGTATTCAATGGTAACAATGCATATGAAAAACTTGTAAAAGAGAATATTCTTCTCTTATATTGCCCATTTCATATTTTCTGATTGTATCTTCAGCGAGCCTTCTCAAAATAAACAAGGACGGTATATATTTCTGACATGCACCTATCAAATATCTCCTGCTTGTTTACTGACACGCTCAGAGGTTGTCAGACATGTATTTTCATTTCATGAAGGGAAATATTTGTCCTGTGTGCCTTTTGCATATAGTGTTCAATTTGTAACACGAACATACAAGCAGCATACCATGTCTTAAATCGATACCAGTAAGTAATAATGCCGACAGGATTCCATGACTGACTAATTAACTGGCTGTGATGGTTTTGTAATAAACAGCCAGCTGATTATGTACCTGTCTGACAAGAGAGAGAGACAGCAGAACTGCAGTATGATCTCTAGTGTACAACTGACTGACTGAGTTTGGTTTTACGCCGCTTTTAGCAATATTCCAGCAACATCACGGCGGGGGACACCAGAAATGGGCTTCACACATTGTACCCATGTGGGGAATCGAACCCGGGTCTTCGGCGTGACGAGCCAACGCTTTAACCATTAGGCTACCCCACCGCCCCTCTAGTGTACAAGATTTTACAACTACTACTTTATATCCAACAGGGTAATAGGTCTTAGTTTTCCATTATCCACCACAAGTTTAATTTTGTTTTTGTTTTCATTGAAATTAAGAAGGCATTATTCACACCACACTAAAGACCTCATTATTGAGGGTTTAGGATGTATTTCTCACATTGCTGGATACTGTGATCTAGCAACTACTCAGTTTTCTTGCATAATTAGATACAAGCGACAAAATCATTTCCATGTTCAAAGTAAAAATCTGCTTATTGAACTGTATGATCACTACCATAACAAGTGTTTGTGAAATGCTATCAAATAGGGATGATGTCGGGTGGATCAAATAGGGATGATGTCGGGTGGATCAAATAGGGATGATGTCGGGTGGATCAAATAGGGATGATGTCGGGTGGATCAGATGATGTCAGGTGGATCAAATAGGGATGATGTGGGGTGGATCAAATAGGGATGATGTCAGGTGGATCAAATAGGGATGATGTCGGGTGGATCAAATAGGGATGATGTCGGGTGGATCAAATAGGGATGATGTCAGGTGGATCAGATAGGGATGTCAGGTGGATCAAATAGGGATGATGTCAGGTGGATCAAATAGGGATGATGTCAGGTGGATCAAATAGGGATGATGTCAGGTGGATCAAATAGGGATGATGTCGGGTGGATCAGATGATGTCAGGTGGATCAAATAGGGATGATGTGGGGTGGATCAAATAGGGATGATGTCAGGTGGATCAAATAGGGATGATGTCGGGTGGATCAAATAGGGATGATGTCAGGTGGATCAAATAGGGATGATGTCAGGTGGATCAAATAGGGATGATGTCAGGTGACAAAAAGGTGTTGTCATGCCCAACATTTGGCTCCTATCACAAACACATGCAAAGTCAGCTCAATTTTTCAAATGAAAAAAACACATGGTGGAACATGCAGTATAAGTCAAAACAGAAATCTGTATTGGACATTATGTGGAGGTGAACTATAGAATGTTCCTTTTCCAGTATTGAATAATCAACAAACAAGGTTAATGAACAAGAAGCTCTTTGAATGATAATTGTCTGTATCCTGTGATGTTAATGTAAATTGAATTGATAACCATCCTTCCTTCCTCTATAAATAAAGACCAGTCCCTAATTAGACTATTAGCTTATACTACAGGAATTGGACTAGTGGCAAAAGTCACAGACTGCTTCTTAACCATAACTCTCTGCTTCAGGTGGTGCTCCGTGCAGCCCAGGCAGTTCAAGATGTCGGAACATTGAGAAGTGCATCCCTGATACACGGCTCTGTGATGGCTTCAATGATTGTGGGGACAATTCTGATGAAGAAGACTGCCAGACAATAGGTAGGTGTCATGATTAAAGGTTTTTATTAAAGCTTAATCAAGCATAGTGATTTTGTTGTGTTTTGATTAAAGGTTTTATTAAAGTGGGCAAGCATTCACTTTGATTATAAGTATTTTTTGGTTAAAATAACAACTTCTTGCAATATATTGCACTATATATCGCAATATATGCTTTCGCACCGCACTTTATTGCAATGTGAAAATTCTCTGCAATACCCACCCCTAGTCTTCGGTGTGATAAGCCAACGCTTTAACCACTAGGCTACTCCGCCTCAATAGAGTAATTGAACAAAGGCTGTAAAACATGTAAGGGTCTGTGACCTCAGAAAATGGTCAAACTTGAGTAATGTTCAGTAGTCAAGTGTTTGGAGATTCAATAACCTTTCTGGATCAGCATGAAACAGAGCTAGATTATCATGAGACATGCTGCCTGTTGGCAACCCCAGCTCAAGGTGTTTCTGTCATCTAGCTGCACATAAGTCTTGCTGTAGATCATATTGAAATTTGCAGAAACTTCTGAACTGTTCTCGTTGTCAAGTTTATCACTGTTCATGATAAATATTGAGTCACATGAACCGTTTGGTTTTCTGGGTTAAATGGATTGGGTAGTTGGTACCCAGTGGCCATGGATTGGCGGTCACTATATCTGTCACTGGATGTTCGGATGCAGACTTGCTTCCTTACCGAAGTTCTGTCGTATATCTCGAATACCGCTGAGTGAGTCATTATGCCATAAACAACACACACACACACACATACACACCAACATAAAGCTGCAAGAACCTTTCTGGATCAGCTTACAACAGAGCTGGATTATCATGAGACATGTTTTCATAAGACACCTTAGCTCTTGTCTCTTTCATCTGTTTACACATGTATATGTCTTGATGTAGATCGTTTTGAAGCTTGCAGAAGTTTCTGAAGAAGTCTTAATGTCACATTCATGTTTATTCATTCAGACACATGATGTCTTATTTTCCATGGTAGAAGCCAACAAGCAGTGCGGAACAGGTCAATCTATGTGTAGCAGTATTCGGAAATGTGTGGCTGACTCTCAACGGTGTGATGGACACGATGACTGTGGGGACAACTCCGATGAAGACGGCTGTCAGAGCACAGGTAGAGTCACAACCAGCATGCTCAGATAACATCACTCAGACCCATCATCTTCATGCACTCATCACTTGATAAAGCCACACATCTTATAGCATCACTTCGGGGGCTGCGGTATTTTGGTGTATTCAGGGGGCAAGGAACCAGTCGTTCATAAAGGTGGAGGGATAGATAGGGTGTCAGCAGTTTTGATGGTTAAGCACTGAATATAATTATATACCAGTAACCAGGCTATTAGGAATTAAAAGCTTAAATATTTTTATAAACTTTTAGGGTAAAATCTTAAGTTGAGTTAAGAAGGGAGAATGCACTGGGTTACAATTACCGCGGTCAAATTCTTTACCTCTTGTATGACCTCCCTGAAAACATGAACTGCGAGCAAACTTTATTATATAATGTCTGTTTCTCCAGGAACCTTTGCAAATATGTGTCTTATACTTTTTCAAGACCTTCCTTTTGGAAGCTGTCATATGATGATATGATCCTCCCTCGATTCTCTTTGGTTTTTAATTACATTGGCCAAAAACTAACAGATGTCTTTCTTGTACAAAAGGTTAAACCAGGTATGGAAAGTTTAATATATTCTGGATTTGCTGATTATGTGCTGTTCTTTCCTACATGGTAGATTGTCAGCTTTGTCATCAGTCTCTCATGTACCCATAAATATCTGCTAAATAAGGAATATATTGTATATAATGCCAATATTTTGGTCCATCCCAAGAGCCTGGATCTTTTCAACTTGGGTTCCAAGTGATGAGTGAATGCTCCATCTAACAATATAATCTAATGGTAACAGCATGATAGTTATTGAGCATGAATTCATTAATCAATAATTGTTTGTCACACTGAGCTAATAAGATGTCTGGTAATAACCTGCCAATCAAACAGATTCTACATGCTGACATCTCTTCCTGTTCTTGTCCACCATTATACTAACACACATGAAGTGTGAAGTAATCTGATGAAACATCTGAACTAATATGGAGGGGTCGTTGTTGGCTCGGGTGATATGGCTGTTATCCCCAGGTACTTTCTGACATACAGAAATGTGCTTTAACCAAAGTCAGAATACAGAATGGTACCCGGTACCTCAAATGGTGGATATTACTGTTCCTCAAATTGGAAACAGTTCATTTTGGTTAAATTGTGCCAAGAGAGAGAGATGCATGTTGTGTATTGGCAGATTTCAGTATATACAGCCCTGTGTATTCCAGTATATGCTTGTCTTTGCATCCTTTTGCATGTCCTGCAAAAGATTAAAATCTCCCATTTTCAGAAACATTAAGAGAACTGTGAAGGATTAGAACTGGTCTTCAGCAGCCCATACTTGTCGTAGAAGGCAACTAATGGGATCGGGTGGTCAGGCTTGCTGACTTGATTTGACACATGTCATCGTAACACAATTGCATAGATTGATGCCCATGTTGTTAATCACTGGATTGTCTGATCCAGACTCAATTATTGACAGACTGCCACCATACAGTTGAGATATTGCTGAGTGCAGCATTACACCACAAACAAACAAACATTTAGACGAATATGTGCTACTATTCTGAATATATCCAGTTTGTGTACAGGAAGCTTGTTGAACGCTCTGAATGAACTCATGCTAGAGTACCATTCTGTATTCCAATTTTGGTTTGGGTATATATCTGCATACGGAAAAGTACCACGTGTGCATATCCTAAGGACCCGACAACGGCCCCTTGAAGAACACTAACTGTTGTGTTGGCGATGTGGTAACTGTACATGTACCTGCAGATGGAAGGGATGAGTGTAGTCCTGGCTCCTCCATGTGTCGACGCATCAGGAAGTGTGTGTCTGACTCACAGAGGTGTAATGGTCATGACGACTGTGGGGATAATTCAGATGAGGAAGACTGTGTAACCAATGGTACTGGTGCTCAAGTTTGGTGAATGTTTTCTAGTAGTCGTAGTTGTAGTGTTTGTCCAGTAATAACAGCTTTTAATAATAGATCTAAGTGGTCTAATTGCTTTTGTAAAAGAGTTAATATATTTAATTAGTAATAATGGTCTGAATGACAATGCATGTATAGCAATATAGCATACATGATTGACAGGTGTCAATCAGTGTGGGACTGGATCCTCCACATGTCGCCGAGTCAGGAAATGTGTGGCAGATTTACGTCGGTGTGACGGATACGATGACTGTGTCGATAACTCTGATGAAGAAAACTGTCAGACTTATATGGAAGGTTATTCTAAATTCTTTTAATTCTCCAAGCAGTAAGATGTATAAACTAGAATCATATTAATTGAAAATCTAACATGGGTGAGGTACACCAAAAGTTTTCTAAAAATATTTCAATCTTGTAGAGGTTACTTAAAAAAATTAATTAAAAATATGTTCATCACAAAATTACCATTACTTATTCACCAGAAACCGTCAGAAATCCATGTGGTCGTGGAAGATCTATGTGTCGTAGTGTCAGAAAATGTGTGGCCGACTCACAGCGTTGTGACGGATTTGACAATTGCGGGGATAACTCTGATGAGGAGAACTGCGAAACCAAAACCAAAGGTTGTTTTGTTTTATCTACCAACCTGACTCTAAGATATTTCCACTGACCTGACTCTAAGATATATTCTCTTAAATGTGTACTAAGTAAACCTTTAGAGTACTGAGACCTTGGATCTTAGAAACTTGTCTGTTGATACACAAAACAAATTTAAGGGCAATAATATCTTGTAAATTGTGTATATATCTGCAATGGAAACTAATGTGTAGACAACTATGAAAAATTTGAATTGTTAGACCAGTAAGACCTCCACATGGCACACTTTCTCAAAACAAGAAACATAAGTGGCAAATATCTGGTAACTGTTGAGTAGATTATGCCCCATTGATGTATACATGGATCAATATTATAAAATAAACTATACACAAATGAAGAAAGCCAATAATATTCTCAGACACCAACAGCAATCCATGTGGTCGGGGAAGATCCATGTGTCGTAGTGTCAGGAAGTGTGTGGCCGACTTACAGCGATGTGATGGAAGAAATGACTGTGGTGACAACTCAGATGAAGAGAATTGTCAGACAAAAATTAAAGGTTAATATAGAAGGATCTATAGAGGTAGAATTCAATGATACAAATGTGTAGGTGTGGCTATAATGTATTTATCAAGTAAACATGCAATTAGTTTTTAGCCACATCTTTTCCTTCTTTCTTGTGATGACAATTAACATATTCTGGTAACTAACTAATTTTGGACAAAAGGATTAGAATAGTTTGATATTGAAGTGTCATTTTGCAAATTTTAACAGACAACAACAAAAATCCTTGTGGCCGTGGACGATCCATGTGTCGTAGTGTCAGGAAGTGTGTGGCCGACTCACAGCGATGTGATGGAAGAAATGACTGTGGTGACAACTCAGATGAAGAGAACTGTCAGACAAAAATAAAAGGTTAATTTGAAAACATCTCTAGTTGGTAGGTTTTAATAGGAAGATGCACATGAATAGGACTGGAAGTATTATATTTTCTTTGTTAAGATAACAAATCTAAAATTTGATTTTTATTAGACTCAGCCATGCAAACATACTGACATTTCAGAAAAGATATCATTTATATATAGTAAATGATTTATTTGTATTTTTTAAATATTAAAATATATTGTACTATAATCTAGTTATTATGTTGTTTCAAAGTATCATTCCACAACTTTTAACAGACAACAACAAAAATCCATGTGGCCGTGGACGATCCATGTGTCGTAGTGTCAGGAAGTGTGTGGCCGACTCACAGCGATGTGATGGAAGAAATGACTGTGGTGACAACTCAGATGAAGAGAATTGTCAGACAGAAAATTAAATAGGTTAATATAGAAGAATCTGATAAAACATGCAACTGTAGAATATAATGTATCAAGCAAGTAAACCAAAGATATTTGTTTCTTTCTGTGATGACAATTAAGATATTCTGGTAACTAACTAATTTTGCACAAAAGATAAGAATAGTTTGATATTGAAATGTCATCAAATTTTAACAGACAACAACAAAAGTTTGTGATGGACGATCTATGTGTCTTTCTTGTGATGACAATTACAGCGATTCTGGTAACTAACTAATTTTCAGACAAAACAAAAGAATATAGAAGGATCTATAAGGTAGTTTGATATTGAAGGTGTGTGTATTTATCAAGCAAATTTTAAATTAGACAACAACAAAATCCTTGTGGCTAACTAATTTTGGACAAAAGGATGGACGATCTATGTGTCGTAGTGTCAGGAAGTGTGTGGCCGACTCACAGCGATGTGATGGAAGAAATGACTGTGGTGACAACTCAGATGAAGAGAATTGTCAGACAGAGACTAAAGGTTCTGTAAATTGAAACTCATTCTTCCCTATCCGAGGTTTACAGTATGTATCATGGGCCCCTCTATCATGGCAGTAGATAATGTTGTTGTTATTGGGATTATGAACTCCTACTGACATTTGGCATTTTATGTATATATTTTCAGTTGACTGATGTTTAATCTTCATTGCTGTTGCAAATAATGTGGCACACAATGACAACTCGTTCAATATGATCGCGGCAATCCTTATTGCCTAGTTTGAGCCGGAAATTGAAGCAACTCTCTATCATGATTCTGCTATTTTCTTACTATGGCACGTGGTACAAGCAAATGATACTGTCAAACGTTTACTTAAGACAAGTAACGGGTCTAAATAGTTTTGATATTAAAAATTATTTCGGAATTTCATTAAGATTAGTAAGATTGGTAATATCATCATGTTTTCAACCAAAACATAGGAAACCTCTATTCATTTTGATACAAGGTAACAATAGCGCAACAAAATAATTTTTGCTGCTGTGTGCAGGGTGAAGTTGCACAATATGTCACTTCTTGTTATAGTTTTAGGTTGGAAAATATGCAAATGACCTTATAGTCAACGCAGGATTACTCTTGATGAAGTAAATTTTGATTCGTGCAAGATGCAATGGCGGTAGGGGTCATACTAGTTTCAAAATGTCCCTGAAGTTACTGCAAATATGAATACTTTAATATTTCAATGCTTGGACATGGCATTCCAATGAAATAATTGACCTTTTCAAGAGCAATGGATTTTTGGGGGGGACGTAATTTGCATATGTAAACAGCTGAAGTGGGTCATGGTATTTCCAGCTTTCTCGATGTTTTTATGTGCCACGATAAAAAGAGAACCTGTGATGATAGAGAGTCCCGGTATAATTTGGAACCATTATAATGAAAACAAATGTCTTTCCTAACCTTAAGAAAGCAGTACAGTAGTTCTATAGTCAACCTTACCACTACAACTGTCCAGAGTCTATCTTAAGGAAAAGGTGGTTGGGTAGCCTTGTGGTTAAAGCATTAGCTTGTCACACCTAAGTCTTGGGTTTGAATCCCCACATGATGCAATGCGTGAATATCATGTGGGACAATAACATCCCTTGATCAAACCTCATGCATATTGATCTTGTGCACAAAGATTTAAATAATGAGCTGAGCTAGCTCTGATTGTCTTTGAAATACAAAATGTATGAAATGTCCAAATCATTTTTCAGACAACAACAACAATCCATGTGGTCGTGGACGATCCATGTGTCGTAGTGTCAGGAAGTGTGTGGCCGATTCACAGCGATGTGATGGAAGAAATGACTGTGGTGACAACTCAGATGAAGAGAATTGTCAGACAGAAATAGATGGTTAGTATTAAAGCATCACTAATTGGTAGATTTCAGTGGGAAATATACCGAATCGGTATATGGTCCCTGGTGTTCTGCAGGATTCAGGTCAGGGGCCTTTGCTTTTCAGCAGATATATCCTTCCAATAGGTGATATAATCAGGAACCACGGTTTCATCTTTCATCTGCTATACAAAGTACTGTGACTATGTGCCCCATTCCACCCAGCTGTGAAGGGGTACCTCGTAAGGATGAGAAAGTCGCAATATTTTGGTGCGCCTAGTGGTTGCAAGAGATCCCCGGGGGGTTGAGATTGATAATGCGATGTGCCGTTGAGATTGGCATCCAATGATTGAGGGAAAAATACCAGCGCCTTGAGCATGTACTAGTTGTGTGCATATGTTCGCTATATAGAGAATCTCACCCAAGTGTCTACTGATATCAATTATATCAACACAAGTTGATAAAGTTACAAATATCCGAGGCTTGCCGAGGATATTTTTACCTTTATCAACAAGTGTTGATATAATTTATTGTATCGAGCAGGTGAACATGAAATTTGTTCTAGTGAGATCATTTTCTTCTCTCTCATCATTTCAGTTAACATATTCCAGTCACAAACTATGTTTTGGACAAAAGGATTAAAGCAATTTAATGTTGAAGCTTCCCATTAAATGTATCATTTCGCATATTTTTAACAGACAACAACAAAAATCAATGTGGCAGTGGCCGATCCATGTGTCGTAGTGTCAGGAAGTGTGTGGCCGACTCACAGCGATGTGATGGAAGAAATGATTGTGGTGACAACTCAGATGAAGAGAATTGTCAGACAGAAATAAAAGGTTAATATAGAAGCATCTGAAGAAGTAGAATACAATAAAAACATGCAACTGTCTAGCCGTATATATAGTGTATCGAGCAAGTAAACCTGTTTGGGGGTCAGATCTTTTGCTTCTTTCTTATGATGACAATTAAGATATTCCAGTAACTAACTATGTTTGGACAAAAGGATTAGAACAGTTTGATATTGAAGTGTCATATTGCAAATTTTTCACAGACAACAACTTCAATCAATGTGGCAGTGGACGATCCATGTGTCGTAGTGTCAGGAAGTGTGTGGCCGACGCTAGACGTTGTGACGGATATGACGACTGTGGTGACAACTCGGATGAAGAGAACTGTAAAACCAACAATGAAGGTAAATGTCAATAAGTTAGATTTTGTTTATTACTTTTAATTTTTTTGGTGCTGAAATATAGAAATATATATGTTCACCACATTTTGTTTGAATGTTGAATCTGTGCCAGATGTCTCGGTGTTGACTTCCATATACCCTCTAACTAAACCCATGTATTCTTTGTTCCAAGCCCATGAAGATCCGGGTTAGAACTGGCCTTCTACAACCAATGCTTGTCGTAAGAGGCGACTAAGGGGATCGGGTGGTCAGGCTCGCTGACTTGGTTGATGCATATCATCGTATCCCAATTGTGTAGATTGATGCTCATGCTGTTGATCACTGGATTGTCTTGTCCAGACTCGATTATTTGTAGACCCCTGCCATATAGCTTGAACATGTTATTGGTTGCCACATGTTATTGGTTCCCAATTGCGTAAATCAATGCTCATGCTGTTGATCACTGGATTGTCCTGTCCAGACTCGATTATTTGTAGACCCCTGCCATATAGCTGGAATATTGCTGAGTGCAGCGTTATAGAACAAACAAACAAACAAATCTTGCACCAAAGAGGATCTTAAGTGTGTGGAATGTTGTTAGCGTGGAAGCAAGTATTTTTGATGATTGTCAGGAAATAGCCCTGTATAAAACCATTTCATTTATTGTAAGTAAAATCCCTGAATTTTAAACCACCTGAATCATCAGTTAATGTGTATCACTTCCTCAGGCAACAACAACAATCCATGTGGCCGTGGCAGATCCATGTGTCGCAGTGTGAAGAAATGTGTGGCCGACGCTAGACGTTGTGACGGATATGACGACTGTGGTGACAACTCGGACGAAGAGAGTTGTGAAACAGGTGGGATAAAAACACAATAATTACCAAGCCATGTTGTAATCAAATACAATTCATTTGTTACAGTAGACAAACTACAATGACTGTATATCATGAGTGAGTGAGTGAGTTGAGTTTTATGCTGCTTTTAGCAATATTCCAGCAATATCACGGGGGGGACACCAAATGGGCTTTACACATTGTACCCATGTGGGGAATCGAACCCATGTCTTCGCATGGAGCACGGTGGTGTAGTGGTTAGCGTGCTTGGCCTCTCACCGCGCCAAAGGCCCGCGAAGCTTTAGTAGCAGCTTTGAAAGTACAATTCTGTCAGGGTAATAATGTAACGCCAGAGGGCAGCATCGTGTTGGATTTTAGGCTCAACAATTAGCATTATTATTATATTTTTCCTTATCCTGACTCATGACGAGCAAAAGATCATGAGTCAGGGTAAGTATAAAAATATCAATTTTACTTGAAAATTACATTATTATTATGAAGAGAGATCGCTTTAACCTCTAGACTACTGCACCGCCCCAGTAGAATCTGTCAGTATGTTGCTACTGAGATATAAGTTTGAGATAGATATATGAGATGTTTTCATTGTAACATGTTTCTTTCTCATCTAGAAATTCCCACCAATCAGTGTGGGAGTGGGTCTTCCATGTGTCGTGGTGTGAAGAAATGTGTGTCCGACGCCAAGCGTTGTGACGGAAACGATGACTGTGGGGACAACTCAGATGAGGAGAATTGTGTTTCAAGTAAGTACCTACTTTTACTTTAGGGCTTTTCATTTTGATTCCAACTATTTCTTAATTATGTGTATGTGACTCACTGACCCGTGAAGATCCGGGTTAGAATTGGTCTTCAGTAACCCATGCTTGTCGTAAAAGGCGACTAACAGGATCGGGTGGTCAGGCTCACTGACTTGGTTGACACATGTCAAAAAGGTTAATATGGAATCATCTATAGAGGTAGAATACAGAAACGCTGCTAATGTGTAGGATTGGCTATAACAGATAAACATGAATTTAGTTTTTAGCAAGATCTTTTGCCTCTATATTATCATGACAATTAGCATATTCCTCTCACTAGGTTTTGGACTAAAGAATTAAAACAATTTGATGTTGAAATTTTACCATTTAAATGTATCATTTCGCAAATGTTGAACAGACAATAACAATCCATGTGGTCGTGGACGATCCATGTGTCGTAGTGTCAGGAAGTGTGTGGCCGACTCACAGCGATGTGATGGAAGAAATGACTGTGGTGACAACTCTGATGAAGAGAATTGTCAGACAGAAATAGATGGTTAGTATTAAAGCATCACTAATTGGTAGATTTCAGTGGGAAAATGTAAATGAATATTATAAAATCTCTGCTGAGATAACAGATAACGTTGTCATGGAAATCGAATCCTGATTTTACCTCACTTCGGACAACAGTTAATGTTGGTGTTCTGCAGGATTCAGGTCAGGGGCCTTTGCTTTTCAGCAGATATATCCTTCCAATAGGTGATATAATCACCTAAACCCTTGTATTCTTTGTACCAAGCCCATGAAGATCCGGGTTAGAACTGGCCTTCTACAACCAATGCTTGTCGTAAGAGGCGACTAAGGGGATCGGGTGGTCAGGCTCGCTGACTTGGTTGATGCATATCATCGTATCCCAATTGTGTAGATTGATGCTCATGCTGTTGATCACTGGATTGTCTTGTCCAGACTTCGATTATTTGTAGACCCCTGCCATATAGCTTGAACATGTTATTGGTTGCCACATGTTATTGGTTCCCAATTGCGTAAATCAATGCTCATGCTGTTGATCACTGGATTGTCCAGACTCGATTATTTGTAGACCCCTGCCATATAGCTGGAATATTGCTGAGTGCAGCGTTATAGAACAAACAAACAAACAAATCTTGCACCAAAGAGGATCTGAAGTGTGTGGAATGTTGTTAGCGTGGAAGCAAGTATTTTTGATGATTGTCAGGAAATAGCCCTGTATAAAACCATTTCATTTATTGTAAGTAAAATCCCTGAATTTTAAACCACCTGAATCATCAGTTAATGTGTATCACTTCCTCAGGCAACAACAACAATCCATGTGGCCGTGGCAGATCCATGTGTCGCAGTGTGAAGAAATGTGTGGCCGACGCTAGACGTTGTGACGGATATGACGACTGTGGTGACAACTCGGACGAAGAGAGTTGTGAAACAGGTGGGGATAAACACAATAATTACCAAGCCATGTTGTAATCAAATACAATTCATTTGTTACAGTAGACAAACTACAATGACTGTATATCATGAGTGAGTGAGTGAGTTGAGTTTTATGCTGCTTTTAGCAATATTCCAGCAATATCACGGGGGACACCAAATGGGCTTTACACATTGTACCCATGTGGGGAATCGAACCCATGTCTTCGGCATGGAGCACGGTGGTGTAGTGGTTAGCGTGCTGGCCTCTCACGCCAAAGGCCCGCACGAAGCTCTTAGTAGCAGCTTTGAAAGTACAATTCTGTCAGGGTAATAATGTAACGCCAGAGGGCAGCATCGTGTTGGATTTTAGGCGCAACAATTAGCATTATTATTATATTTTTCTTATCCTGACTCATGACGAGCAAAAGATCATGAGTCAGGGTAAGTATAAAAATATCAATTTTACTTGAAAAATTACATTATTATTATGAAGAGAGAACGCTTTAACCTCTAGACTACTGCACCGCCCCAGTAGAATCTGTCAGTATGTTGCTACTGAGATATAAGTTTGAGATAGATATATGAGATGTTTTCATTGTAACATGTTTCTTTCTCATCTAGAAATTCCCACCAATCAGTGTGGGAGTGGGTCTTCCATGTGTCGTGGTGTGAAGAAATGTGTGTCCGACGCCAAGCGTTGTGACGGAAACGATGACTGTGGGGACAACTCAGATGAGGAGAATTGTGTTTCAAGTAAGTACCTACTTTTACTTTAGGGCTTTTCATTTTGATTCCAACTATTTCTTAATTATGTGTATGTGACTCACTGACCCGTGAAGATCCGGGTTAGAATTGGTCTTCAGTAACCCATGCTTGTCGTAAAAGGCGACTAACAGGATCGGGTGGTCAGGCTCACTGACTTGGTTGACACATGTCATCGGTTCCCAATTGCATAAATTGATGTCCATGCTGTTGATCACTGGATTGTCTGGTCCAGACTTCGATTATTGCCTGACTGTCGCCATATAGCTGGAATATTGCTGAGTGTGGCGTAAAACTAAACTCACTCTCTCATGTGAATCAATATTGAATAATAGTGCCAGGCATTCATGACATATACTGTCCCACTGGTTGCACTCGTCACAAACACATGCAAGGACAAGTCAATTGTACACTTGAAAAAATATGTTGAAATATGGTACAAGTCAAAATAAAATATGTTGACAGCTCAGCAGTTCTTGAGTATGCCCTTTAAGATGCCTCATCTGTTAGTTTGTAATAGCTTATGGATGGACGTGGTCCATTTCAGTTAACACATGCCAGAAAGGCGGTTCCATGTGTCGCAGTATCAAGAAATGTGTGTCCGATGCCAGGCGCTGTGGACGGATACGACGACTGTGGCGACAACTCTGATGAAGAGAACTGTTTCGATTCAAGTAATGACCTGTGTTTACTTGAATGCACTTAAATAATAGTCATAAAACAATTTACACAATCATTAAAAGAAGTCTCTGTTTTAATCTGAGTCTGTTGTCCAATTCCAACTGAATTATAGGCATGTTGTTATGAAACATTATAACTGAGTAATGATAAAAGGTGTTCACAAACAAGGAGTGTACTCTGTCCAACTATAGTCTATTTGCAGTGAAAACGTACCGATGAATTTCACTTTAACCCATTCAACACTGCAGGCCGAATAATCGGCCACAACGTTATGAGTCCCCAGACACCGGAGGCCGATTAATCGGCCAGGCACTAGTCACGTCAAAATGAGACATAATTTTAGGAACCTACCTGACTTATGATTCATATATTAAATCTATCACATTTAACAATGTCTGAAAACACTTATTAAATTTCAATTTATCATATATTATCAGCAGAATTAAAATTATAAAGTATTTTTCGCAATATTATTGAAAACAACGATTCTCAGACACATGCTTTGGCAGCGGGTCCACAATAACATTGTCAAAGAGCAAAGTAACGATGTTTCGAGGAATTCATTAAATAAATTGAATAAACTAATGAATAAAATCAACAACAGCATTCATAAAAGTTGTCAAACGTACAAATAAAATTACTATTTCCATCTTTTTGTGCGATCGTGTAATGCAAGTCAAGTCACTGACAAATGACATCTCGGGTCTCGCCGCCTCAATCTTCACTCTCGGACACGATGTTTAATGCGAAAATATAGACATGAAGCATTTTTGTCACAGGTCATAACCTAGCACGATACGTCCAATAGGTTCCATAATTTACGTATAGGTAGCGATTTCTTGCTTAATATGTTCAAAATAGCATTATTTTACCCCAAACTTTCGTCTAAATCTAAAAGTTTTCGTTTACGAGGACGGTATCCATTGCCGTAATATGATTGACTGCCTTAGGTCACGTGTCTGATTTTGACCAATCACGACCCTTATAGCAGACTGTAGCGAAAAAGCGCCATTAGAAACCAATTTTATCCAATAAAATCGCTTCTTACAACTGTGAAAATACTCTTGGCAAGGGTTCAGTGATGTTGTTGATGCTCAGAGCTTTCGAACGATACGCGACATCAAACGATTCGCCTCCCATGTTATTCATACGAAGCTTCGAAAATGGAGGTATTTTCCGTTGTTATGTCATGCTACCGAGCAGAAAGCCACAGATATCGGGAAATAGGCGACCATACATATTATATAAGAAATCTCTTTATAATAATTTTCTGATGACGTAAAAATAAAAATATAAAAGAAAAACGCACGGGCATGTTATGACATGTCACAAATGGAAAAAAATCGCCATAGTTGTTGCTTCTGTCGTGGTTTATGTGGACGTTATAAATGTAAGCTTGCAGTTTCATTCAAAAATAATTTCATTTAAGTTGTAGTTGTATTATTTGAATAATATTATAAAAAAAACCTTCATATTTATCAACAGTAGGATTAGATCTTTTAAATGGTGTAAGGGATGTAGTAGCAATAACGTTTTACAAGCTTATAATTTCCTTCATAAACATAGGCTTCATCTATGACCTCAGAGTCTCTGGGAACTCAGTGTCATGGCAGTAAATGCCTCTGGTTGACTGGTGTTGAAAGAGTTAAACAAAAAAGTAAATCAAATAAAGTGAAATTAAGATTGCGAATCCTCATAATTTTACCTTGCCAATTGAACATTTGAATCTCAGAATTTATTCATCTTAGGATAAAAGTTGTTTAACACTGACTGAGTTTGGTTTTACGCCGCTTTTAGAAATATTCCAGCAACATCACGGCGGGGGACACCAGAAATGGGCTTCACACATTGTACCCATGTGGGGATTCGAACCTGGGTCTTCGGCGTGACGAGCCAACGCTTTAACCGCTAGGGTACCCCACGGCCCCCAGTTGTTTAACAAACTATCATAGATTCAAATCACTATTATTGGTTTGTATTACAAGGGGGTAAGCGCAGTAGTTGGAACACTGAAACAAACGATCGTGCGCTACGTGATGAGCGTTAACTTAGACCAACTCTACTTGTTCTCGGTGTTTCATTTAATGTGCATACCCCCTTGTAATACAAACCAATAATAGCGATTTGAATTTATGATCGTTTGTAAAACAACTTTTATCCTAAGTTTAATAAAATTCTTATATTTAAATGTTCAGTTGGCAAGGTAAAATTATGAGGATTCTCAATCTTAATTTCACTTTATTCGATTTACTTTCTTGTATAAAGTGAAATTCATCGGTACGTTTTCACTGCAAACAGACTATAGTGCCGCAGATCAGAAACGCATACAAGGGAAAGTAAATTGATCACTGGAAATAGACATATGGTGCAAATAAAAAAATGAGAAACTGTGCAAAAGCATACATATATATCATTTGGAAGAATTTAGCAACACCCAAGTCTTATGTATTACCATACGTCATGGCATATTTACTAGTAATGTGAAAGAATCGTGTATTTCGTGTAGTATATGTCACTTGTTATTGACTGATAAATGACAGAGTTGACTGTTCGGCTGTTCCTAACTAAGTCGTGCAAGACCCCCTCATCTGTTTCTTTGTCTTGGACACCCGTGAAGATCCAGATTAGAATTGATCTTCAGTAACCCATGCTTGACGTAAGAGGCGACTTACGAGATTAAGTGGTCAGGCTCGCTGACTTGGTTGCCACATGTCATCGGTTCCCAAGTGCGTAAATTGATGCTCATGCTATTGATCACTGGATTGTCTTGTCCAGACTCGTTTATTTGTAGACCGCCACCATATAGCTTGAATATTGCTGATTGCGGCATAAATAGAGAATCTCACCCGAGTGTCTTTTGATATCAAATATATCACCACGAGTTGATAAAGTAACAAATATCTGAGGCTTGCCAAGGATATTTTTACTTTTATCAACGAGTGTTGATATATTTGATATCAGAAGACACGAGGGTGAGATTCTATTTATCATCAAAAATCACTCTTCATTAGTTTTCAATGAAAAATGTACATCTCTGAACACAGTACTGCCATTAGATTTGCAGTGCAGCAATGTCATAACATTGTGACGTCAACAAGTTCATGACGTCATAGCATTGTTAGGGCATTGTACAAAATCTACTAGGAGATATCGTCTAATCTCACACAAGAGATATCTACTGTGGAACACAGTTTTGGATGATAAAACTAAACTCACTCTCACTCACTCACTTACTCTTTGTCTTGGCTTATGTATGGATGTGGTTCCATGTTTCAGTTAACACATGCCAGGAGGGCAGTTCCATGTGTCGCAGTATCAAGAAATGTGTGGCCGATGCGAGGCGCTGTGACGGATACGACGACTGTGGCGACAACTCTGATGAAGAGAACTGTGATGGTGAGTACCAAATCTTGTCATATGTTTTTCTAATGAAATTACAAATAAACCAATGTATGTAGATAAGCTAAAACAATTAGTACAGTGTCACTTTTAACATTACTTTAGATACATCAGGTCGTATTTGATTAGCCCAAACTCATGCAGGTCATTAATTTTTACAATTTGGTGAGGAGAGATGAGTGAGTGAGTGAGTATAGTTTTATGCCACTTTTAGCGATATTCCAGCAATATCATGACAAGGGGTACCAGAAATGGGCTTCACACATTGTGCCCATGTAGGGAATTGAACCCAGGTCTTCAGCATGATGAATGACTGCTTCAACCACTAGGCTACCCCACTTCCCCTGATTTGAGGTGAGGTGAAATGGGGTTTAACATTGCGGTTTATTGTACTTATACAGCATCAGACGTGTACAGTCAGATACTCTTGTGTTGTACCTGTGAAGATCCAGGTTAGAATTGATCTTCAGTAGCCAATGCTTGTCGTAAGAGGCGACTAACGGTATCGGATGGTCAGACTAGATGACTTGGTTGTCACATGTCATCGTATACCAATTGCATAAATCAATGCACATGCTGTTGATCACTGGATTGTTTGGTCCAGACTGCATTATTTACAGACCACCACCATATAGCTGGAATATTGCTGTGTGTGGTGTAAAACTAAACTCACTGACACACTCTTGTGTTGAAGCTCAATGAACCATCAGAGACACCTTGAGTTACCTGAGGTTTGACACAACTGTAAAAGAGTGACTTAGTAAAGAATATGTAGGATCTAACTTCAAAGTTAGACATGTCGTATCTTGACATGACTGTGTTTCACTGTATGCATGTTCGTGGCAGGACTAGCTGTTCTAAAGCTAGTTTTATAGAACTAGCTCAATGAGACATCATGCCACAGTTTAGCATGGATACCCCAAACTGTGGGCTCACCTTTCCTTGTTTTTTCCCCTTTATGGTTGAGTGAGTGAGTTGAGTGTTGCACCGCTTTTAGCAAAATTCCAGCAACATCACGGAGATGGACATCAGAAATGGGCATCACACATTGTACCCTTGAGGGGAATCGAACCTGGGACTTCATTGCGATGAGTGAACACTTTAACCACTAGGCTACCCCACCACCCCTTTCCCCTTGATGACAAATGCAAGGCAAGGTAACAAAAAGTACCATCTTGTAACACCTTTTGGTATGGCATGGCCTGGAGTTCAAACCACCAGCCATACTCTATGTTGGTGTACACTCTGGCTCCTAGTTCATGGAGACTACAGCCTGGTGGCTAACACAGTATGGTATGGGGTCTTTTCATATGCTAGCCATCAAATCATCAGCTTTGTCAAAGTGATGCACTCTTGCATGACAACACTATAAGTATTCATACCGAAATATCACGCTGTAATAAAGAAGTAAGGTATCTTGCCTTCAACTGAAAAAGTTGGATTCAAACCCGAAACTATGTACATTTCTGAGAACATGGATCGTTGAGCTCATGTTTGTAAACATTTAATTCATGTAATGAAAGACGACTGAATCCTTCAAGTGCTCCCAAACTCCATCAAGTACTCCTGCCTGTATTGTCTCAGTGAAATGTACACCCACACTGGCGGTGATGTGAGAAGACAAGCCATTCACATACCTTCCTCTGATCTCACCTGAGGGCCTCTTTGCCTCGTGTTTGTACAAAGGATTACATAATCATGAAGATCAGAGCTAATTCTAGTGATAAGTATAATCTGTTTAGATGGATATTAGCCCCTAAACTTACACTGAGGTTAAGAGTGTATAAAGACTGAAGGAGCTTCACTAGAGCTGTTGAAACAGTGGGGGATGATGTGGACATGGTGGGAGGGATGGTGTCTGGCTAATCCTATTGTATGCTGTAATGAGGGCTTGAACTCTGGATCTGCAGGTATTAAAGTAAACATGGGATATTAAGATTATCTGGGTGTGCCAGTCGCTGGTCTCAACACAGGCTAAGCAGTATAGGTACCGGGGTATGGGAGACAGGAGATTATCCTCACCGTCAGATGTGTGGACTTGTATGGCTAACATCATGTCACATTTACTTGCGGTACAAAGGAAGCAAACAATTAAGAGATGAACATTTTCTTGCTTTCAGTCCAGACCTGGGTTACTTGTAGATTTATCTCACTTGATTGACTGAGTGAGTGAGTAGCAATATTATAGCAATATCACTGTGTGAATAGACACTGCAATTTAGAAAGTGGTCAAATGTAACATGTTATATTTGGGATTGCACTTTCTTAGTAAAGTACAGAGTCTAGTACTTTTGTTGGGTTGAGTCCCATCCGGGATTCAAACCCACACCCTCAGAATCAGGCACCTAATCGCCAGCATACAAAGTCAGCTGCCTAACCTGCTCAGCAACTGCGGCTTCAACAAAAATGGACTTTGTGTACCCCTCTGATAATTGTAATATCACTGTGGGGGACACCTGAAATAGGCTACACACATTGCACCCATTTGGGGAATCAAACCCAGGTCTTCAACATAATGAGCCTATGTTTTAACCACTAGACTACCACCCAGCACAGTCACCCAGCTTACATTGAAATAATAGCATACCAGTCTCCATTGTCCACTAAATACAAATGCCAACCTTTGGTATGTACAAATGTGTATTGAAATGCCAAGGGTTGAGGACAATGTTTTCTGTGGGTTTTCAGTCTGAATCTGAATTACAGAATCAGCGACCATAGCCTTAAAAACCATTTGGGACTGCAATTCCTCAAGCAGTTTCACCAAACGTTTCATTCTATACCTCATGTCACTATTAGGATCATTATATTGTTCGGTGTCATTCAGAAGACAGGATGTTATGATGTCATACAAAGAGAATGACCAAATTTCAATCTCTCTCTTAACCCCAAAACTAGAAATCCTTTCTTTGGCAAATATATTTCCAAATCCCATTTGAATATTGTTGTAACCACAACTTTGCATTTCGTAACATATTAATTGTACATATAATCACTTAAAACTGCCTTCTGACAAAGACTAAAACCGATCAGCATCCACAGTGATTCAGTTGTCAAATCATCTGTTTCAATCAGAGTGGGCTATTGTAAAATATTAATTATGTTTGTGATAAAGTGTGTTTGGGATGTGAAATATACTGTCCTAGGAAGAAACTTTGTATTTATTTTAAGAGTAATAACAAACATATTATATAACATAATAATCTGCTTTAATGAATGTTTATTGAAAAACTACAAATGTCTCAATCCAGTGGTTCTACTTTGGTTTCATCTACATGGGAAGCCTACCTTTTATATGATGAAACAGTTTAAACACCATAGAGTGAGTGAGTGAGTTAAAATTTTACATAAAATAAGTACATAAATTGATGACAACTATTACTATGCAGGGACTGAATTACTATTCTCAGATTTACTGTTAATTTTCCATTGATGTCATGTAGAGAATGAAAAACTTGGGGAAGGGGCCTCTTCATTGTCCATGACTAGTTCATTATAATCATATCTTTCGCTTCGTTGATACCTCACTGCATGGAGATCTCTGGATGTCTCTATAGAGGTCACGTCAAGTGAACCAAGGCAGCCGGCCAGCATCAGGCTACATTCTTAGCTATCAGACAAGCGGATCTTATTTCTGATTCTCTAATATGAACATGATTGTAGAGATCTGAATGCAAATATATACAGCTGTGCTGTTTCTAGTATGCCAAAGTTAATACTTGTCGAAGATTAATCTAAAGGCACAAAATAAACAGAGACCATATATCAGTATATGGTCTCTGAAATAAATAAGAAACAGATGTTGTTTGTGACGTAAGTTAACTATCCTCATTCAAGGCTACCTGACAACTAACGTGAATTGTGACGTAGTTTCTGAATCAAATGGTAAAGAAATGAAGTCAGATTGTTTCAGAAAGTTTGACCCTGATTGGTCAAAGAACCCATGCATGCTATATTTTGAGTGACTGGTATTTCTTTTCTATTGTTACTTGTTTTTGGTGGGGAAAGATAAAGATACACATTAAATCCTATGACATGAATGTACCCGTGAAGACCTGGGTTAGATTTGATCTTCAGTAACCGATGCTTGTTACAAGAGGTTGACACATGTCATCGGTTCCCAGTTGCGTAAATCAATGTTCATGCTGTTGATCACTGGATTGTCTGGTCCAGACTTGATTATTTCCTGACTGTTGCCATATAGCTGGAATATTGCTGAGAGCGGCTAAAACTAACCGCACTCACTATGACATGAATGATAATGGTGACATCAAGGTGCCGGTCAAGGTTATGACTTGAATGATATTGAAGTTTATGCATGTAATGCCAAAACCTATCCAGTATCTTTCCATGTAAATACTGGTTGAATGACAGCTGTGTAAATGTTTTCTGATGTCTACAGATGACCAGACATGGTTCATCGATTGTGGTACCAGCACCTATGGCTGCTGTCCAGATGGTCAGACATCTGCTGATGGACCCAACCAAGAAGGCTGTCCCAACGTGGCCAACTCAGAGACAGGGAATGTCAGCGCTCCCGCTACGGCTGTTGTCCAGATAGGGTCACACCTGCCGCTGGCCCACACAACTATGGTTGTGAGGGTAATGGGTGTGAGAGGTCGGCCTACGGCTGCTGTCCAGATCGCAAGACCAAGGCAACAGGCCCCAATAATCAGGGCTGTTCATCCTCTCATGGGTCTTTTGATCCAGGTAAGCTGAATAATAAAATTTTGTTGTTGATATTCTGAGAATTAAAAGACAAATTTTGTTTTAATCTTCTTGACTGCAGGAATTTTGTGATGATATTTTCCACACATTTACTGACCATGTTGAATGCTTAATCATTGCATGTATCAGTATTTCTAGATACATTTTTACAAATATTCAGTTAATTTTTCTACCATATTTCATGCTTCCTAACTGCTTGGAAGTATCTTTATATGATTGGCACATCATATATATAATACTTAACCTATACTGTTTATAAAACATTTCCCTGAAAAATATCTATTACTTTCTATTAGACTGGAATATCAGTCCTGTACCCACTCCGTATCACAGCAGCTGAAACATGTCCCTAGCGAAGTAATAATAACAATAATAATAATAATAATGGATTTGTATAGTGCCTAGTTTCCATCATACGGTGCTCAACGGCACTAAAATCACAATCTGATTACCATTACCCTGGATAACCAAAGCTGCTTGTGAGGCACTAGAAGGTTAATAGTCACATGACTTATCCCATCGGGTACCCATTTTCTGCTGGGTGAAAGTATTCAACAGACAAATTCCAGTACTCTTATCCAGCAGTCAGACTGTGTTCGTGTCATGTAACGTCAAACATCATCCATTTTTCATGGTGTCTTTAATATTGATGCGTTCAGAACACCTGGTTAATGTACTTTGGGCATGTTTCTTTCAACCAAGTAACAGCTTACAGTGGGTGTGAAAAGCAATAGAAAGATGAAAAGTATATGAATGGATTATTGGTGATGACACCAGATGTTGGCCAGAAAAGGTATGCATGTCTTGCCCCACCAGCAACACCCACCACTCACAATTTCCATAATATGTATATGTTTGTTGCCTGGATACCACACTGCAGTACTCCTGCCTGGCAACTATTCTATGAAACATGGCGTACAGAGAATATTGTTATCATACATGCGTGGCATTACTGTGAATGTAGTGTCCATCCCGAGTTACTGGAAACACTATCTGTGGTCAGGTCGGGAGGTATTCCCACAATTTACCTACAAATGACTGGCCTCCATACTTCCAACACTGAGTTGACATTCTCACAGGGGGAGGTAACCCCCAATGTTTTCCTTGACCAGATCCCAGATGTTGAAGACCTGAATTTTCTTGATGGCCAAAATAACATAAATATGCAAGTGCTATGGTATTTAAGTTGAATGTAGTCTTGACCTGAACCATTGAAACATGAATCATGGAAACAACATCCTTTCCATGTCATTAGTAAGATGATATGGACTGTTGAAGAGTAGTTCTTGTGGTAATGGTGCTGAAGCAGATGTGGAGGTGGTTGTAGTCTGCACTGATGCTTCTTAATATCTTAGTCACTAATTATTTCCTCCTGAACATTGCTTTGATGAAAACACATAAAATGCTGCATATGTTGTGCAGGATAATAATTGCAGTGTCTTATATTCTCGTCAAGGCCAAAATCATTAGTTGAGGACATGAAGAAACTGCATGTTTTGAAGGAATGCCAAATTGATGCATATGCTTCATGATTTTGTCTTGTTATGATATTTGGCTGCTATCAGCCAGCAGACTGTGAACTCAGGAAGCTTGTTTTGGCTGATATCAGCCAGCAGACAGTGAACTCAGGAAGCTTGTTTTGGCTGATATCAGCCAGCAGACGGTGAACTCAGGAAGCTTGTTTTGGCTGATATCAGCCAGCAGACGGTGAACTCAGGAAGCTTGTTTTGGCTGATATCAACCAGCAGACGGTGAACTCAGGAAGCTTGTTTTGGCTGATATCAGCCAGCAGACGGTGAACTCGGGAGGCTTGTGTTGGCTGATATCAGCCAGCAGACGGTGAACTCAGGAAGCTTGTTTTGGCTGATATCAGCCAGCAGACGGTGAACTCAGGAAGCTTGTTTTGGCTGATATCAGCCAGCAGACGGTGAACTCAGGAAGCTTGTTTTGGCTGATATCAGCCAGCAGACGGTGAACTCAGGAAGCTTGTTTTGGCTGATATCAGCCAGCAGACGGCGAACTCAGGAAGCTTGTTTTGGCTGATATCAGCCAGCAGACGGTGAACTCAGGAAGCTTGTTTTGGCTGATATCAGCCAGCAGACGGTGAACTCGGGAAGCTTGTTTTGGCTGATATCAGCCAGCAGACGGTGAACTCAGGAAGCTTGTTTTGGCTGATATCAGCCAGCAGACGGCAAACTCAAGAGGCTTGTCTTGGCTGATATCAGCCAGCAGACGGCGAACTCAGGAGGCTTGTTTGCAGTTTCTGATGTCCTTTTCCTATGAGTTTTGATATACTCCCAGTAACTACTGCATATCTTGAGATTAATGCGACTGACATTTAGTTTCAGAAGTAAAGGCGAGTGGTTAAAGTATTCGCTTGTCATGCCTGTGACCAGTGTTTGATACCCAACATGGGTACTCTGTGTGAAGCCCATTTCTAGTGTCACATGCAGTGATATTGCTGGAATATGTATAAAAGCGCCATATGACCATAATCACTGACTCTCAGGAGTAAAGGTGCCTTATTAAAAAAATCTATCTAAATAATCTAAATATATAAAATCTAAATGGAGCCCAGAACTAGTTGATTTCAGAGTTGATGTGATCTAGACCAGTCATTCTGGACTTGAGTTCGACTTCTTGTTTCAATGTATTCTCTAGGGTCTGGAACACATGAATTAATGTGAAATGTTGGCGTATCTGCATGTCAGGTTCACTGCACATGGCCGAAAACACTAACATCCACAACAAAGCTCACAATAAACAATGAAGACTGAGTGCTGGATATAGACAGTGCCCCTCATCAAGTTCCTCATCAAGTGTGGCCAGATTGTTTGCCCAGGTTGATTTACTTGTTTTGACGGTCACCAACCGTGTACAGCAGGGTCTTTGTTCTGGTAACCTGTCAGACAATCTAATGACTTATAATTACAGCAAAATACTGCTCACATGTGTAGCTAGTCTGTCATACAGACCCTGAAACAAATATACTCAGCCCTACAGTTCTTTTCAACTGAAATTTACAGCATATAACCAAGACCAAAATCAGTCCATTATATCTATCAGTTGTTTACTGGAGTTTCTATGCTCTCATACAGACCCTTAACCAAATATACCCAATACAGCCAGTGAAAGTCTAGAATATGTGGCAAGTCTAGATTATAACAGTTTCTGCAAAAGAAGAATGTCTCGGGGCTCCTTTTATAATATTTTATTAGTATAATTAAATAACTGTTTCTTTATGTATTAAGGATGTCGTGTTTTTCAGAGACAAGATGTTAGCCTAATATGTAGTGAACATGGTGAATTTTTCATGCTCTCAAGTATGTCCAAGGGATTGGACTAACTCTTGTAATAGCATTTGAAATTTGTACAATTTTCATTGCGAACTTAACCTAAGTAATTTGAATATGCTGTATTGGAGTCACTACTTGTGATTTCATGTGAAGCAGTTGAAGTTAGTTTGTGAAGATAGCAAGTGTTCAAATTATTCAAAGGCATTTAGAAGTTGGTCTGGTAATGCAAGACAAATATATGGATAACAACTTCTTTATTTGTTTCTCACGACGTTTCGGGGCTAGTTCTTGCCCCTTCTTCAGGTGGATCATTATCACAAGACAAATATATGTTTGAAGCCCATTTCTGGTGATATTGCTAAAACCATACTCACTCACTAACAAAAATATGACATGATTGCTAAAAGTGGTGTAAAATTAAACTAACTACGTACCTGTGTCTTCGGCGTGACATGCGAACACTTAACCACAAAGCCACCATACTGTCCCTCTAGGTCATTTAAGATACCACACATTGAAAGACTTGGAAATTAATTTTTGTAGGCAGCTCTCAACAGAGATTTGAGGCCAAGGTCTCTGAAGTGGATATGCTTATAACTTTAGGATAGCTGGTGGCAACTCATGTTAGTAAGGAAGCTCATGGCATAGATTATGTGTTTAAATGTTGTGCTGCAGTGGGGAAGTATTTTAGAAGTTGCGTAACTGTATTGGAAGTGTTTATGCCTTGTTACTGGAGTTGCCTTGGGCAAGGGAGTAAGTAGCATTTGAAATAATCTTAGGTTAACATGTCTGAGATCAGCTGTCATCTGATTGGTCAAGATCTGTCAAAATGGTTCATGATAGTTAGTTCAGGCAGAGACCATACAATAAATATTTTTCAAATATTGTCTGTGATTCAGGTTGGAATTACCTTTGTAATTATTTCAGAAAATGAAACTTGTTTTCTACAATGTGAAAAAGAAAGTACAATGCAGGTTGCTTAAAATTACACATCTAGTTTGTGAATCATTGGCAGCCAATAGAAGTGGCTTGGTTTTTCGTGGTTCTCCTTGAAAGGTTTTACATGTGATATTTTATAGTAATGTGTGAGAAAAATCTAATAGTTTAGCTCAGTCTAAATAATTTACATGCATATTTATCAATGTTGACATGAAATGTGTGTTTATATTCCTCTGTTATGATGAAAGAATAATAATCTGTTCTTTTGAAAATAACAGATAAACCCGTTCAAAACCAGATACGCTTTCCTCATGTGACAAACAAGTATGTTAAAATACAAATCCAGATCTTGGCTTTTAGTCACGATGCTTGAAAGATAGCAAAAAGTGACTTGATAACCCTAAAAAAATAGTTGTTTTACAGTAGATGTGAATAACAGAAACTCTCCAGAGATTGTTAACGTAGGTTGGGTCTGCCGAGCTATCTACAGGGTTGGTGGCAACATCAGCACTCGGGTCTCAACAGGTGGCGTTGTAATGCTCTGTACCCTGGGGATATGGCTGTTAAACACCAAGCACCTTGCCCACACAGCCCTTATCATCCAGTGTCATTACCCGGTATATATATGGAATTTCATATCTATTACTTTCATCTGACATTTATGTTTCAAGGGGATATCCATATTTCAGAAATTTGTGAAGAAAATATACTGTTTTGTAGACACCAATTCTTCCAGGGGAGATGAATCAGTATCAGAGCTTGGTTCTCAGGCCATATGAGACAAATGTTCACAAGTGCATGAAAACAGGTGCATATTGAATCTACCACAGATGATAGCGTAACTGCTGGGTAAAAGAAACTATACACTTGATAATTGGATTTAAGCAAATGTTAACAAAACATTGCAAAACTGAGTAGTCTAAAACACAACTTTGATAGACGTATGAATACATCCCGATCAAATAACTGTTTCTTGTTTGTTTCAATGTTATCAACCATCAAACATATATGCTTTCTTTTGCCTGGCAGGTTTGTTCACCCAACAACAATTTTAGTCTTACGACCTGATCAGGCACGTTTTTCTCATTTTTAGTGATAAATACAAACTGTTGATGAAATTCACTCATGTTGTGGAGATAAGATGCATGTGAAGCAGGAACATATATTTGTTGATATCTCTACATTACTTTGCCGGTAGATTAGACCTATAAAGAGGAAGAAAAACAAATTTATAACTAATACCAGCAAGTGATGCCTCAAGTCAAATTTTCCGGATATGATAAACAAAATTAGCGGTTTGAAAACTTCAGAAAACATCAGAGACCTTATCGAAAATAAACTGCTCGAAATAACAAACACATTTTGCAATGTGTGTCTGATATGTAAATGTATATTTTGAGAGATGCAGCCTAGTTGTATAATTCGCCTTCCTGTAGAAGGGCAATGAGGGTGGCCAGCATTGATTACGTACACAGGGGGTAAGAGAGATAGACAGGAGGCTGATACCACAAATATCTTGGGGTCACACACACACTGAGAGAAAGGTTAGACACAAACAAAATATGAGTTTTACTGTTTGAGAGGTGATTCACCTTATTTCTATTGCAGGGGTACTGACATACAGTACACATCTGACATCCTTCAGAGATTTGTTACATCGTGTGGTTTCAGATGTTTCGGATGTTCAGATGACCTCTAATGATCTATATTGTTACCTTCAAATATGGTATTTGGGAATATGTGAAACATTATTATTGAATAATCTGTTTTTAATAGTCTGGTTTTTTTTAATCTTTCTGATATTCATATGAGTTGATGATCAGTATTACAGTCTTTTACTAGGGACTTTTGGAATTAACAAATTATATGATGTGTTATTATAAAATATTCTGACTTGTTTCCATTGTTTTAAGAGCTATGTGATATTCATGTGACCAAATGATCAACATTACAGTCTTTTACTTGGGAATTTGTTTAATTTACAAATTATCTGATATATTATTATAAAATATTCTGACTTCTTTTCCGTTGTTTTAAGAACGTTCTCATAATCATGTGACCTAATGATAAAAATTAGTCTTTTACAAAAGAATTTTGGAATTATCACATTATTTGTACTACATGTAGTATATTATCATCAAATCTCTCTTTTTGGGTATCTAAGGTAAATAAACACTTGCTTGCAATTTTAAACCCTTGAGCAGAGTGCCTTTGGGAGCAGGGCCTAGATTTTCGAAGCTCTCTTAGCGTTAAAATAGTCGTAAGTTAATGTTAATGTATATCACTTACGACTATCTTACCGCTAAGAGAGCTTCGAAAATCTAGGCCCAGGACCTAGAGTTTCACCCTTATACCTCTACTTGAATTTCACTCTTGCCTTAGGATCTCCCCTTGCCTCACTTATGAATGATGGCAAAATTGCAGTATATTGGATAAAAAGTGAGGATTTTAATGAAGCTTCTTTCACTTTTTTTACATTGTCGAGGAGTTACATTCCTTAATTTTTTATCAATTTGGTCCAGAGTGGGTTTAGATATCAGCTAGAACAAGAATGAGATGAATGAATTACTTGTTAGAGGTAACTGAGGATCACTGGGGCCCTTATTCTCGAAACGTTCATAGTCTTAAGAATTCTTAACTTTGATCGTAGCCAATGTGTTAAGAATGGGCTTAAGAAGTTCGTAGGGCTACGAACGTTGCGAGAATAGCTAGCCAGGATTAATCCCAGCAGCTGTTGGTATCTTCCATGCTTTATCTTCATAATCTCACTGGAGTTGGGGTGGTGGAAAAACTGCAACAATAATAGTATCATTATTGTATATTTTTCGAAAACACCATAGATATATTGCTACAGAACATTCAGGCTAACATAAAATGTAGTCCAAATATGCTTTGGATAGGTTGTTGAACAATAACAAACATGATTATAAACTTACGGATGTACCACACTGTTTTTACTGTTTATTTTCATTCAAAATAAATATATGTATAACAAACTACGGTTATAATGAACTAACATTTGTGATCCCGAGGAGTTTGTTATGACTGTAGTTTAGTGGATTGTGTCCCAAACCTGGCCAGTGTTTAGGAGTGAGTGAGTGAGTTTAGTGTTATGCCGCTTTTAGCAATATTCCAGCAATATCACGGCGGGTGACCCCAGAAATGAGCTTCACACATTGTACCCATGTGGGGAATCGAACCTGGCCCTTTCGGCGTGACCGCTTTAACCACTAGGCTACCCCACCACCCCCATTGTTTAGGAACATACATCTGGCAGTGTGTAACAGGATGTTTGTTCCTGTTGTGAAATTGTTCCTTTATACTATACTTCTCAAAAGGAATTATCTGCGTGGAACAGTTTTTACTATACGAATTTGTCCATTATACATCTGGGGCGGTGGGGTAGCCTAGTTGTTAAAGTGTCTGCTCATCATGCTAAAGACTTGGGTTTGATTCCCCACATCGGTTGCGTAGCGTGAGGTTTTAAATAAAAAAATTAGGGCTGTTATAATTTTGTTATACACCTCTGATTATCCAACACCGTATGTTTATCTCCATTCTACCATAACCGTGTTATTAAAATTAAAAAAAATAAATACATACTGTGTTGGAAAATCAGAGGTATATAATGTGATTATATACCTCTGAATGACTTTAATTAACCAATCACAATCCAGTATTTACTGATGTCATGGTAGAATGGCATTTATTCCATGTGGATCTGATCATCGTTGACATAGACTTTGGTTGATTCATAGACTTTACCTTCAGCATCATGTGGCCTGCCAGAAGAAAAGGGGGAGTGTTCCATCTACTCCGCACAGTGGTACTTCAGTATGGAGATGGGCACATGCTCACAGTTCTGGTATGGTGGATGGGCAACATGCTCAACCAGAGTGTTCTGTGTTCATGTTAAAACCCCAGGTGAGATGTTTAATAGAATAACCTCTGCTTCAAGCCCATGCTTCAACAACCAATGGTTAGTGACTCATATTATTGGGTGGTCAAACAAATCAATGTGTTCATGTTAAAACCCCAGGTGAGACATTTTAATAGAATGACAGCCAATCAATGGTTGTCGAAGAGGCAACTCAAAAATTATCTTCAACAGCCAATCAATGGTTGTCATGGCTTGTCATGACAGCCAATCAATGGTTATCGTAAGAGGCAACTCATATTATTGGGTGGTCAGGCTCACAGCCAATCAATGGGTGGTCAGGCAGGTCATGACAGCCAATCAATGGTTGTCGTAAGAGGCAACTCATATTATTGGGTGGTCAGGCTTGTCATGACAGCCAATCAATGGTTGTCGTAAGAGGCAACTCATATTATTGGGTGGTCAGGCTTGCTGGTTATGATCCATGTCATCATAACTGAATTGCATTGATTGTTCTCATGATGTCAATCACTGGATTGACATTGACTGGTCCGAACTGGATGATTAACAGGCCTTCATAATATGGCTGGAATATTGTTCAGCATTAACTAACTTGATTGCATTAATTCCATACAGAGATTTCCTGCAGGGTTCAGGGGTGGAAATAACTTTAAAATTGCTAGTGTACTCTGGTACAGTGGCACATGTAAAATCACTTGCCCTCATAATTTTTCCACTATACCGGCCATTTTCTTGTTGATTTTTTAAATAAACAACATAATTAATATTGGAAAGTCAACTGGACACCGGTACAGTGTGATATACAAATTTGCTTGCCCAACAGAAAAAAACACTGGACTCGGACGTCGGGCAATGGGTTATTTCCACCCCTGCAGGTTTGGTTCACTAACAGGGATGGTGGCATGGTCATTAAAGCATTAGCTCATCACACTGAAGAACTCTGTTCGATCCCCCATATTGGTTAAACGTGTGAAGCCCTTATCTTGTGTCCCCTGCCGTGATATTGTTAAAATGTTTGTAAGAGCGACTTAAACTGTACTCACTTACTGGTCCAGGAACAAAGGATACTCTCAGTGTTTCAAACTCCCAAAATCCCAAGCATGACAGCCGGACTGGTAACTTAAAAAAATTACCAGTCCGGATACAAACTTGCCTGTCCGGTTTTCAACAATGAATTTTTTTTTAAAACCAGGTTTCTGAATACTTTACTGTGTGTAGGCATCGCAATGAACTACATAGCACTAACAGGCAATGCACTGAGTTTAGGTAAACTGAAAGTACATGTGTTGTGATTGGCTATTGTAAAATGAACTGTCCAATTGTAAATAGTTTAACACAATTATCATAATACCTTAAACACCTCAAACTGACGACAAGCGAACCTGTCTCATATTATGATATATTTACTGTTACGGGTAAAAACACCTACCAGACCACCGGACTGGCTACTTTTGAAATTTGACCGTCCGAGATGAAAATAGACCATTCCGGACGGTCGGGCAGGCAGGAATTTAAATGCTGATACTCTGCCTGCAAATTAAATTCAAACAAACCCTATTTGTTATGCAGTTCTGTGCAATTCTAGTGGTAATGTGGATATATCATAGGAAGAGAGTTGAATTCTCATTTGGACCAGTACATGACCATGTAAGATAAATGTCCATTTTTGCAGACTCCTGTCGACTGCCCAAGGCCAAGGGGCCCTGTAAAGCCAGAAAGCCAAGTTACTACTTCCACCACCAGAGTGGGGAGTGCAAGAAGTTTACTTATGGTGGTTGCCGTGGAAATTCTAACCGATTTCACACAAAGGCTGAATGTGAAAGGAAATGTTCGGACTCCACCTACATTGATTCAGAAGGTGAATATTTGTTCAGTGATATTAGAATCAGTGTTAAAATTATGTGGTAATTCACTGGATTTTATCCAGGAAAGGCTTTATGTTTGATGAAATTTATAGAAATGTCAAGATTTATCAAAACTTCTGACAACTTTTCTTTTCTCAAATGAGCCCCTTCATTGTGCATAGTGCTTATTGATGCTACACAGTAATCTTTTGTATGCAAGTGGTTTTAATTGTTTTGAGTACTACTGCATCATGGCGTAATATATAGACTTTCTGCATTTGTAATTTTTCAGCAATGAAATCTTATTTGATTTTTAATTTGCATCTTTGCTGACAACCTTTCTAATTAAAAACCCAGCAGCTTTATCTACAGTGGACAAGTACGAAAAGAACACTGCATCAATGTGTTAAGAAGGATGAAAAGCTTGAAACATACCGGTATGTTTCTGTTTGTCAGATGATGATGGACCAACAAAGTCCCTGTGCCAGTCATCTCGCTATGGATGCTGTCCAGACGGCCGAACTCCCGCTAGTGGAGCCAACAAAGCTGGCTGTCCAGCTTCATGCCAGGTAATGGCCACAAACTCATAACTGCATCATCGTCAAGTTAATCAGGGATAATATCTGTGGATGACTTGCATGTGATGCCCCTTTATCTGTGTTAAAGGCACTATATCACACCTCACTTCCCTCAAAATAAATAATGCATTTCTCTCAATATACTATCAGCATTCAGGGAAGGTACCATATAATTCATTCCAAATAAAAGTACGTATTTAGATTACAATATTAAATTAAAAAGTTTGAATGAATTAATGCAACGTTGCATTAAATCAACTCTCTCGCCCTCTACCATCCGAATATTATTCCAAATTAACCCGATAGAGTTATGTCCCTTGGAGCACTCTTTATGAATATCCTACACACAACTTGTGATTGAAACCAGATCGGCAAACACTGACAACACTGCGTGTGACAGTTTTTGATGTATGGAGCAATTGTTTACATTAAATATATGGTAAGTGTTCACTGTTTAGCAGCTTTTTGCCTCTATGTTTCAATTATCGATTTCAGGCAAGTCATAATTTAAGGGATAATAAGTCTTTTATTGTATCAAAAGGAAGCTGAGGTGAGTGCATATGCCCCAATATAAATAGTCTAGGCCAAATATTGTCAGAAATGTGTGACATTGTGCCTTTAAAGCTGTCTGTGTGGTCTGGTGGATAGAGTGTCTGCCTACACAATGGATAGTCAGGTTTGATCTTGGGTGTGTCATATCAACCGATGTTAACAGATATTGTTTGTGTGCTTGTGCTTAGGAATGAAGAATTGTGTACTCATTGTCATTACACTGACTCTCAGTCACACTCTTGCTAATACAAGCAGGCACACACTTACATCAGGGGTGGAAATAACTTTAATATTGCTAGTGTACTCCGGTACAGTGGCACATGTAAAATCACTTGCCCTGATAATATTTCCACTATACCGGACGTTTTCGTGTTGATTTTTTAAATAAACAACATAATTAACGTTGGAAAGTCAACTGGAGACCGGTACAGTGTGATATACAAATTTGCTTGCCCAACAGAAAAAAACACTGGACTCGGGTGTCGGGCAATGGGTTATTTCCAACCGTGTTACATGAAGGTCTGGATTGGTCTCCAGCAACCCATGCTATTAAAAGGGATCAGATGATGCTGACTTGGTTGACATGTCTTTGTATCCCAGTTACACAGATTGATGCTCTGATGTCAATCACTGAATTGTCTGGTCCACGCTTGATTATTTACATACACCTGTCCTATAGCTGGAATGTTGCTGCGTGCGCTGTTAAACAGCAAACAAATCAAACAAATCTGCTTGCATGTTTCTGTCTAAGTACAATAATCTTGAATGCAACATTATATCCCATTTCACTCTCACCTCACCCAATTCTGAACGCTATCTTGATTTGTTGTATTGCAGTCATCACAGTATGGATGTTGTGACGATGGAGTCACTGAAGCTCAAGGTATGCATTATCAATCTTTGGAAGAGTCTTCTAATTTCAAATATGCAGAATTAAAGTGCTCCTGTGAAAAAATAAGACATACAAATTTAATCTATGTAAACAGAAAAAGGTAGCTGTGCTTCATATAAAGTGCTATAAAAGTAATGTTATTGACCAAAACAACACAACATTTTGCCTTTCATTTGATTAATGTTTTGTCATAACAAATTCAGTGACAAAACCATTTGACACATGTCGTCGTATTCCAGTTCAGTAGATCAATGCTCATGCTGTTGATCACTGGATTGTCTGGTGCAGACTCGATTATTTACAGACTGCTGCCATATATCTGGAATATTGCTGTGTAAAACTTAACTCACTCAGTCATTACATGAAGCATGGTTCATGAGTGTAGATACAATGCCTTGTGACTTGAACCGTGTATGACAGGGATGACTTGAACCGTGTATGACAGGGATGACTTGGTCTGTGTATGACAGGGATGACTTGAACTGTGTTTGACAGGGGTGACTTGAACCATGTATGACAGTGATGACTTGAACTGTGTATGACAAAGATGACTTGAACTGTGTAAGACAGGGATGACTTGAACCGTGTATGACAGGGATGACTTGAACTGTGTATGACAGGGATGACTTGGTCTGTGTATGACAGGGATGACTTGAACTGTGTAAGACAGGGATGACTTGAACTGTGTATGACAGGGGTGACTTGAACCGTGTATGACAGGGATGACTTGGTCTGTGTATGACAGGGATGACTTGAACTGTGTTTGACAGGGATGACTTGAACCATGTATGACAGTGATGACTTGGTCTGTGTATGACAAAGATGACTTGAACTGTGTATGACAGGGATGACTTGAACCGTGTATGACAGGGATGACTTGAACTGTGTATGACAGGGATGACTTGAACTGTGTATGACAGGGATGACTTGAACCGTGTATGACAGGGATGACTTGGTCTGTGTATGACAGGGATGACTTGAACTGTGTTTGACAGGGATGACTTGAACCATGTATGACAGTGATGACTTGAACTGTGTATGACAAAGATGACTTGAACTGTGTTTGACAGGGATGACTTGAACTGTGTATGACAGGGATGACTTGAACCGTGTACTGTGTATGACAGGGATGACTTGAACCGTGTACTGATGACAGGGATGACTTGAACCGTGTATGACAGGGATGACTTGAACTGTGTAAGACAGGGATGACTTGAACTGTGTATGACAGGGATGACTTGAACTGTGTATGACAGGGATGACTTGAACTGTGTAAGACAGGGATGACTTGAACTGTGTATGACAGGGATGACTTGAACTGTGTATGACAGGGATGACTTGAACTGTGTATGACAGGGATGACTTGAACTGTGTATGACAGGGATGACTTGAACTGTGTATGACAGGGATGACTTGAACTGTGTATGACAGGGATGACTTGAACTGTGTATGACAGGGATGACTTGAACCGTGTATGACAGGGATGACTTGAACTGTGTATGACAGGGATGACTTGAACTGTATGACAGGGATGACTTGAACCGTGTATGACAGGGATGACTTGAACTGTGTATGACAGGGATGACTTGAACTGTGTATGACAGGGATGACTTGAACTGTGTATGACAGGGATGACTTGAACTGTGTATGACAGGGATGACTTGAACTGTGTATGACAGGGATGACTTGAACTGTGTATGACAGGGATGACTTGAACTGTGTATGACAGGGATGACTTGAACTGTGTATGACAGGGATGACTTGAACCGTGTATGACAGGGATGACTTTCTGTCTGCACAGGCCCCAGCATGTATGGATGTGAAGTAGGGTCTGGCAAAGAACCTTGTGAGAACACACAATATGGCTGCTGTTCTGATGGTGTTACCATGGCAACAGGATACAACCAGGAGGGTTGTGATGAGGACGTCGTCATAGGGGAGGAAAATACCAAGGTCTTTGCAGGTCAGTATTTTGTGTCCTCCATTTCCTTTATTTCTTTATGGACAGATAGTCCTCTGAAAGTGAATACTTGTAAATTATATGAATATTATGGTTTGTAGTCGGGAGCACTATGGGCTAGGTGAAAAGCAGGTCATGTTAAACAACATTGGCTATGAAGAGTAGTAGAGTTGGCGACCTTGTTTGACAGCTTGATTCCAGACTGGTTCTAGTGCTTGGTCCTGCACTATACCAAAGCACATGACATATAATGTTTCATTAAGCAAGTAACTTAGTTTGAATTATGCCTCAGTGAAAGGGTACCCAGTAGGATGAGATGGTTATGTGATTGTAATCTTCTAGCGCTTCATAGGCAGTATGGGTTTTTAACTCCCTTTGCATCTAAAGGAAAGAAAATCATTTGCAGACTGTGTCAACAGAGGGCCTTGAGCACAGTACAAATATCCATTTAATATTTATAATTTGTTTACTGCTTGTGCAGTGTGCATTGACACTGATCTGATATTTCAGGTAAACCTAACCAACCTAACCCTTGCTCACAAGACAAAGACTCAAATCGATGCAAAGACTTTGTGGTCAAGTGGTACTGGGACAGGGAGAATAAGCGCTGTGATAGATTCTGGTTCGGTGGCTGTGAGGGCAGCATGAACAGATTTGACAGTGAGGATGAGTGTTTGGGACGCTGCAGAGATGCAGACAAAACCACATCCGTTGAAGTTAACAAGTGTCAACAACCCAGGGTCAAGGGTTCGTGTTTTGCTGAGCTGACACGCTGGTACTTCGACACGTACAGTCAGCGCTGCATGGCCTTCCTCTACGGGGGCTGCGGGGGCAATGATAACAACTTCATGTCGGAACGAGACTGTCAGAGACACTGTGGGGGGAGAGTTGCAACACCTTCACCAACTGCTGCACCTCCACCAACAACGACTACAGAGAGTCCAGGAGTGAAGCCAGAGAAGAGCTCAAGTAAGTGATGGTTGACAATTTTTTTGAACACTTGGATTGTGTATAAAATTAGGATGTCAACCAATCATTTAATTGACAGACCTAACAGGGAGAATAAAAATCTAATGTATGAAACATGGCTAGCTCTTTCACTTATTTGAATATCATGCAACGTACACTTTAATTGCAGGGTTCCAGATTTAGGCACTTGAATTCTGGTTTGTGCGTAAAAAGCAAATACAGTAGAACACGGATATAACGAACTCCAAGGGACCAAGAAATTTAGTTCGCTATATCCGGTGTTCGTTATTCACATTTGACCGCCATCTTGGATTGTAGAGATGTAGAGACACGTATATGCTGAGGCTACAAATCTTTATTCTTGTACATGTATATTGACATAACATTAAAATTCTGAATTTATCATTCACAGACATTAGCTAGAACATGTTTAACAATCACAACAATCTCAACAATATGTTGATTCGCCGCCAACAAGGTTGATGTGTACCGCTTAGTGGCTGAGCTGACACTGAGCTGACACTGAGTGTGTTCGCTAATCACGTCGTTAATTGGGCTTGGGGGTAGTAAATCAGTTTGCTATAGCCGTTAATTCGCTACTCACGAGTTCGTTATTCGCGTATAATTCTAATGATATCATAAAGGATTGTTGACGGGACTTTTAAATTTGTTCGCTATATCCGTTTGTATGCTATATCCGTGTTCGCTATATCCGTGTTCTACTGTATTCAGTTTCAGTTGTATTTTATATTTATGAAAATGTAACAGGTCATAATTATAGTAATGTACAATGTATTTATGATTACACAATGCCATTTAGAAAGTGGTCAAATATAACATGTGTTATATTTGGGATTACACTTTCTTAGTAAAGTACAAATTCTAGTACTTTTTGAGTTGAGCCCCATCCGGGATTCGAACTCACACCCTCAGAGTCAGGCACCTAATCGCCAGCACACAAAGTCAGCCGCCTAACACGCTCAGCAATGTATTTAGACTGTCAAAAATCTTTTACATGGTGACGAAATGAAAAACATATTTCTAATTTAGTTTTGAATTGTTTTTTCTCCAAATTAAAATTCATAAACCAAATGTTAAAAAGTTCTGATCTACATTTCTTGTAATTGAAATAGTTTCTTGTAATAAGTTGTGTACTGTTATGTTTTGGCTGTAAGTATTACAGGGTACACAGGCAAACCAGGCATGACTGAAGATGAACTAAGTAGATACACTTGCTACTGCAAACAAGATGAACGTCATATATCTCTTGCTGCTGTTTTGTGACAGTGCTGATGACCGGTCAGGACTATGTGAAAGTTGGCCGCCACATCCGTATCAAGTGTGATGCTACAACAATGAGCTCAGGCTCTTCACGTTTCATTGAGTGGTTCAAAAATGGACACCGTATGAATGCCAGCGCCAGTCCACGAACGGGCATCACTCTGTCCTTGAAAGGCTACATGATGGTCAGTGAGATGACCATAAAGAATGCTAAAAAGTCTGACTCCGGGATGTTCTACTGTCGCAGTCGGCCAGATGGGATTGTCAAAAGCATGGCTGTCAAAGTTGTAGATGGTTGGTATAACTTGCTTAATTGTTAGGGGTGAAACGGTACGCTAGTACAACGGTACGGTACGTATTGCGGTACAAGGCCTTCGGTTTGGTCCGGTATACGAGATATGATCATAATGCAGAAAATTGACAACAAGAGTCAAACCTTACATTGTTTAATAACATCAAAAACAATAACCATAATCTTTGTTATTTTGAATGAACAAAACTGTCATTTTATGACTAGATAAAAATGATGGTACGTAAACCGAAAATACTGAATTTTTGGATTGCATTACGGTATACCGAACCGAAGGCAAAATACTGCAGTTCTAGTTATACCGCTGTATACCATTTCACACATATTAATTATAGATCTTGAATTAGATCGATGGTGATGATGTTGGTGACTGGATTGTCTATTCCAGATTTAGTTATTTACCATATATTTGCAACCATATAGCAGGAATATTGCTAAGTGTGGTGAGAATTTCCTTTTAATTTTACTTGTGTGTAGTTAGGTTCCTGAGTCATTGTATAGTCATACAAAAATTGCCAACAAATTCTAATTCAAATTGGCAGATCCAGGTTATGGAGCATGGGGTGCACTTCACTCCTTTTCATACTTCTTACATGCCAACTGTTTCCTTGGCCATGTCACTTTAACACTGTGATGTTTAATCATCTCCCTCCACCACCACCTAACCCCTCTCAACACTCACACTTTGTAGTACTCCTGGATCTGCCTCCACAAGAATCCTGTATAGCATTTGAATTCATCTATTTCTCAGACATCTATTACTGTTTCACTGTGACACTTGATATCAAAGGGTGTAATGTATGCATAGAGTTATTGCCCAAACTGTATTGTATTGCTACAGTTTTTAACTTTCACCTTCACCTCTTAAGCCATGAGTTCATGAAGCTGAAATGTACATAGTTGTGACCTTCAACTGTGCCAGGATTTGAATTCCAGAATTCCTCCCATTGTCTGTCAGCACCATATTGTTTCTCATATGTGTTACAAACATGGCAAATAGCTATGACATTCCTCACTATAGTTGAACAGACATGAGGGTGGTGGGGTAGCCTAGTGGCTAAAGCATTGACTTGTCACACCGAAGACCCGGGTTCGATTCCCCACATGGGTACAAAGCCCGTTTCTGGTGTCTCCTGCCATGATATTGCTGGAATATTGCTAAAAGCAGTGTAAAGCCATACTCACTCACTCACTCACTCACTCACTCACTCACTCACTCACTCACTCACTCACTCACTCACTCACTCACTCACTCACTCACTCACTCACTCACTCACTCACTCACTCACTCACTCACTCACTCACTCACTCAACGATCATGATAAACTGTTCACTTACTTAACTGGCAGAATTGTTGATCATTCTCAGTCTTTACATGTGGAGGTTGCTATAACATGTTAACCATGAGTGATCTATTTCCAGCCTCATTTGGTGTGACAGCGTCTCCAAGGACAACTACAACTACAACTACAACCGACTACCCTGACGAATACTTCACCACTCCATCCCCCAGGCCATCACAACCCAGAGGTAGGACAATACTTTTGTTGTAGAACTGTCTTCAACAGGGGATAATCATTGAGTGCGTTTAAGCAATATATCCACAGAGATATCACTATGGTGAAATTGCATCACAATGCTTTGCAGACCTTTGTGACATCATTAGTAACCATCAGGTCATTATGACATCAGTACTTTCGCTGAGGCTGGTTAGAAATACATGTTATATTCAGAAGACAGATGTGTCTGTTAAAAAACTGAAAAATGGAAGGTTGTGGAGAATCCCACAAAAGAGTCTTCTGTGTCTATAAAAGTTTAGACCGCCTCCGTGGTGTAGTGGTTAGAGCATCCGCCCGGAGAGCGGAAGGTCGCGGGTTCGATCCCCGACCGCATCATACCAAAAGACGTTAAAATATGGTACTTGTTGGTCCCTGCCTGGCTCTCGGCATTAATGGGTACAAGGACTGGTCGGCTCGGAGTCAGTATAATGTGTCTGAGTGGGGTATTCATGCTTCACTGCGGCATGGTATCTCAGTGGGCTAGCACTATAAAACCAGCTTAAGTCTAGGCTAGTACAAGCAGCCGCACATACACATACACACGCATGCACGTCGTCATATGAGCGAAATATTCTCAAGCATGATGTTAAACCCCATTTCACCTCACCTCACCTACCTATAAAGTATAAACCTCTAAGGCTTCCAAGTGCATGTGTTGTACCATTTTACCCAGTTGTCTCTCTTTAGCACCTTTGTTGCATCCTGTTGACACTGTTCTTCCTTCTTGTGCCCTACTGACCCATTTTTTCCTGTGAACATCACAGTGACCTTCATGTACCCACTGTGCCTATGTACAGTGTGGGCAATTGTTGTGCCCTATCGACTCATATCCATGTTGTACCCTTGTAGTACCCATTGCCCGCTGTATCATTGTATCCCTGTTGTCTCCATCATGCCCCACTGAGTCATCATTGTATCCCCACTGTATCATTGTTGTTGTATCTATCAAGGCCCACTGTATCATTGTATCCCTGTTGTATCTACAAGGCCCACTGTATCATTGTATCCCTGTTGTATCCATCATGCCACGCCCTGCTGTATCATTGTATCCCTGTTGTATCCATCATGTATCCATCCATGCCCTGCTGTATCATTGTATCCCTGTTGTATCCATCATGCCCTGCTGTATCATTGTATCCCTGTTGTATCCATCATGCCCTGCTGTATCATTGTATCCCTGTTGTATCCATCATGCCCCGCTGTATCATTGTATCCCTGTTGTATCCATCATGCCACGCTGTTGTATCCATCATGCCCCTGTATCATTGTATCATTGTATCCCTGTTGTATCCATCATGCCCTGCTGTATCATTGTATCCCTGTTGTATCCATCATGCCCTGCTGTATATCATTGTCTCCCTGTTGTATCCATCATGCCCCGCTGTATCATTGTATCTCTGCTGTATCCATCATGCCCTGCTGTATCATTGTATCCCTGCTGTATCCATCATGCCCTGCTGTATCATTGTATCCCCTGTTGTATCATTGTGTATCATTGTATCCCTGTTGTATCCATCATGCCCTGCTGTATCATTGTATCTGTATCCATGTTGTATCCATCATGCCCTGCTGTATCATCGTATCTCTGTTGTATCCATCATGCCCTGCTGTATCATTGTATCCCTGTTGTATCCATCATTCCCTGCTGTATCATTGTATCCCTGTTGTATCCATCATGCCCTGCTGTATCATTGTATCCCTGTTGTATCCATCATGCCCTGCTGTATCATTGTATCCCTGTTGTATCCATCATGCCCTGCTGTATCATGCCCTCTTGTATCATTGTATCTCTGTTGTATCCATCATGCCCTGCTGTATAATTGTATCCCTATTTTATCCATCATTCCCTGCTGTATCATTGTATCCCTGTTGTATCCATCATGCCCTGCTGTATCATTGTATCCCTGTTGTATCCATCATGCCCTGCTGTATCATTGTATCCCTGTTGTATCCATCATGCCCTGCTGTATCATTGTATCCCTGTTGTATCCATCATGCCCTGCTGTATCATTGTATCTTTGTTGTATCCATCATGCCCTGCTGTATCATTGTATCCCTATTTTATCCATCATGCCCTGCTGTATCATTGTATCCCTGTTTTATCCATCATGCCCTACTGTATCATTGTATCTCTGCTGTACCCTGATGCTGCCTCCTCTGTTCCAGATGTGTGTTTCCAGGAGGTGAAGCCAGGCCAGTGTTATGGCAGCATACCCAAGTGGTACTACGACTACAAAACTGGGGTGTGTCGGGAGTTCTCGTATGGCGGCTGTCGCGGCAATGAGAATAACTTCAACACCAAGCAGCAATGTGACACATTTTGCAGATCGCAGGGTAATTTATTAACCCTTTTTTGAGAGCATTGCCCATTCTCAGCAACCCCCTAAAATAGTCTCAGGAACATTTGCTAAAGACATTTCTAAATGTTTCAAGGACAATGTAACTAAATTTCAAAGCATTGAAGTTGCTTGAATATTATAGAGGCCATTTTGGATAAAGGACCCTGATTGGATAGTATCAACATAATGTGTTCTTCAACTCTTAAGGGGCGGTGGGGTAGCCTAGTGGTTAAAGCATTCGCTCGTCATGCCGAAGACATGGGTTCGATTCCCCACATGGGTGCAATGTGTGAAGCCCATTCCTGGTGAACCCTGTCGTGATATTGCTGGAAAATTGCTAAAAGCGTCATAAAATTATACATACTTACTCAACTCTTAAGTGACAAAGACTAAAACAAAATCTTCTTTTCAGACATCTGTATACTCCCCTACGAAACAGGACCATGTAGAGCACTGATTGCACGATGGGCCTACGACAGTTCCACTAATGAGTGTCGAGAGTTCACTTATGGAGGCTGTTCAGGTAACCCCAATAACTTTGAATCCAAGGAGAGCTGTGAGCGCAGATGTAGGTCCAACAGACCTGACACCAACATGGGCAATGACGTCTGCATCCTCCCTCGTGCAGGGGGCACCTGTGACGGCTATGAAATCCTGTGGTACTATGACTCCGACAGATCAAAATGTCATAGGTTCATCTACACAGGCTGTGCTGGCAATGGCAATAGGTTCAGGACCGAGGTGGAGTGCAAGGCCACCTGTGTGGAGAGGACTAGAACTGCAGCTCCAGCTGTACACACGACCACGACAACTCCTTCACCCAGAGTCAAAGGTAAAGGAACCATTCACATATCTTTCCTTCACATGGTGGCGGGCAATTTGGTTAAATTTTTAAATTTGACATAATTTCAATATTTGGCAATATGTCAGCCATGGTAGCGATAGAGTAGGAAGGGAAACCCAGTGTAAGTCACTTTATGGGTTAAATACAGGAACGGTATACAGTGCCTTGTTCACAGGGAACAAATAGCAGGTGCCCCTTTTAGTTTTCTCATCTTGGAATAGTAGCATATGATTTGCAAACTTAAGGATTGTCTTGCAAATTATTTACTTGTCCAAATCAGTTGTTTAGTACCAATTACCAAGTACTAAAATCACCATGCAATGAACAGAGGACTTGCGATGTATCATTAGACATCTTCAGATAGTGTTCCTGACCTTGTAAGGTCACAGCAATGCATGCATAATCTCATCTTTCAGTGCCCTGCTTCATATAAATTACCTTAATAGAACCAATATAAGTTGAATGGAACCAATTAATGAATAAGGAGGGAATAAGTATGGATCGTCCATAGCAAACTTGGAGTACTTGAGGTTTCATTAAATGGTCTCACTGTACTTGTGATATTTAGGCCATTTATTCACCAGTTTAACATTATCCTAGACATGAAATGATGTATTTATATCCGTGTGTCATTGTTTCTTTAGCGTCAGCTCTGTGTGACCTACGACCAGATAGTGCTCGCTGTGACAATAGTAACGATCCCTCAGATTATGAAATCAAGTGGTACCATGATTCAGAGAGAGGTGTTTGCACTCGCTTTTATTATGGTGGGTGTGGCGGAAATGAAAACCGCTTTGACAATCGTCAGGACTGCCAATCTCGGTGTGTCTATGGAAGACAAGGTATATCCTGCATGGTTTGAGATGGTAGTCATCTATATCCTGACTTACTCTGTACCCTCACGTATTGGACCTCAACCCTGTGCCGTGTTAGACTAGCTCCTCTTACAGTGTCTTCCTTCACTTATCACATGAAAACATCTGTCGGGGAACATTTGTTTGCAAAGTACTGTAGCCTAGATTTGTCCTGTATCTTGTCACTGATTTGTTGATAAGTTTTCAGAAGTTTCATTTTGTTGCATGGTTGTTTCTTGATGATAGCTTGCAGTACAGTAGTTTAGAGTTGATTCTTGGTAATGATGGTAATATCAGCAAATGTTACTGTTAACATGTTGGATGAAGTTTCAAAACTTCAGCAGAGGGTCCTGATGGGGGAGGTCACATGTCATAGTAAAATTTGGGTACTAATGTCAGTAGTTATTATTCGGCTTTGTTGTCATTATGTTTTTTTAGCATGTAAAAAGCACATGTGAATAGCAGACAAGCTGTTCAGTGGAATCTAAACTGTGAAATCATCTCCATGCAAATGTGGAAAATTAGTCTATAGAGAAACAGGTGCTTGTTTAGTTTCATTGCTGCAGTTTGTATTTTGTAAATACCAAACATAGACTGGTTTTGTTGTGATTCTATACCTACTAATATACAGCTTTTACAGCTTTTAGCATGATTTCACCGTACAGTGAAGGTTGATTTCTGCTGAGCCAATTTTTAAGGACAATTTACATTTATCTTTTAGAACAACAATAACATTTATGGTACACCTAGTCAGGACCCTCATCAGAGTTCTTTCATATCACATACCTTTATCTTTATGACATGTCTTTATGTAAACACTTTCATATACAGCCCCAGTGTGTTCTATTCTGGAATAGTGTACACTGTCTTTCTAAGTCTCCACTTCAGTCTGTTATATAAAGGATTATATACAATGCATGTTATTACACATGTAATATTGGAAATAATACCAGGGTAAGATCTATGCAGGACGTAACCAGCCAAGGCCAGGTTGGTGAACCTGGGGCGTCCATATTCTGTGTAACCAGTACATGCACCCACTGTCAGCATGATGGGTTGTACTGCTAACAGCATGACAAGTAGAGGTCTTATTTTCATACAGAATCAGCATTTAACACTCTCTTAACTTTTTTCAGAATTGTCAAATAAGAAGCTGTATTTCTAATCTTTATGTCCTTTGTGACTAACAAAGTGTTTTCGATTGGCAGATATATTCTACTCAAAAGAACTGAATTGAGTGGGTGTAGTATTATGCCGCTTTTAGCAATAATCAGTGTGTGAAATAGGGCCTGTCCGACCGCCCGAGACGGATTAGATTTCAGACGGACGCTCTAGATTTATAGCTAGCCAGCCCTATGGTCTGGTAAAAATTTAGATGTTATATATATCTGAGTCATATCTTGGTGTCTGGTCTGGTTAAATCCATTTTGGACTGGTAACATTTTGAAGTTACCAGCCCTGATGTCTGGCTGGCGTTTTGGCTTATTTCATACACTGCAATAATCCAGCAATATCACGGCAGGGACATCAGAAATGGGCTTTACACATTGTACCCATGTGGGGAATTGAACCTGGGTCTTTGGCATGACGATCAAACGCTTTAACCACTAGGTTACCCCACCGCCCCTAAAAGAACTGAAAGAAGACCAGATTCTCTCATATTACTATATCCATGACGGATGAACTTCAGTAATATGACATTTGTTTGTTGTTTAAGCCGCACTCATCATTATTCCGGCTATATGGTGGCAGTTTGAAAATATAGTAGTCAGAATGAATCAGGTCACAGTTCTTTAACTTCTTTTGAGCAGTATATATCCTCTGTGACAAAACAGACAGAAACTTGCTGAAAATTATTCTGAAAACTAATGCTGGAATGGCAACAGGATCATCTGTACCTTTTATGTGTTTGTTTTAACACTGTTGCATTCACTGTAAGTCAGCTTAGCTATTACTGTTGATATATTCTCACAGAAAAATACTTGTGTCAGTTTCAAACACTGGTCACTTATACATATATCTGTTGACATATTTTCATAGAAATATGTTTGTGTCAATTTCAAACACTTGTCACTTAACAAATATTAAAAAATATTTTCAGAGCAAAAATATTTGTCAGTATTTTCAGACACTGGTCACTTGAACATATATATGTATACGTTAAAATATTTTCATAGCAAACTATTTGTATCAATTCTAAATGCAGGTCAGTTGAATATGTATATATTGAGTGTGAGTGTTGATTGAGGAGGGAGGTTAATACTTGTCTTATTTCAGTGTTCAGGATCCATAATTAGATCAATAAACTACTCTTACTGTGGGAAACAAGCAACTGGAGTTGTAGTAACATGACTTTAATGGGGATCTGAATCTGTGACTTCACTGATCCCATGTCATCGTACCTCACTGTCATGTAGCCTTATATCAGTTGTAGCCCATTATGATATAGATGAAATAATACTTATGGTGGTGTTAAGACAATATTCATTCACTATTCATAATGTATGAAATCTGTGTAAAACCATACATCAATACCTGTACATTAGCTGCAAGTATGAAAGTTATAGGTTCATGTGACGTCTCACCGGTATTATGTTGGCTTACTTGCAGTGAAGACCACAGCATATCCTGTGGTGTTGACAACCGCTGCCCCTCTCCACTGCAGACATTCACAGCATGGTTGCTGTCAAGATGGCTACACCACAGCAGATGACGAGTACCACAGCAACTGTGATGGTCAGTCTTTCTAATGTCCAGCATTAACCATGGGATCATTTGATGGACAACTTCCATGTACATGCAGCACAGAACAGCTAGATCATCTATACTACTCAAAATAAGGAGAGTCCAGGACAGATTAATTTTAGTTATACGAAAACATCAGTTATCCTTAACTTTTTGTGTAGTATACTTTCAGAACTGGACCTTAGCATCACTCAAATGTATTTTACAAGATACAAGATATCTGGACAGGTTAACTATAAGAATATGAAAGAATTGGTGATCCTTAACTTTTTTCAGTAGTATACTTAAAGAGTGAGTGAATCAGTTAATATTTAACGTCACATCGGCAATATTTCAGCCATATCGAGACGAGAACAATTTAATTTATATCAATATTAAAATCAATAAATTTTTAACATAAAAACCGTACACTTTAAGAGCTTAAACATAGCATCACTTAATTGTATTTCAGTTTAGTAATTCTGACTCTTGTTTCGGGTGGACCAAATGTTATTGAGCGACATAAGGGAGAGGACTATGAAATTCTAGTGCATTTCAGTTTAGTAATTCTGACTCTTGTTTCAGATGGACCAAATGTTATTGAGCGACGTAAGGGAGAGGACTATGAAATTCTAGTGCGCCCTGATAAGGATGTTGTGATCAATTGCCGGATACATCGCACAGATCAAGACATTGTCACGTGGCTCAGAGACAGGTATGATGCCCAATGTATTGTAGTGTAGTCACAACAGATCATTGCCCTTATTGCTACATAAAAGCCAACAGCAGGTGCCCTACGAACATAGAAATGGGAAGTGAATACACAATGCCATTTAGAAAGTGGTCAAATGTAACATGTTATAATTGGGATTACACTCCCTCAGTAATGTACAGATTCTATTTTTGTGGAAGCCATGATGGCTGAGTTGGTAAGGCGGCTGATTTGGTGTGCTGGCGTTTATTTTCCAGACTCTTGGGGTGTGGGTTTGAATCCCGGATAGGACTCAACCCAACAAAAGGACTAGAATCTGTACTTTACTGAGAAAGTGTAATCTCAAATATAATGTATTAAAAATAGGCAGGTTAAGTCACGGTACAGATTTTGCTGAAATATTTTTTTGAAACGCAAATGATTATGCTTTGTGTGTGGTAGGTTTGTGGTTCAGACGGGCTACAGGTTCACCCTGTTCAACAATGGTTCCCTGTGGATCAAGAACATCAAACAAGAGGACACTGGATTATACAGCTGCCAGGTTGCCCGAGGAAATGATGTACCACAGATTGAAAGATACAATGTGCAAGTCCGAGGTGAGGCCCTTAAGTCATTGGTCAGCTGAGCAATGGTGGAAGGAGAATACTTATCCTTCCTCATGTGGAGCATTTTCACTCACTTCTATCTCACTGCATCTTCTTCTAATCAACAAGTATGACCGTCTGCTCTTCGTGTCCACTTCTCAATGCTGCAGTGGCCTCCTGAAGATCTGAGTTGGATTTGGTCTTCAGCAATCAACGCTTCTCATAAAAGGCGACTAGCTGTTTTGGTAGTTTGGTCATCATACCTCAGTTGCATAGATTGATACTCAACCACTTCCACCCGTGAAGATCCATGTTAGAATATTGATCTTCAGTAACCCACGCTTGTAGTAAGTGGCGACTAAGGGGAACGGGTGGTCAGGCTCGCTGACTCGGTTGATACATGTCATTGTATCCCATTTGCGTAGATCTATGCTCATACTGTTGATCACTGGATTGTCTGGTCCAGATTTGATTATTTACAGACTGTACAAGCTGGAATATGCTGAGTGTGGCGTAAAACTAAACTCACTCACACACCCACTTCCAGACTTGATTATTTACAGACTGTATAGCTTGAATATTGCTGAGTGTGGCGTAAAACTAAACTCACTCACTCACCCACTTCCAGACTTGATTATTTACAGACCATTGTCATACAGCTGCAGTGTTACTGATTCTTCATTTCAGTACCTCTGCGGATCCTGCCATCTCCAAAGGTCATTAAGATACGTCCCGGGGACAATGCCTTCCTCCACTGCCAGGTGTTTGGTCAACCAACACCTACCATCACGTGGTTGAAGAACGGTCGCCCTGTGATGAGCACTGGCCACTTCAGGGCCTTTGACAATGGCACACTGATCATCATGCAGACTCAGGACTACGATGGAGGCCAGTATGAGTGCCAGGCAGAGAATGGGGTTTCCTCCATGGTAAAGAAAGAAGTACAACTCATAATAAGAGGTATGCATTTGTACACAGTCCAATTTGATCTTGGACATTTGATTATGTCTAACAAAGTTCATGATTTATGTTTTGTTTAACTTCAGTTTTGAAAATCTCTGTGGCAGTTATGATGTTTCCAAACTTTAGTATTCGAAACATTTTCACACCTGGATGTTTTTGAGAATGTTTAAGAACTCATCTCGCTAACATTTTAAGAAATGTTTTGCTATTTCCTCTGAACTTACATTTAACATTAACCGAGAGTGTAGTTGAGTTGCAGCATGATATTAACAGGCATTTCAAGAGCTTGCATGAAGGCAGCTTTGTTATAATTTCATTTTTGTTTTGGATATTTCACTGTGTTTTCATTACCTAGAACGTGTTAGAGCCAAACTGGATCCGTACAAAGGAAAGGTGATGGAGGGAGGAACTGTCCGATCACGATGTACAGGAAGTGGCCATCCCAGACCCACTATTCACTGGGAGAGGGATGGAAAGGAACTTACTAACGACGATAGAATTTCAATAAGTGGTCGACAGTTGATAATACGTAAAGCTACTATTGACGATTCTGGAATATATACATGTGTGGTGAAAAACTCTCGAGAGGAGGCAAAAGCTGTCACCATAGTACAAGTTGTAATGCAGCGTAAGTACCCACAGCATATATGTGTTTCTCTTGCAGGAAGCTCATCAGGAGTACAAGGACTATCATTTATTTCACTGCATGCGGGAATAATTTGAGAATGAAATCTTAGAATGAATCTTAACATGCCAATTCTTTCCTCAATTAGCCAGATATCAGTGCCTCTACAATGCTTTTCAGAGAACACATGCATGTTACGATGCTTTTATTGAAACAATGACTGTCCCTGTTCATCCCCAGCCTAAGCTTTACACACTACAATATAGTTTTATAGTTTGATCCACCTGTTTAATAGGCATGCAAAATATGACCCTATTACCACTGATAACAGTTCGATACCTTTTACCAAGTGCCTTCTGCATGATGATGTTTGATACTGCATTATGACTAATGGTCAACACTTCAATGCTAGTGTGTACAAGGACAGTGTTCAGGTGGTGTATTATCAATGGGAGTTAAAGGATGGCTTACTGCCCCTCCAAACCCTAGTGATGATCACCCATAAACCCTCACATTCAATCATGTCACACTGATCAACACTCAAAAGTACTCAACACTCAAAGTGATCAAAGTACACCTGTGTAAATTCTTCATCTCCCAAAGCACAGATTTATTACCCTTTAACACTCACATTCACCAGCTGTCACAACAGATACATAGCCCTCAACCAACATAACATCACCTGAGGACCTTTTTACACACATGACATCACCTGAGATACCCTTTACACACATGACATCACCTGAGGACCCTTTTATACACAGGACATCACCTGAGATACCCTTTACACACAGGACATCACCTGAGATACCCTTTACACACAGGACATCACCTCAGATATCCCATACACACAGGCCATTGCCTCAGATACCCTTTACACACAGGACATCACCTGAGATACCTTTACACACAGGACATTGCCTGAGATAACCTTTACACACAGGACATCACCTCAGATATGCCTTACACACAGAACATCACCTGTGCTGCTGCTTTAATACACAGTAAAGATGAGTTGTCCATGTTTCAGAATCTGGAGTTTGTGAAGATAAACTTCCAATGATGAAGTGCAAGATGATCCGGACAGCTAGATTGTGTGGACATAGAAAATTCTCTAAAATGTGTTGTGCATCCTGCAAACATCAGCGTTTCCGCTGAGTTTTGTAGATGACACTAGAGTTAGATGACACTCTTCAATGGAACATGCACGACATGAAGCTGTTACCACCACAAGATGGCCGACAACACTAACTGGTGCTGAGATGTGCAGCCACAATTTGCCCTGATGATTATAAGTGGTGGTTTGTTCATACGCGTAGCTAATATCTTTACACCTTAAGTGTAATGTGTCAAGTCTTCTTAAGAAACAACATAATAAATTGAGACTATTGGCTTGTACAGAATCTGAGTGTTTATAATGAACTGAATACAGAATGTAAATCTTTCAACTCTTATTACTAGCAGTGAAGACTGATTTGTAATATACTACATCAAAGAAGTTAAAGAACATGCACGTTTTTCTTGACTGTAGTTATTTAGTCGTATCATGACACATAACTATAGTAACATGAAAAATCAGGGGTTCTGTTACTTCATCTTTGTAACTGTTTGCTGAATTTGTGTTTTTCTCAGTGTACAATTCAGCGATGACAGCATGAATGTGTGGCAAGAAAACGAAAGCCTGAAGATATGCATCCTCCCAGTAAATGAATTGATGTTTTTAGATTTGACAAGATAACAGATTGCAATATTGTAGTCGTTTCTTTCGGACTGGCCTCCTCAGGAATTCTCTCTTCAAAACACCTCATCAGCTTAGCTTTCTATGCTCTGCGATTGTTTGAAACATAATATGTATGTGATGACTTTTTCCCCTTCTGTTTTCTGAGTAGTCCATTGTTTTCCCACACAATGGGACGTGTCGCTAGAGAAGTGTATGCAGCCCCTCACTGACAAACCCAGGCATATGCTGGTGCTAGAACCCATTTTGTAACGTGTACATCAGATATAGATAACTGCCATGGTTACTTACATGACTGCATTTAACCTCATACAGACACCTGTCTAGCAACCATCCAGGACAACATGCATCCATACTACTTCCTAAAAGTTAAGGACCATTTGATTCCTTCAATTAACTGGGTAGCCTTGTGGTTAGAGCATTTGACTGTTATGCTGAAGATGTGGGTTTGATTCCCAGCAAGGGTAAAAAGTGTGAAGACCTGGTGTCCCGTCGTGATTTTGCTAAATTGGTATAAAACCACACTCACTCATATTTCTGTGGTTAATCTATCATCATGAATATGTGTGCCATGCCTGATTTAACTTTAGTAATAGGAAAGATTTGGTGGTCATAACTTTGTTTTAGTAGGATATACAACCTTTTCATGTGTCAGGGAATATGGATCATATTGTATAATGTAGCCGACCCAAACAAAGTGGATCCTTGTCCAGGGAGATTGTTATACAGGGAGCTGTCATTGTATAGCATTTTACCGCTATCATCACAAAGTCTAGGTACTACAGCGCTGACAAGTAGATACTACATATGCTGCAAATATTTTGACAGAGAATCTAACATTATAATCTTTTAAAATTGCTCATTTAAATATCTCTTGCTTTTTTAGAGCACCAAAGTTAGTTGCTTATATGGGAATTCAACAAAGGCTACCTATTAGCCTTATGCATTAGACATTGAGGGAGCAACCATTTCATGTTCAGGTGGTTGGGGGAGGAGACAGGTTTAGGTTTTGAGGTAAGCATTTGAATGTTCAATTCAGTTATTCTTTTTTCTGCAACATAAATAAAAAGGACAAACATATTATTCGGACACATTAATATTGTCTTCTGTTCAGCAGATCTTAAGAGTTTAGAAGAAGAGGGCAGATCTTAGAGTTTAGAAGAAAAGGCGGGTATTAGAGTTTAGAAGAAGAGGGCAAATCAATTTTATTCAAAAATAAAATGGTTGCTCCCTTACTTCAGTTGGCAATTAGGATAGCCAGTACCTGAATGATATACCTGAAGGATGAGACACCGCATTAAAGAAGTGAAATGCATGTGTACAGTATAAGTGTGTTTGTGTGTTAGCTCTTGATGAACAAGCAGGCAGTGGACTGGATGGTGTCTGAACATTCACACTTCCATCTGGTGAATACATTATTATATCACACTTCTATCTGGTGAATACATTATTAATATTTGTAACAATCCTGAATAAGCATGCTAACCCCTAAATAATTTACATATTTACAACACCAAAGATGTTCACAAATTGTACATGTAGTTCGACAGCCATAAGTTATAATATATGACTGTTGCATCATTGCTCCGAAGATCGTTATTGTTTATCCAAGACATACAAGTCAAGGTATATAAAAAAACCATATTCTTATATAGTGTGAACGTCAGCACCATCAAATCATGTTCACAATTAGCTGTCAATATGTTTTCTAACAAGTTAAAATTTGAGAGTTACATTTAAAACTTAACCCATTTGTGTTTAATTCAAGGGGAAATGGAACAGAATTCTTACATATTTTGAAAATTTCCAAATTAGTTACAAGACTGATCCACTACACTGGACAAATGATTTTGTTTGAAAGTTTGGCTCCAATCAATACTAAATGAAATATCTATTCCATTACCACAAAGTCAGTCCAGTACTTCAGAGAGCAGGGTGGACATTTTGCATGCATGTGTCAGTGACAGTTGTACACTTACAGCTACAGTGTACTGAGTGCGGAAGTAGTTCTGTTTATTTTGAAACAAGCTGTATTTATACTGTTTTTACTCACTTTATATATAGATGTTGGTCTCTTAGATATGTTGTCGCTGCAATTAAATATCTTCCATTTCTTATCTGTTGTCTTGTGTTATACTGCTCACAGTTTGTTGTTTAACATTGCATTTAGCCATATTCCAGCTATATGGCAGCGTAGCATGTTATACTTGGGATTACACTTTCTTAGTAAAGTACAGATTCTAGTACTTTTGTTGGGTTGAGTCCCATCCGGGATTCGAACCCACACCCTCAGAGCCAGGCACCTAATCGCCAGCACACAAAGTCAGCCGACGCGACTTCCAACGAAAGTACTAGAATCTGTACTTTACTAAGAAAGTGTAATCCCAAATATAACATATGCTACATTTGCATTGTGCAATCATATATGGCAGCTGTCTGTAAGTAATCGAGTCTGGACCAGACAATCCAGTGATCAGCATCAACTGCTCACATTACCCACCAAATGGACACAGAGGACAACATAATCTATAGTAACCAACTTGCCCGATTTCAAGTGGCATTCAATATATTGATACCCTGTTCTTGGAGGGAGTTGGGTTAAATGCTGCTTTGAACCATATCGCAGTATTATACATGGTGTCTGTTTAATGTGGGAGAAAGGTCTGAAGTTATACAGATCCTTGTCTACCCCTTTGGTGCAACCCATGAGCACTGGTACAGTGCTGGCAAAGTCATATTGTCATGGTGAAACCAGGATTCAAACACAAATGCAAGGTTTCTTCTGCGTCCAGGGACGTAACTCTGCACAGTGAATTTCAGCAATTCAGTTGACTGGGCTGCGTGTGCCTTCTCTTACTAGCAGATGGAGCCATGGGGGTAGTCTAGTGGTTAAAGCATTCGCTTTATATTATGTGTAAATATAACTTGGTTCAATGAAGACTTGGGTAAGAAATGAAGTGCAACCACATCATCCTTTGTTTGAAATGTAAATTTGGGCAGAATAATGTAAACTTATCAACAGTTAACTTCTTTGAGTGGCATTTTAGAAGTTGGGAAGTACAATATAGAACAAACTTTATGGATAACAACTTCTTTTTATTCGTGAGTGCGACGTTTCGATACAGATTCTTGTACCGTTGTCAAGCGTAATGGAACATGAAGAAGGGGGAAGTGTATATATACTGGATGTAACAATGTAACAAAGAAATCAACATAATTAACATAATTGGCTAGGCAGAAAGTTGATGAAGCCAGAGAGTAGACAAAGGACAGGCGTGGAAGCCAATGATGTACAAATAATAATGAGATGTTTATACAGCAGAGTTTATACAGTAGATTGGGCTTGGTGGATGAGTGCATCATAAGCGGATGGAATGAAGTATCCTTGGTCTCGGTTGATGGTGGGCTTTTGGCGTTTGATGTGGATGGCTTCGGTGAGCTTGCGTTTAGTGAAGTCTGTTTGTTTGTGAGAGAGAATGGTGATGTCAGACCACTCTATTTGACGATTGGGGCTTGCTTTGATGTGGTCGGAAATGGCTGATTTGCTGTCGAATTGGTAACAGAGGTCTGATGTTCTTTCACTCGGGTGTTGATGGGTCGGGAAGTTTCGCCTATGTAGCTCTGCCCACAATCACAGTTTATTTTGTAGATGACACATTTTGGGTTGTTGTTCTTTACGGTGGTGGGTTTTCTTCCATTGGCAACCTCCAACCTTAACAACATTCTCCATGCCAATGGAAGAAAACCCGCCACCGTAAAGAACAACAACCCAAAATGTGTCATCTACAAAATAAACTGTGATTGTGGGCAGAGCTACATAGGCGAAACTTCCCGACCCATCAACACCCGAGTGAAAGAACATCAGACCTCTGTTACCAATTCCGACAGCAAATCAGCCATTTCCGGCCATTTTCTGCCTAGCCAATTATGTTAATTATGTTGTTTTCTTTGTTACATTGTTACATCCAGTATATATACACTTCCCCCTTCATGTTCCATTACGCTTGACAGCGGTACAAGAATCTGTATCGAAACGTCGCACTCACGAATAAAAAGAAGTTGTTATCCATAAAGTTTGTTCTATATTATCAACAGTTGTGTATTACGCCTCAAATGTTTTAATTAAATTATACTTTCAACTGAAAATCAAATGATAAAATTAGCCGAAAGGTATAATTTCTTTTGCCCCTTGACAGTGATATAATTTCCCCCACTCTTACATTTGAAATCACCCATGAAGATCCAGGTCAGAATTGGTCTTCAGTAACCCATGCTTGTCATAAGAGGGGATCGGGCTGTCAGGCAAGCTGGATTGTCTGGTCCAGACTCTATTATTAACAGACCACCACCATATATAGCTGGAATACTGCTTGTATAGCAACAAACCACACCTCATGTGAGGAAAGTACTGATAATATCACTTTACGTTCCGAACCTGAAAGAACATTATAATCGGACTCCTCTTCTACTTTTAGTGTTGCCATTTACACTGCACTTAAAACAGTGGGTGTGTGAATGTGTTCAAGACATTTACATGTAGCATTATAGAATGGAATTCTAATTCACTGGATAAGTGATGATGTATTCTGTAAACAGAACTTAACAGTTGGTACATCAGGACTTGTCTTTGTGACCCCTGAATGCCTCCGACACATTGAAGAGTGAGTGAGTATAGTATTACCCTGCTTTTAACAACACTCCAGTAATATCCCGGCACAGGACACAAAGAATGGGTTTCACTGGACTAATCAGGACAATACATGTATAGTACAAGGAATTGGAATAATCATCACATGCTGTAGAAATTCAACAACAGCTTGTTTCAGATGAGTTCCCAAAATGCTGAGGTGTGTTGGGGTAGCTTTGGGGTTAAAGCGTTTGCTAAACATGCCAAGGTGTGAGTTTAATTCCACAACAGTACAGTAGATGAAGCTAATTTCTGCTGCCCCCCACCGTCATACTGCTGCAATATTGCTAAAAGGGGCATAAAATCCAAATCAATCACTCACTGTGTGCCTGTAACAAAGAACCACAGCAACATGATCCAGGATCTCAATGGTACTTTTCATAGGTTTGTTTGTCGGCCATAGTTGCAAACACTGAAACAATCATTACAATTGAGGTTGACTTAAAAAATGACAAACACAAGGTGTAAGATTAAAGAATTTATTCCCCTCATCGCACTTGTATACAGTGGGTGTAGAGCAGGAGGGTAATACCAGATGACATACATTGTACATCATACTGAATGTATATATGGTATGTACGTACACACAGACCGACAGACAGTGGATAGTGGGGTGGTGCTATCACACTCTGATACATCTCATACGACATTCATTCAGCTGACACACCTGCTACACGTACAGCTGGGTTCGTCACACACATCAATTTCTGCGTCTTCTGCTAAGAGGCATCACACCAATGCCAAGGTCACCCACACTGGTGTGTCATACAAGCACGGAAACATGTCACATGACATCAGATGGAAGCAGGGAGACACTTTTAATGCACAATGATATTTTGATTAAAAAATCTTGAATCTGAATAAAATCTAATCTAAATAATAGGCATGAGCCATAACATTTAATCTAAAATTTTCTTCGAATTGTTTCTTTAAAACTGTTTCAGATTCATGAACAAATAAAGAGGAATATATCGCCCATATACACCTCTTAATCAAAGAACGCCTTTAAGATTAGTATACACTACTAAATCTTCAGTGACGAATAATTCAAATGGTAGTAGTTTTTACTTAAGAAATAGAAACCTACTCAAATATGATTTGATTTCCTAGCTGCTGTTTATGCAGCTGGTGTTTGAACTATTGTCATATAAATTACTGAGGTAACGAGAGCATTTAACAATGAAGGCAGGGGAAGAATGAATTTACAGCAGTTCTGCTACGTCACAGTTCTCGCAGTGTTATCTGTGAAAACGGCATGTGAATACTGTCCAGTAGCAACAAGACAGGTAATCCAGGTGGCGCTGTAGTGAAAAACTGGGGGCGTAGCGGCTCCTGAATCCTGGCAACGGAGAGATTCGTTATCCTCTACACTAACACGGACTAGAGAGAAGCAGTGGCTACAGCAACACATTGTACGTCACGCACAGATACACAATAACCAGGAACAAATAGACAGCATTTAGCTCCACACACAACTCCTAGCCATACATCCAGCTGAATGTACAACTGCTGGCTCTCTCCACCGTCTCTCAATAACATTATGCATCTCATAAATAGAAGAGAGTAGGACAAAGTAAACAAATACCACAACACATTAACTTCTAAGTTTTCATTACTGTTTTACTGAAGACTTTCTTTAGACTATTACTATGCAGACAATGTTTTGCTTTCAGTCAGTAAGTGCAACACTTTATATAGTCATCTTGCTGTGACGAGTGCAGTGAGCTAAAAACTAAGTTAGTTCTAACAAAACTGTTAATCAATGTGAGGTCCTACTCAGTATGAAATAATACAAGAACAGAAAACAAGAAATCTTTTCCATTTCAACTGCCCTGTCTTCGGATTGCAATCCATAATCAACACCTAAAGCCTTATAACAATGGAAGTGAGTGAGTATGGTTTTACGCCTCTTTTAGCAATATTCCAGCAACATCAGGCAGGGGACACTAGAAAGGGGTTTCAGACACTGTACCAATATGGGGAATCGAACCCCGGTCCTCAGCATGATGAGCAAACCCTTAAACCACTATGCCATCCCACCAGCCCCATAACTATGGAAGTCGGACCTCTTCCCTCATATATACTGAACAGTTTAGATGGCAACATAAATTGTTCTATCTGGATTTGCATTTGGTTCACATCAAGTCAACATTGGTTAAAGTTGTCGCTCAGGAACCAATGCATGGCCTTGAAGGTATTATTCAGAAGCCAGTTCAAGTCAAAATATAAACTAAACCGGCTGATCATTACTCTTGTATGTCGTGTGTAAAACATTACTTAAACACCTGATTATTTCTCGAAGTTGTTAGTGATATCTTAGAAGTTTAAAACCTCAGTAAAGTGAGGGACCCTCAATACCAACCTATTTGGGGACTAGGGGCAGGAAACAAGGTCAAGGACAATTTTAGCAATTAAAATGGGCTCACTTACACAATAAATACTGGTAAAACATGGTCATCCATGATATAGGTACATCATGGGCCACCAAAATCAGACATGGTCAATCTAACTCGATAGACTGTATGTAAAATCACCAATAGCATGCCAACTTGACAATTCTTGTTGGCGAAGTCATCCATCTTTCCAGATCAATGATATGAAATTTATATTCAACAGTCAAAGTCTCAGAGTAAAGGTGTTTTTGCCGTTTCTTTCAAGCACTACCATTGTCATAAGGATATTTAGCTAAATATAGTCTCACACCAATTATGGATGGCCAAGATCTGAATGACCAATCCTATATGCTGTATACAATAACCGCTAAGACCAGCAACTAAACCAAAAGTTGTGAAAGTTGTATGAATGAAAAACAGTTCAACATCCATGAAACAAGTGAGCTGATTATTAAAATGATTTCAATGATCACATAATGAGCAGAGCGTATTGCTTATGATATAACCTACATGTTACCTCTGCATGAGGGCAGCTTGACCTCTCACGAGGTGATGTTCCTGAGATGCTGTGATAGAACTACCATAAAAGTTCCACGATGGTTCCAAAGATATGTGGTACACAATCCTGCACTGCTAATGTATCCTTGTCGTGGGAGATCGCCTTGCTTGCAAATGCTGAATATGGAACATGTATGACAATCCCCCTTCTCTCTCTTTCAGTTATGTACAGCTACACATGATAATCAGAGAAGCTAACACACAAATGGCTGCAACTTGCCAAACCAAACACGAGATTTGCACTAGGAATAAATTACAGTCAGACCTTTTATACATGGAACAGGTTTTGCACTAGTAGATACAGATTGTACAAGAACTTTAACTTAACAAACATTGTTGGAGAAGACACACCATTGTGGCTACATAGGAAGCATCAATTTGGCATTGCACACCGTTGGGAAATAAATATGACACTCAAAGTGCCTCTCCCCGTCTTTTTGGCCCCCAGAACCATCCCACATGTGTGGAGACCCCAGCTCCAAGCTTTCTTGACTCCTTTGTTGCTTGTTGTCCCCATGATGCGTCTCTGAATCTCTTCCCTCACTGAATCTGTTGCCACACGCAGGCTATGGGCAACTTCACGTGACACCTATCCAGCCATTGTCTGAGAGAAAACTCATGATTTTACGGCGATGAGTTTTATCCATGCCACTTGGATATCGGATTTTTACTGGAAATCCTTGTCGCCTCTGGAGGTAGTCCTGACACACAAAAACAATCACATGAAAACTTCACAGCAACTATATATAACTTTATGGTAGTAAGTGATTTAGTTTAGTTTTACACTGCTTTTTAGCAATATTCTAGCAATATCACTGAGAGGGACACCAGAAATGGGCTTCACACACTGTGCCCATGTGGGGAATCGTACCCGGGTCTTTGGAGTGACAAGCCAACGCTTTTACCACTAGGTTAGCCCACCGCCTCTTATGTTAGTTAAATCCATTACAAAGAATTAACATATAACATGCATATGTTTTGACAGGATATAAATTCATCTATCACTGTATCATCAGACATAACTGATTTACATTCTGTAACATTAGCCATAAGTCTGAAGCCTGAGTCAAGCAAAATTCTGTTCCGTCCAGTAAACTCAGCTAATAAAGTCAACTAAATTCTACTGAACACAATGCTAACAGCAAAGTTTTGACTATTAGACTTGAATCTTTTGGCTACAAATGAACTTTGACAAACAAGTTGGGAATTCTGAACACATGATCTTACTTTGATGATGCAGGTTTTTATAGTTGAATAGTTGGCAGGTGTCATCCCTATGGAGTTGCATAGCTGAAAGTGAACACCACATGTATAATAATGTTCTTTCATATATTGAAGTATCCAGATATCTACTGAAATATGCCTCTGCAATCATGAAGTCATCAAGTTTGTTGTAACTTATTATATTTTTTTTTTTTTATTATAGGATATTCATATAGAGCACATATCCACACACTAGTGCATGCTCAAGGCGCTGGTATGTTTTTTTCCCCTCGATCATTGGATGTCAATCTCAACGGCACATCGCATTATCAATCTCAACTCCCTGGGGAGTATACAACTCTTGCAGCCACTAGGCGCACCGAGTTATTGTGGCTTTCTCATCCTAACTATATATACACTGGACATTATTAATATTGTTATCTATAGGTGTACATGTATCAGCCATGGTACTCTGGTACATGAGTTTGTCCCACTGGCCCAGTAGTGTCTTCCAGCCATGCTACGGTAGCATGATGGTGTCTTGGTAGCTTGNCTAGCGTCTATCTGCCCTACTACGGTAGCATGAGTGTGTCTATCTGCCCCCTCACTATGGGCCCAACTACAAGTAGCATGAGTGTGTCTATGGGCCCCAACTACGGTAGCATGCATGAATGTGTCTATGGGCCCAACTACGGTAGCATGAGTGTGTCTATGGGCCCAACTACGGTAGCATGAGTGTGTCTATGGGCCCAACTATGGTAGCATGAGTGTGTCTATGGGCCCAACTACGGTAGCATGAGTGTGTCTATGGGCCCAACTACGGTAGCATGAGTGTGTCTATGGGCCCAACTATGGTAGCAAGAGTGTGTCTATGGGCCCAACTACAGTAGCAAGAGTGTGTCTATGGGCCCAACTACAGTAGCATGAGTGTGTCTATCGGCCCAACTACGGTGCATGAGTGTGTCTATGGGCCCAACTATGGTAGCAAGAGTGTGTCTATGGGCCCAACTACGGTAGCATGAGGGTGTCTATGGGCCCAACTACGGTGCATGAGGGTGTCTATGGGCCCAACTACGGTGCATGAGGGTGTCTATCGGCCCAACTACGGTAGCATGAGGGTGTCTATGGGCCCAACTACGGTGCATGAGTGTGTCTATGGGCCCAACTACGGTAGCATGAGTGTGTCTGTGGGCCCAACGATAGTAGCATGAGCATGTCTACTGGCCCAACTACAAAAGCATCAGAGGGTCTATTGGCCCAACTACAAAAGCATCAGAGTGTCTATTGGCCCAACTACAAAAGCATTGGCCCAACTACAAAAGCATCAGAGCGTCTATTGGCCCAACTACAAAAGCATCAAGTGAGGTGAGGTGAAATTGGGTTTAACGTCGCGCTTGAGAATATTTCGCTCATATGACGACGTGCATGCGTGTGTATGTGTATATGTGGCTGCTTGTACTAGCCCAGACTGAAGCTGGTTTTATAGTGCTAGCTCACTGAGATACCATGCCGCAGTGAAGCATGAATACCCAACTCAGACACATTATACTGACTCCGAGCCGACCAGTCCTTGTTGTACCCAATAATGCCGAGCGCCAGGCAGGAACAAACAAGTACCATATTTTAACGCTTTTTGGTATGGCCAGGTGTCGGGATCGAACCAGACCTTTCACTCTCCTGGCATCAGGTGTCGCTGGCCCTAACCACTACAGCATCGGAGTCGGCCCAACACAAAAAAGCATCAGAGTGTCTATTGGCCCAACTACAAAAGCATCAGAGTGTCTATTGGCCCAACTACAAAGCATCAGAGTGTCTACTGACCCAACTACAGAAGCATCAGAGAGTCTATTGGCCCAACTACAAAAGCATCAGAGTGTCTACTGGCCCAACTACAAAAGCATCAGAGAGTCTATTGGCCCAACTACAAAAGCATCAGAGTGTCTACTGGCCCAACTACAAAAGCATCAGAGTGTCTACTGGCCCAACTACAAAAGCATCAGAGTGTCTGCTGGCCCAACTACAAAAGCATCAGAGTGTCTATTGGCCCAACTACAAAAGCATCAGAGTGTCTACTGGCCCAACTACAGAAGCATGAGTGTGTTTGTCAGGCCAACTAGCATGAGTGTGTCAATATAACAGGATTGGTCTGTTCTTACACCAGACAAAGATGTGTTGTATCCCTGTATTGTTATATTCCTGAAACACCCTAGCATCTCATGGCTCTAAACAAACTTTTCTATAGCACCAGCTCTGTCCCTAAGTGAATGCTACAATGCTCTTCAAAAACTCATCGGTCGTACTTTTCTCTCTCTCTCGGACAGCATCTCGTAGCCCGGCTGTGAGGCCATCTCCTTACACTCCTCTTCTGTGTCGTCATCTTTTACTTCTGTAACAACACAACAACCTCAAGGTAACCATATTTTGACTGCATGGGCTCTTTTTATTATATCAGATTATGATCAATGATGCATTATTATATACTGACAATATTTTCATTTACCATGTTTACAAAGAAGTAAACAAGTTTGTTGTTACACACTGCACTCCACAATGACTCAACATGTTAAGAAAGTGAACAATTAACAACACATCATGACTACATGTTTATTTTCAGAGATCAGGAATGACTAAATCAAGAGTTCCATTCATATTCAATTAATATAAGTTTTACTCACCGTCGTCGTCGATGAGTATATCTAATTTTCTACTTTTCCTCTGCAAAAAAGAAACAAAAATCACAATGAAACCTTATGCAACAAATATATGACAATTTAATGATAAAACATTAGTCCTTCGAATGTACTTTGGATAATATATGGATTGAATCAATCGTAGCTGGGAGGAAAAATGACTTTCAGATACAACACATTAGGAATTAGTTGGTATTCCCTTTACTATGAAGACTCCACCTAAACATCTTGACTCAAATAATGGCCATACTCTGTAGCATTTTGCTCAAAATTGCTTCTCCAATATTTATTGACAATCAATCGATATTTAGCTAGCAATTATGATTTATCTCAATAGCCAGCCATACTTGACAGCATCTGATGAGTTTGGCCATTGGTATCTGAAGCAAGTGTAAGTAATAAAAATAGCTTTACACAAAATATCAGTCATATAGATAAATATCGATGTACTAGAACAATGACTTACTCTGCTTTTTTTGAGACTGTTGAGTTTCGTTTGGTCGGAGTTGAGCAGCCCTGTATACATAAATGAAGGGTTAACAGGAGTTTAAGACCTAGCAAGACTGCTATAAAATAGAAGACAAGCCAAGTGACATTTCATACAACAAAGGAGACTGAGGTTGACATCACCATCTTGGTTTGAGAAAGGGACAGCCAGGTGTTCGAGAACAGATGGAGACGGCACAGCACAGGTTAATGAATAAATAACTTTGTCTGTGAACGTGCTTCTCGAACACCTGGCTGTCCCTTTCTCTGCACTCCTCCCTCGTAACAAACAGTGAACTGTGTCAATATTTTAATGATAGATTGTTAAACAACTTTTTTATTTTTAGGACAAAATTTCTGCAAAAACCTCACAGAGTGGGTATGATGTTTTGATTATGATCAGCGTTTCATTGAGTATGTTATGTTTATTAGTTTTGAGTTAGATTGCAATTCATCGGTCCGCTTTTGAGCCAAACGGACTGTAATATATCATGAACATAAACATTATGGAGTCTTAAAGAAATATTCAGTCATGACTTTTCGGTTAGTGAAGTGGGTTTTCTAAGAATTAAACACATTTTCAGGCCCTGACAACTTTAAACATATGTCCATCGTCAAGTGTTTCAAAGACTAAAACAGTAGTTCCAAAATTGTTTGATCGATTGCTTGGTCGTTTGGTCAATGCGATTAATCTTTGATTATTTTAATTAATCGGAACACCATTGTAAACCAAAAGTCACTGTGCTCTTTAATCTGATTGGTTGAAAAACATGATCAAATGGTATTCGATTCCCGGAAATTCGCTGCGTATTAATACATACAAACATCGCTCACACCATTGTATTGTTACGTCGTCAGCTGTGATGACGTCATTAAAATCATATTGTGACGTAAAGTCTGAATGACGTCACAAATGAGCAGTTCCAGATGCTACCATGGGAGACAGCCGTAACGGCCGGCTGATGACAATTCACTGCTGTACCCGTACATGATGTCAATGAGTCCAGACACAAAAACGTGTGTTGACCTTTTGGTTTACTTTTGTGTTTACAATGTCGATAAACATCATGTGTTGTCCAATTTCCGGGTGTTATGGAGTATTTGAAGCATGGGAATATTTCATATGAATTCCCGTGCTTCAAATACTCAATAACACCCTTCCGGAAATTGGCCAACACATGACGTTTATCTCCTAATTAGTACGTAAACAAATAGATGAACGTAAGCAATTACAAATTTTCACAATGTTGTGCAAAGTCATGCCTTCATTATATCCTTCATTCACATTCCATTTTAACTTTTCTCTGATTACAGTTTCTTTGTTGAAGCAAGGCAGTTCATGTCGCTAATGACATATAATAGTAACACGTCTTGTGGGACATGAAACAAAATGTGACAGTTCTAGATGACAGTCTGAGGGTTTCTGGGAAGAAAAAAAAAAGAAACTATGGAATAAAAAGAAAACTTGGAAAAGTACCTCTAAAGACTGAAACATCAAAGGAAAATATGATCATTGTCCATCATGAGCCTCAATCCTTCTTTTCCTCCAGAACACTTTCAAATGTTTGATGAAAGTTCTCATCCAGTAACAAATGATATGCTTAAGCATGAGAAATTAAGCAAGAGAAATGAATACTTTCACACAATAGATAACATTTGGTTTTTGAAGATGATAACATGTTTTTCATTTTTTAGAAAGGATATTGAGTCCTACAATCACAAGACCAAAGATTTTATAAATTCTTTAATAGAATGTGAAATTTTCAAAAATAAAGTACTTTGTTTTTTATTCAATTCAATGTTTAATCAATGAGGGATTTAGGATAACCTTCAGTGACATACATAAATGACTGAAGACAGAAGATTATGATGCAAAGCCTAAGGAAGGAGAATCCAGTGATTAAAGAGAAGTACAAAGACTACAAAAATAGTAATTGTAAAGTAATATATTATAATATAGTAATTGCAATGTAAAGTGAGCAATTTGACATTTTGATCCATCCCCAAAGAAATACCACTGATTCAGTTACTCTGTAAAACACTTTGTGTCATAAACCAAGATGCCATAGCTCAATACAATATGCATGTATTTAGATCTTAATTCTGTCACTGATCTGCAATCATTAATATGACTGAAAGTTGAAGCTAATGCAGATTTCCTAGAGGCTCCCTACACAGGACTGACACCATGACTACCAGGTTCAAAATGTCACTATCATTATACATGATCAGTGTATGAAATAAGACCCGTCCGACCGCCCGAGACGGGTTAGATTTCTGCCGGACGGTCTAATTTTACAGCTAGCCAGCCCGATGGACAGGTGAAAACAAATATTCAGATAACATGTAAACTGGCACTGTCTATTTAGTATTTAAGAGTGAGTGAGTGAGTGAGTTTGGTTTTACGCCGCTTTTAGCAATATTCCAGCAATATCACGTCGGGGGACACCATAAATGAGCTTCACACATTGTGCCCATGTGGGGATTCGAACCCGGGTCGACAGCGTGACGAGCCCATGCTTTAACCATTAGGCTACCCCAACGCCCCTAGTATTTAAGAAGGACTGGTTAAATCTCTTCTGGGCTGGTGAGTTTTTGAAGTTACCAGCCCAGATGTCTGGCTGGGTTTTTGGCTTATTTCAAACACTGACATCATCCTGGATATATTTACTAATCTAGTTGACATGTTGTATCAAATGTAGACTTAGGCACCCATTCTTGTCATGTACCATTAAAATGAAACGAATGGACTCAGTGGTATCTGGCTAACCAAGCGATGTTCCAGATGTAGATTTAAGAATTCTTCAACTAAAGATAATTCGAGCGCAGAGTTGTTTGTACGCAGAACAACATTAAGAAAACTTGAAGAGTAAACAGCACCCCTCTTTCAATCTCAGATCAGCAGTTGGGATTTTCCAATATACAATATAGATAAAAATATTTTAAACTGACTTCATTTCGCCATGCTGCAATTTTATGCTACATGAAGCAGGCAAGTCGCAGAAGTGGGGGTACACACATTCTGAGCAAAGTGTAGCCGTATATAGCAAATAGCAGTAGTCCCAATAACTATTGCCTGTAGGAGATCTATGTATAACTACTGTAGACAGCGAAGAAAGCGTTTTGTTTTTAATGAAGAAAGAATATGTTCCAGGGTGGCTTTTCATGTGTTATGTTGGCACGACAACCCAGTCCAATTATACAAAAGTTAACCTTGTATGACACATATATGGTGTTAGTCATACGGAATTAGTATCTCCACACTTGTTCAAAACATTGCAAATCACCTAATGCAACAAAGTCCAAATGTAATACTTAGCCTAAATTGACATTTAGTTAACATGGTAAGCAATGTGTTAAGCCAGTCCTGTGCTTATGAAGACTTAACATCGAGAAAGAGCAAAGATGGTTTAAGGCGGCTAAGCTTGCATCAAACAAAAGACTGGATTGAGGCTAGATGGATGATCAAATTTAACAAAAACTTACGCTTCTTTGGTCTTAGCAAGCGGGCACTCAACAGGAAACTCACCATCTTTTTACGATTTTCTTTCTTCTTTTCCCTTCTGTACTTTTCATCTTCAAAATCCTCTATTTCTGAAAATGATGAACAGGTTAGGATGTCAGGCTCGACAGATTCAAAATGCTCGAGTCCATATGATGAAGGAAACAATCCCCGCAGGCTTAGAGTGAGTGAGTGAGTGAGTGTGGTTTAACATGGTTTCGTGCACTATTCAGATGTTCTTCAGCCATTGTATAGGAGTGGGTAATCCAATATACATGATGAGTAAACATTTTAAAGACATGGCAAGACAACTTAGAAAAGAAGAGTACCAACTGTTATGTAACATCAAGATAAAGTTATGTTATTTGAGAGCTACGTAAATATACCATTGCTAATAAGATAACACTGAAAATGAATGAAGCACTAATACCCTCAATGCACAGCTGCACCAAATGTATTCCACATCTTGCACACACAACCTACTAACTTGACAGCTTTCCATTCATCAAATACATACGAACATGATATTCTGATTGCTTGACTTTCATCTACTACACACACCAAGCAAAGCATTTCCATACCATGATTAAGATCTTGACGTTAAAATAGCTAAACGTTACAAGTAGTAATGTCACACAAAGTTTTCCCATATTTTACCAATGAGGGTCGGGTCTATGGCATGACAAGTGAACACTTTAACCACTAAGCTACCCCACCACCCATGTGTTTTTTTCACCAGAAAATATAAGGAACAATTCCCTTAATCACGAACATAACAAAGTGCAAGCAAAAAGAAAAAAGCAATAGTGACAAAATTTCCTTATGAAACCAAGCAACAAGGAATAACAATAAATATGTTATCCCAAGTATGCGCCAACCATGCATAAACTCACCACTGATAACAGTTAGACCATGCCGTCTGTACCTTGACAGTTCTTTTATTCGAGATTTCAATTCTTTTTCTTCTGCAAAGAAATCCAGAGAATGTGTTATTTGATGTTCATTAAACATATTTTTCTGAAACAAATACATCCCCATTTGTACCAGATACTGTCAACGACATAACCAATATAACGGGCTGTGCAATTATTCATTTGAACTAGTCTGTTCAAAATCTACTTACTTTGTAAATCTTCAAAGAAATGCTCATGTTCTGCTGCCGCATGAAACTGGGAAAATGATTTCATTTTTTCCTGGAATTCCCTGGAATCAGAGAGAAAAACATACATCCTTCTTTCATTATCACTGTTTCCCTATTATTCCACTGTTTTGAAAACCCTTTTAAATACCACAAAAGCTCACACTCAACAATAAATTCTATTAACACATTCAAAGAGTGAGTTAGCATGGTATTACTCCACTTTTAGCAATATTCCAGCAATATCACAGCAGGGCACACCAGAAATTGGTTACACACATCATTCCCACATGGTATTTGAAGCCAGGTCTTCAGATTGACGAGCTTTAATCGATAGGCTAGCCAGTCGCCCCAGCACAAGTCACTCGGATTGGGTGCGTGGAGCAGCATGATGGTCAAAGAATGACACATTCATTGATTCAAGTTTTACATCATTGATTGATTGATTTGATGTCACACGCATCAATATTCCAGCTAAATGGTAGCGGTCTGAAAATAATCGAGTCTGGACCAGACAATCCAGTGATCAACAGCATGAACATCAATCTAAGAAATTGTGATATGATGACACGTGTCAACCAAGCCAGTTAGCATATCGACCCGATCCCATTAGTCGCATCTTACAACAAGCATGAGTTACTGAAGACCAATTCTAACCCGGATCTTCATGAGTCGTTTGACACCAATTATAACACACAACAACTGCAATGTATGATTAATGAGACACAGCATGGAAGATCTTATTACCTGACATCTTTTGACATCTTTTTCTTCTGTTGCTGTGATTTGGACTGTTTGGAACTGGTGGATGCTGCCGATGTTATTAAACCATAATCTCTTGCCAATTTTTTTCTTCGCTCCCTTTCACGTATTCTTAACCTATACTTGTCAACCTGGCATAACTTAATTTCTGTCAAAAGAAAAGAAAATTGCTTTCACATAAAAATTATCTTCATTATCAGTAAGGGACCATTCATAATTTATGGCTAGGGGTGGGTGTGGGGGGTGGTGATGATGGTTTAAGAGGAGACAGGGTCACCCATTTTGTTCTGGGCAGCTAGGGGGTCAGCAATTTTGTACACACGCACGGGGGTCAGCAATTTTGTACATAAAATTATGTTTTTATACATGAAACATGAAGTGGAGGGGGTCACTTATTTTGTACATAAATTTTGTGTGTGGGTCATTCACATTGTACATGCTTCTCCATATAAATCATCATAAATTATGAACGGTCCCTAACGATGAGTTTTGATTTGGGTTTACAGAGAACTGTAGCTGAGGCAGTTTTTATGAACTTTCATTCACATAAAACTAACACATTCAGTTAGAACAGATTTACTCAGTCATTTGCTAAACTTTCTCTATGTTAACAGAAAACACAACTTTACAAAAATGTACACCAAATCTTTCTCTACTCAAGTGTGTTATCATTTGTTAATGTTGCTTGATATGGTTTCAATTGTGACTTCAACTGTCCAAGACAACTGAAAGGAAGCTTACCTATATCTAGGTCATCATCATCATGATTGATGCTTAGACCACTGACTAGAGTTTCAGCATCATTGTCAAACTCCTGGAACAAAACATAAAATAATAAGTCAACATTTCTGCAGATCCTGTTTGTGAGTTGAAAACATTTTCAACCCTTCAATTTACATATGTTTCGGAAGTCACTTTGCAAGTATATTCTCAGGGTTTCACAACACGGAAATGTGCATCCAGTAGAAACTAATGCAGTAAATAACAAGAAGACACGGTCATCAATATCACCCGCCACAGTGTTCCGTTCCTATTTTGACAACTAATTTATTCTTCTTATAAATAGTGATACATAAGCTGTTAAATGAGAAAATCTGTCCCCATTGGGTATAACGTGCACTATGTCAAGAAACGCATGACAAGGGCCATAACTCTGTAAAGAACTGTAACACAGTTTCTGTTTTCGACCTCCTTTTTGTGTCCTGAAAATACATACCACATTTGGTTTCCCTATCTATAAGGCTTTGTGAACAAATCTGTCCCTGTTGGGGATACCGTGCACTAAGTCAAGAAACGCATGACAAGGGCCATAACTCTGTAACAAATTGTAACCCAGTTTCCATTCTTAAACGCCATCATTCATTCATGTCCTGAACACATACCAAATTTGGTTTCCCTATCTATAACGTTTTTTGAAAAAATCTGTCCCCATCATCTCCGACGGACGGATGGAGCTCAAACCTATGTCCCCATCCCACTTAATGGTGGGGGATAATAACATTGCATCCCAAGGGATGTACAACCATAGTCTTGCACAAAATTCTTAATAGGAAAATAGGTCCTGTACTTTAAGTAATTATCAAATGTTACAGTATTGTACACTACACCATTTCATTACTTTCCAGAATCATTTTCTTTCCACTAAGGATCCTAAATCAATTTGTTGTACCCTCGGCCTCGAGTTTTGTAGGTCAGGGTAAAACCCTGCATTATTTTGATTGCTAAATGATTAGGACCGACATGTGAAATCATCACCTTAACTATTAACCATGTTAACAGGGAATATTGTAAAGGTTTGACCTGCACAACACTCACCCTCTCAAAGTCGTCTCTGAAAGGCATATACCCCAGCTCCTGTTGCTCTTGTATGGACAAGTCAAGAGGCGGCACTGGCACCGTGATACTGGGAGACAACGGACCTGAAACACATAATCATAGCTACTGACTAACAGGACAGGTTTCTGTTGAAAACTTACACAAAATGCCCAACATTTAAAAAATATAAGTACATTATCTATTTCCTGCCCAAGTGCAAGAACCCATTAGGAATAACTAGCATCAAATATCTGAAATCAAATTCCAGGTCTGTGATTGGGTACTCATGACGATGGCCCAAGGTCAGTCGTGAGTGTTACTCATACTTCAGTTGAAATTCACCTACATCTGTGATGAAACTGTATGGCTTTTGAGTATTTATAAACATCTTTTGATTAGTTTGAACTACCATCATTGACCTGGGGCTCCTTTCACAAAGCAAGCTTTACTACGGTTAACCTTAACGCTCATTCTTTAACATTGCACTAAGGTTACCTTAGTGACTCACGATCACCTTAATGCTTTGTGAAAGGAGGCCCTGATAATCCACAGGTATGGTGGAAACATTTGTGTGGAGGGCCACTCTAGGTGCAAGTACTTAGTAAGCACTAAGCTAAATGATGACCATTCTGTTATGTTTTAATATGCCAGGAACAAACAAGACACAAACGTTCAATGCTACAGTCATGAGAATAGGGAAATTACATTATGCTAAATGCTTAAATAGTGCAATTTTAGGATATGTAAGAAACAGGTTACTATACTTGTAGTTGTCATATATCAGGGTATGAAACTCCCCAAAATTTCAGCCAGACCACAGGGCAGGTTAGATGTAAAACTTGCCAGCCCTGACCAAAACTTACCTGCCCAAAAATATCTTCATATACGTCTAAATTTTAACCTGACCATCGGGCAGCTGAATTTGAGAATCTGGCAGTCTGTGTTGATAATAACCCACCCCTGGCGGTCGGGTAGGCAGATATTTTGCTTGATAATGGTGTTAGTAGCTACACCGAAACGTCGCTCATATTATATTTAAGAAGTTGTATATCCACAGAACTGTCCTCTTTGTTCAGGTATTTTGAACGCTGCATATACTTTTTATCTCTTAATCTCTACATCAGGGGTATGGACAAATGATTCTGGACAAATGATTCTTGACTTGACACCATCAGGACAGGTGTGGTCCAACACTCGAAACCCATATTCTGTCGGGAATGTGGCTGGAACACAACATCAGACATAACAATTCCATCAACAGAGTGTAATAAACTTGGCAGTCTAACCACAAGACTGTTGAGTTACAATATACACATGGTTTGGTTGCTATCAGTAGTGATAACGTAAGTCTGCAATCTCTTGACATGTTGATATATACAGCCTTCCATAATCAGTCAAACTAAACAATTTATAGCGTCAATTATTTCTCGGACAATTACTTTTAGTGAGTATGGTTTTACACCACTTTTTAGCAATATTCCAGCAATATCACGGCGGGGACACCAGAAATGGGCTTCACGCATTGTACCTATGTGGGAAATCGAACCCAGATCTTCGACGTGATGAGTGAACGCTTTAACCACTAGGCTACCCAACCGCCCCCATTACTTTTAAATGCTCTGGTGGGCAGCAGTAAATTTATCAATAATAAATTTTCTTGATAGCAAATACTTCTGTAGTGCTGATCTTCCACAACGATGGATGTTAACTTCTCAGTAATAGATTAAGTTAAAAAGACTATATCTACCTTTTCCTATGTTTCCCTGAACAAAGAAGTTGATATAATGTTCCTGGCATTCTGAAAAAAACAGAGGCAAAATGTTATGAGCTGTTACAAATGAGTGTCTCTTTCTGTCAAACACAAAACTAACACTCTGACAATAAATCCACTCAAAACCTCCTGATCTGAACATGCTGAACAGTGCATGTGATTAGAATGAAATTCCTAGAACATGTAGTTGATCGTTGTTCAATGTGGCTCTCAGCAACATTGAAGCTATTAGAATGTAGCCTGTATGTAATTGACTGCGGACCAGAAAATCCAGAGATTGATATTATGAACAATGACCCACATAATGGGATCTGATGACACACAGTGAACCAAGTCACAGTCTGTAACCTTGTATGACCAGCACAGATCTCTGGGGACCAATTTTAACCCAGAATCCCAATTTAATCCTAAAATCTGAACGAATGTACATGTGGTTGGTGTTCAAATGTGGCCAATACCATAAAGATATACGTACTCTAGTATGAGTGGTAAATGTGTATTACATGAAACAGTTTAATAACAGATTCATAATGCCGCTTAAATTCTTAACATTATAGATAAGGAACCCAAGACTTTTCCAGAATAATATGGACATAGATGGGAGAAAACGCTCAATGAATAATTATAATTACACGGTATGTTTTATAACCATATTCAGGACTTTTTATATGTGCTCTTTAACAGCCACTAATGTGAGCCAGGTTTTAATTGCTATCACATTTTCACAGCAAGATACCCATAAACAGGCTTCACACATTGTAATGTCAAACATATGCCTTGATGCGATGAATGAACACTTTCCTCACCACCTCAAAAGCATCACTATAGACTGTTTGGGTCAAAATGATACCGATGAATCCCAAACTAATTCCAAATCGGTTCATGATCAAACATTCATTTCAATGCAGAATGTAAGGAAAACATCAAAGGATTCATAATGTTTGTCTCCAAAATAAAAAAGTTACTTAAGAAACTATCATCAGTTTGTTTGGATTTTCCTTAGGTGTTTTTTTAACGAGGGTAAATTACAGTTGTAAGTAGGGGTGAAACGGTACGCTCTTACCACGGTACGGTACGTATTGCGGTACAAGGCCTTCGGTTCGGTCCGGTATACGAGATATGATCATAATGCAGAAAATTGACAACAAGAGTCAAACCTTACATTGTTTAATAACATAGAAAAAAATAACTATAATCTTTGTTATTTTGAATGAACAAAACTGTCATTTCATGACAAGATAGAAGAATTAAAGTATCACTGGAACCTTGGAGCTCACAGCTGCTGTGTGGCAAAATAGTAAGTAGCCAAGTATGATTAAAAGTCACTAACATCACATCAGCATTTACTGCTGTGAAATGACGTCCCAGAAAATGTTCATGCTTAAAAAAAAAACCCAAAACAACAACACACAAATCAGATCTTGTCTAATGTGACTCTGTTGATGACACATCATAGACAAATAAATTAAACAAATTAACACAACACAGTTGTCATAAGACAGTTACAGTCTGTGTGACTGATCATTGTCCTTGCTCTAAATCATTGTCTATCTCTCGTTTCAGTCGGTTAAACATTTAGCGACTTTCCACAGTCCTTAAGAAGTACTGCTAAACAATCTTGGCACATTCCAGAAATTTGTTTTATTCAGTTTTCAGATTCATTCAAAATATCTTTTAAAGTTGACTCAGAAATGTATTTCTCCTTTCTGAAACAAATATGTTTTTGCTTGAGAATGCTGATTTCTCTTTTTACTTGTCGTTAATTGTTCATTGTTCTGATATAGCTTGTAATGAGATCAGAGCTCCAGATAAGATTTAGCTCATGTCCATGGGTACTGTACCGACTATTTTTTTGGAGTGGGTATTATGAATGTTGAGTGGGTATTTCATTTTCTGCTACCCACTGCTTTCAAATATGTGCGTATTTCAGTCATTTTACTCACCTAAGTATTATGTGACTGAGTAAGTTTACTAAGCAGGTGTGTTCTGCCTTATGTCATACCTAATCAAAACCAACTTAAATATAATGGAAATGATTTCATAACAAATCACTCATCCTATACTAACAGTATAACTTGATAGCATTTTTCATTACGCAAGTGATTTTTATAAATATATTCCGCACGCATTTGTTTTAAACTTTTTGCGTATCTAATATTTTAAATGCGTAATTGGTACGCCAAAATTATTTTTCAATGCATAATTGGAAATTTAATATGCGTATTTTACCCGGATATGCAGCTTATCTGGGCCTCTGATGAGATGGTAGCAACAGCAAACATAAGTCTTAAGAACTGTGACAGGAAAGCCACCAGGTCAATACCCATAATTGCAGTCATCCCTCGCCATAACCCTGGTCTTGGGGTCCATGGATGACTAGTGTTGGGAATTGGTTAAAATCCCATAATTGATGATTGGTTCATCACAACCGATCAATCATCGAAAATAATTGGTTATCGCCATTTATCAAATTTTTCTGATTATGTTTGTTAATGCACAAGAAATGAAGAAAAACACCTAATTATTCTACATTTTTGGATGACTAGTATGCTTGGAACGAGCTGAGCTGGTTGTGCTAATGAAATGGGACAGACAAAACCAACCTTGTGAAAAATATTGTTAAAGCAAAATACATCTTTAAAATTGTTTGTGTTCGATTATGAGAAAACATGATCGACTGCTTGGTCGTTTAGTCATTGCGACCTATATTCGATTATTTCAATTAATCGGACCACCACTATGGATGACCCCCGAGTGTTGAGACATAATAACGTTATACATATCCTGGAATAAAGGCCAAGTAAAATTGTATTTTCCAAATACATAACAGAACTGCTATTTCGTGTATTGTGCCCCGTCAAAACTACATTGTATAGTCGGAGGTGAAAAAGCAAACTTTGTAAATGAAAATAAATATGTGTATAGGAAACCTGCAATCAAATTAGACATCACTAGACATGATAATTCAGTTGTCCTTCCTGTCATGCTACCTTTTATTCAACTAAGCCCTAAATAGCAATCAGCTGTGTAATAATGTTTCGTTCCAATCTACCGATGATTCAGTTAAAAACGATCTGAAAATATAACATCAAAGAATTTCTATTCCATTACCTAATAATTTATATCTCAAGCAGTTATTCTATAATATATCGCTGTGGTTTTAGTATTATGCATGTTTTCTACGAACATATTTAACATAATAATTAACAAAGGCTCAGCACTTTGGGTTAGTGGCTGGATACATTTTATGTACGAGACTGTTGACTTCACTGTTGACTTCCCGCGGTACCTGCCACTTTGATTGTAAAAACAAAATGTTGGCAATTAATTGTGAAATATAACTTCAATGAGTCAATAACTCGGATCTTGGGGTCAATGGATAACGAGGCGGTAATCTGTTCGTGATTGCTGAGAATAATGTGAAATTGGTGCTATCGCGGTGGGTGCTAAAAGCGGACCCTAATGAACAAGGTAAGCGAAAGTGGTACGCGTATAGAATGAGGGGATGCCATTTCACACATGTTTTCTCCGATGTTACTGTAAACAGTTTTAATGAATGAAAATGGGATTAAATTTAATAAAATAAAATGAAATCGATGAAGATCGTTTCTTTATGAGTTTTTGGATGGCAGTGTTTACTCGCGCTATATAATGCGTTGTGTTGCATCACAGCAAACATCGGTACTCGGATGATGGCGTGTCTTTATGAAAAAGTTGTGCTACTTTGATCGTAGCCAATGTGTTAAGAATGGGCTTAAGAAGTTCGTAGGGCTATGAACATTTCGAGAATAGCAAGCCTGGTATTTGCAGTTGCTGTCTCGCTGACATTGTAAGTAGACGACTTGAGGCGATCTCGAACTTACTTCCAGAAAAATAGTGACCGTCAAGCAAAGAGATGCATAGACTTTGACCAAATGATTAGATTTCTAGACATTTTAGAAAAGGTTTAAAATAATTAATAAAATGACGGTACGAAAACCGAAAAGACCGAATTTTTGGATTGCATTACGGTATACCAAATGAAGGCAAAATACCGTTTCACCCCTAGTTGCAAGAATAGCCTCAAGGGTGGGAAGCACATGCAACTGTGCATGGGTGGAAATAACCCATTGCCCGACATCCCAGTCCAGTATTTTTTCTGTCGGGCAAGCAAATTTGTATATGACACTGTACTGGTGTCCAGTTGACTTTCCAATGTAATTATGTTGTTTATTTAAAAAATCAACAAGAAAATTGGTCGGTGCAGTGGAAACATTATCAGGGCAAGTGATTTTACATGTGCCACTGTACCAGAGTACACAAGCAATATTAAAGTTATTTCAATCCCTGCTGTGTCGTCAAATCAAGCATAGCTAATATAAACGAGTATGGACCAGACAATGAGCATCGATCTATGCAGTTGAGATATGATGACACGTGTCAACACCTGTCCACCCAATCCAGTTAGTCACCTATTATTATGACAGACTGACTGACTGAGTTTGGTTTTACGCCGCTTTTAGCAATATTCTAGCAACATCACGGCGGGGGACACCAGAAATGGGCTTCACACATTGTACCCATGTGGGGATTCGAACCCGGGTCTTCGGCGTGGCTATTATTATGACAAGCATGGGTTGTTGAAGATCAATTTTAACCCGGATCTTCATGTGTTGAGTAACAAGAACAGTGAAATTTGTAATTCTAATTTACAAAATTTAACTGACTTTTAGTGCAGATATGGATAAAATAAATCATATTACTGTGTGTAAATAATGTGGCCGCTTCAGATTCGTGATGTCCTTTATAATATCTGAATCTTTTACTTTCAGCATTAGGGTTATGAAGAGTATCCCTTTTATGCTTAGTTTTCAATGTGGATAACCAACTTATACTACTGACTGAGTTTAGCTTTTTTTACGCTTTTAGCAATATTCCAGCAATATCACCGGCAGGGGATCTTTACAGAAATGGGCTTCGCCACATTGTGCCCATGTGGGAATCGAACCTCCGGTCTCAGCGACGGAGCCAGCCAACGCTTTAACCACTAGGCTACCCCTCAATCCCCCCACCAACTTATACTAAGGCAGACTTGACATTGAAGAGTCCATTATAGTGTCTCCTTGAACAGACAGTAAAACAAAGCAACATCTAAAAACATAAAACAATGAAAATTTCAACCATCTAATCTATAACATACCTTGTGCTTTCCTGGCTTTCAACATGGTTAGCAATATCTTCCCGAAGAACACAAAGCAGGATCTGAGTTAGCATGGTTGAAAATGTACAAAATTAGTCTCAGTCAGTAAACCAATGATGTGTTTGGTTCACCACCAACAAACTCACTTTATTACCCTGGTTACAGAAAACAGCTGAGTAAGATTCATTAATGCTGCTTACACATTTTCCATGAAGATTGTCTATGAGGCAAGATAGAAAAGTACTTCAAGGTTTCAAAAACATGGTCATACCCAAATAATGGAATGGTGCATGAAGAAACAACTTTTGGCACATCTTAATTAGCTACCAGAGTGAATGAGTGATTGAGTTCAGTTTTACGCCGCTTTGACCAATATTCCAGCATTACCATGGCTGGGAACACCAGAAATGGGCTTCACACATTGTACTTCAGTGTGGAAATCGAACCAGGGTGTTCCGGCATGACGAAAGCAAACTCTTTAACCACTAGGCTACCCCACCCCATCAGCTACCAGTCATGAGGTATATAGTGGTGATAGTCAAAATACAGCTAACAGCAAGCAACTGTAAATACCAGTCATCAAAATTCATTACTACTCAGTTAGCCTGAGACTACGGATGCGCATTGGCAGACAAGATGAAAAAATCCATTGATGGTTTGCATTTGAAGGTCATAATTCTGAACCAGTTCTCAGCGCTTCAGTTTTGCTACAAAATGTAACTGAATAAAACTGCTAGAAAATGTGACATAGGAAACATTTTTGTCTTTTCTAAGCAGGACTAGCAACAAACTGGGATTTTACTTAACATTCAATAAGGTCTACATAAGGCCCCTGTAAAGTGAGTGAATATGGTTTCACGCCAGCTTTTAGCAATATTCCAGCAACACCACAGCAGGGGGACAAGCACAAATGGGCTCCACACACATTGTACCCATGTGGGGAATCGAACCTCGGGCCTTCCCTTGAACAGACAGTAAAAAGCAACATCTAAAAACATAAAACAAATGAAAATTTCAACTATCTAATCTATAACATACCTGCTTGTGCTTTCTGGCTTTCAACATGGTTAGCAATATCTTCCCTGAAGAACACAAAGCAGGATCTGGGTTAGCATGGTTGAAAATGTACAAAATTAGTCTGTGTCAGTAAACTAATGATGTGTTTGGTTCACCACCAACAAACTCACTTTATTACCCTGGTTACAGAAAACAGCTGAGTAAGATTCATTAATGCTGCTTACACATTTTCCATGAAGATTGTCTATGAGGCAAGATAGAAAAGTACTTCAAGGTTTCAAAAACATGGTCATACCCAAATAATGGAATGGTGCATGAAGAAACAACTTTTGGCACATCTTAATTAGCTACCAGAGTGAATGAGTGATTGAGTTCAGTTTTATGCCGCTTTGACCAATATTCCAGCATTACCATGGCTGGGAACACCAGAAATGGGCTTCACACATTGTACTCAGTGTGGAAATCGAACCAGGGTGTTCGGCATGACGAGCAAACTCTTTAACCACTAGGCTACCCCACCGCCCCATCAGCTACCAGTCATGAGGTATATAGTGGTGATAGTCAAAAATACAGCTAACAGCAAGCAACTGTAAATACCAGTCATCAAAATTCACACTACTCAGTTAGCTCCTGAGACTCACGGATGCATTACAGACAAGATGAAAAATCCATTGATGGTTTGCATTTGAAGGTCATAATTCTGAACCAGTTCTCAGCTCAGTTTTGCTACAAAATGTAACTGAATAAAACTGCTAGAAAAATGTGACATAGGAAACATTTTTGTCTTTTTCAAGCAGGACTAGCAACAAACTGGGGATTTACGAATATTCAATAAGGTCTACATAAGGCCTCTGTGTGAGTGAATATGGTTTTACGCCGCTTTTAGCAATATTCCAGCAACACCACAGCAGGGGACACCACAAATGGGCTCCACACATTGTACCCATGTGGGGAATCGAACCCGGGCCTTCGCCATGACAAGCGAACACTTTAACCACTAGGCTGCCCCATAAGTCCTCTGAACTTGTCTTAGATGAATTTTTTTTTTAAAGTCTAAATTACCAGTTGCCAAATCCATATTGTTCTACAGCATCCAGCAACATATTTTCTTCTGCCAGAGACCAGGGGTCTGGATTGTCAAACACAGAGGGAGGGCTGTCACTCTGAAAGATAAACCAGAAAATGTCACTCAATTGAAAATCAGTGTTGAAAACAGAGATCCTGGGAATTTTGAATGGGATAGGTCAGTGAAAGAGAATTACCAAAACTGTTCAACAAACAGGGAGTTATCTTTACACAGTAAAATTTAATCATCATATTTTAGGCATAAATATATTAAAAAACATTAGCAAAGTGACTAAGTATATTTCTCATCATAACAAGCTGACACATACACAAGTGTCAAGTTTTATTTCTGGAAACAACTGTCTAGTAATGATGGAATATTCAGTGCTGCATACAATTAATTTTGGAATAGATGTTGTTTTACTTTCCTGCAAATTCCTCTTGGAATAAAAAGATAAGTAATCCATTCAGAACCAGCACAACTACATATTCATGTCAGTCATTCTAATGAAAAATGTAATTTTTAGAGTAAAATTGATATTTTATACTTATCCTGACTCATGCTCTTTTGCTTGTCTTCTTCTTCTTGCGAACATAGTGGAACACTTGTATCTCCTTATTTGAAGCTCCCTTCAAAATAAAATCACTAATTGGTACTCACCACGAGTTGCTCCCCTTTGCTTCCCCTGGCGGGAAAGGTGTCGCCACCCTCTGGCCATGTGCTCCACTCTCTCCTGATTTAGTTGAGCCCAACACTTGAATTTACAGGGAAATCCAAAGTGTTATGTGGGGAGGATGGAGGAGCTATTCTCATGAGTCAGGATAAGTATAAAATATCAATTTTACTCTAAAATTACATATTTTTCCTTATCCTGACTCATGCTCTTTTGCTTGTAGCATCCTACGGAACGGAGGTGGGTAACAGAATACTTTGGATTTATAATTAGTGATTTTGTATAGATATACTGTAATATCTCCCTCACGGGAACTTTCATGAAGGCTTAGATTTAGGATGTTTCCTGTATAAAGAAAACCATAGGTTATATAAAAAGCCATTAAAGGGGAATTACATTATGAATATATTGAACAATACATATAAATTATATATATATATATAGGTGACTCTGATAGAGGCACTGAAATTGACTATACTGAAAGTATATGCTTAAGGTTGAATACTTAAGCTGAACATATATACATAGCCCTAAAACTCCCGTAGAGTTATAAGCTAGATGAGTATGTATAAAATACATATTAATCTTGTGAGGATAATATTTTAACGCCTACGCAGGGACTGTCAGTTGCTGAGTTTGAGGACCAGTGGTCCGAAATGGTGAATGCCAGAGACATCTTCTGTAGTGATGTCTCTCAGGTAGTGATTAGCAAATACCATGTTAGATTTCCAATAGCATCCTTCCATAATCGTGTTCAAGGAACAGTTACCGTGTAGGGCGGGTAGAGGCCAGTGCCCTGATCTCATGTGGATTTGATGCTGTTGGTGGGTCCAAGCCTGCTGCCTTGTAGGCACGGAGAATGACAGTCCTTATCCAAATAGATATTGTGGTCCGTGACACTCTGTTTGATTCAGAGGCGATAAGGGATGAATAAACGCTTGAGAAATCTTCTCCTTGTTTTGGATCGTCAGAATAAACTTTGAGCCGCTTCTTACCGGACACAGTGATAGGTCTTGTGTATCTTCTGATCCGAGAATAGAGGATAGCCTCGGATGTGGAATAATCTGTCTGGTTGACCTGGCAGTTGATTTTTATGATGAAATCCCATCTTAACCGAGGTGCTGTGTTATGATTGTCATCAAACTGTATCCTCTCGTAATCCAGAGCGTGAATTTCAGACATTCTTGCTGCTGTGGCTAGCGATAGCAGAAACAGTGTTTTCTGTGAGAGAAATTCAAAGTTTGTCGATTCCAAGGTTCATAGACCTCACTCGTGAGGTGTTGTAACACTACATTCAGATCCCAAGCTGGAAGCTGGAACTTCCGCTTTGGTCCTCCAATCGAAAGCTCGTGAGTAAGGCCAGTAACTCTGGAGATCTTGTCAATTTGACACCCGCTCTCATGGTGATTACAGAACTAAGCCGCAAGATATGTTGATATCGTTGAACCTTTTAAATGTTTGTTTTCACGTAGGTAACACAAATAGTCTGCCACTTGAGGTTGTGAAGCCTCTCTTGCTGTAAACCCTTTCTTTGTTGCATAATTTTCGAAACTGTGCCACTTGTCATCGCACAAGTTACGAAGTTGAGTAACGTAAAGGCAAGCGCGTGACTGCTTTTGCCGCCCTGGCAGAATATCCTCTCTTGTTTAAACACATTTGTATACAGTCCATACGCGCAGTAGTTGGAACATTGCTGGGTTTTCGTGCACTTGTTTGGTGTGAGGATGAATTAACAGGTTTGGCGACTTGGGTAGCTCCAGTGTTGGTTGACCGATTTCTTGAATTAGTATGGGAAATCACGTTCTGGCCGGCCAGTAGGGCCGACCAAAGTGAGTTGTAGGCTCTGTGTTTGTCTGATTTTCTGTAATACTTGAGGTATTATTGCTGGCTGGCGGAAACGCGACGCATTGAGGCCTTCCCATGATAGACTTAGAGCGTCCGCTGCCCAAGCTTGGGGGTCTGGGACTGGTGACACTTAATGTCGGTAGCTGATTGTTGAATCGCCGCGGGCTTAATAGGTCTATTAGCTGGCCCTAATTGCTTGATTATCTGTGCAAAATTTCCCTGTTGATCATCCACTCTGTCGGTGATGGTAGATGAGGCCGGAGAGAGAGCCGCCTGCTAGTATATTTCTGGCTCGGGAATGTGCACTGCTCTGACATGTAGATTTAGATCTTGTATTAAATCGAACAGTTGAAAGCTTAGGTTCAAAAGGTTCATCGATCTCGTTGAGCCTTGCTTGTTTATGTAGAACGCCACTGTCGAATTGTCTGTATGGATCATTAGGCCGCATTTTGTAGAAATGTGCTCCAATGTAGAATGGCGCTGATTACAGCTTTCATTTCTAGACTGTTTATATGGAGTTTGCATTCTTGCTGATTCCATAACCCTGATATCGTGGTTGGTGAGATGAGCCCCCAACCTTGGAGTGACGCTGTCTACATACAGATGGGTTTTGTATTCCTGCTCTGCTAAACAAATCCCTTCAAGAGACATTCGATTTCTTGGTCCACCATAGTAGATGTGGTCTGAGATGTTTCGGTAGACTGAATGGTTGTACATCGTTGAGATGTGCGTTGATGAGGACCTGTAGGGGACGTAACTGTAATCTGCCTGTGACAGTCATGTCTTGGGCTGATGTGAGAAGACCTAGTAGGCTCTGCCATTGTCGCAGTGGTAACGGAGAGAGTAGAGCTGGTGGAATGGTCTGCTGTATCTTGAGCCAACGGTCTTCTGGTACCAAAATACGGTTGCGATTTGCGATGGTACTAGGTCCGACTTTGCGTGAAGTTTACTAACCAACCTAGTTGTGTTAGTAGCTTTATGATGTAATTTAACTGTAGTTTGAGACGCAGTGGATCTTGATCTACTTGTATCCCGTCGTCGAGGTAAAACGCACTGCGTAGCCCTTGACGATGTAGAAATTTGATAATCGGTTTCGTTATCCTCGTGAATAGCCAGGGGGCTGATGATATTCCGAATGGGAGTACTTTCCACTGGTAATGTAGCCCTTCTAGAGTAAATCGTAGGTATTTCCTGGAATCGGGATGAATGGGGATGTGCAGGTAGGCATCCTGTAGATCTATGCTGCCCATGTAGTCCATAGGACGAATCATCTGGCGTAACTGAGGTAAATGTATCATGCTTAAACTTCGGTGGTTTCGCGAGATAGTTCTTGTTGAAAAAGCTCATGTTGTAGATGAGTCTGTATTTCTCCGATGGAGTTTTTCTTGGGAACTAGGAAAACTGGGAGTAGAAACCTGGTTCGACGCTTGCTTGATCTATTACTTCTATGGCCTGTTTGGATAGGAGTGATGAAACAGCCTCTCTTATCTTTGGTAGTTGTTGCGCTTTGTAAATCGAACTTGGGGGTTTGATTGTCAGCGGAGGCTTGGCCTGTAGAGGGATACGAAACCGTGTTGAAGAATGTTGGAGACGTAAGGGTCTTGCAATATTCCCCAGTTTTCCCAGTGTAGTTGAGGCGCCCACCCACTTGAGCTGGCTGTACTGGAACGGCTGGGGGTGGAAGACTCCAGTCGCTCCGAACCTGTGTTTCAGCGTCTATAATTGCGGAACCTCTGGGTGTCCTGCCTCTTCCTGATCCTCCTCTATAGTTGCCATATGGGCTTACTTAAAAGAATCTTTACCTCTAGAGCTGGCTATCTTCCTGTCTCTTGCTCTTTGTAGGCCCGTGAACTTAGATCTGCCTGAGTATCTTTGTGAAGTCTGACGACGACGACGCTGGCTAGTGTGTCCATCGATCTAATCATAAGGACTTCCCTGGAATCCTTAGAGACTTCCATGGCTTACTTTGTCGCATCCGTCAAAGATGGATGTTGTCGACCACGGGCTGTATAAAAAGTGGGGCTGTAAAGTTCTCCCCAATTACAGGAGGCGAGGAGGCCTTGACGAATTTGCGAGCTAAGGTCAGTGCTGCTGAAACAGATGTAAGATGATCCGTTAAAAACTGCTGATCTTTCTTTGCATAAGTAAGGCAGAATAAATCATTCTATCATCTTCCGCCGTGGAATCCCGAATCTAGTAATAAGAGTCTCATTGATCGCCCTAGATCTATTTAACCCAAAGAACATATGCCTCGCCATGGTTTCTATATGAGCCAACTTGAGATCATCCATCTTGTAAATCTTGTTCTTTACATCGCTGATGATCTTATAGTTCTCATCGATGTCCTGGGCCTTGTAGAAGGAGTCCATGTTATCGTGGAGAACTTCTTGGCTTGAAAGTTGGGCAGATGTGGTATCTGAACTTTCGTAGCTTTCTGGAAAGCTGCATCTAGATTCTGTGGCACTGCCGCAATCGGGTCGATCGGGGTAGAGTGATTGCATCTGGATCATCTTCCTTCATCAAATACGCCTGCGCTGTATTGCCACTTTTAGATGGTGATGTGAGATCTAGGTTATTGACCATCCAATACCGTGATCTCTGCATCAGAAAATATGATTCCTCCATCATCCTCAAAACCATCATCATTAACAAATTGTAGATGCTCTTCGACTGCGTGTAGCTGTCTGTATATCTGATGCGGTTTGTGGCGATCTAGTTGACTTGTGCGCCTATGTGGAGATCTGACGGGTGATCGACCTGGTGATGAACGAAGTGGAGATCGCTCTATGGGATGATCTTCTCGGAGACTTGTGAGGTGAATGTTGATAGCTTCGCGAAGCTCTTCGGCAGTCCCTCGATGTTCTTCTAGATGATGAAGATCTGGAATCATATGTCCTTCGCGAATGCCTTCAGCGGCTTCATTTAGCGTCCGTCCGGGATCGATGATATGACCTTCGCGAAGGCTTCCGTGATGTCTGATGGTCTGAGTCCATATCTAGAGATGAAATCGAAGATGGTGATGATCTCTCCCGCTAGAAGGCCGAAGGCTGTACATCTAGGTCCTTCGGCCAAGGTGGTGTGGGACTTCCTTCGCCGAAGGTGACATCGCCTTGGCTGCTACGCTGACGGGGGTGCCTCTGGGTGCTGTTCACGCTGGAGCCTTCGTGGAAGGCTCGGACTTCGCTTGGCGCAGTTTGTAGTGGTCCTCCATGATGTTCATAATCTGCCGCATCATGTCTTCTGGGATGATCTCAGACGAAAGTCGCCGGGTCTTTTCTGCGATGGGGTTCACATCAATGACGTCTGACGTCGGTGTAGGCATCAGGCTGCATGGTGATCTCTGCAGAAGTCACAGTCGCTGACACCGGTCAGCTTCTTCTGCCGTGAAGTCGGGATGATTATCGGCTGATCATCGAGAGGCCCAATTCTGCTGCTGGAACGATCTCTCGCTGAGAAAGTTCTTGCTGTCTTCGTGAGATTTCCCTTTGGAAGTCTGGCGCTGCCCTGGGTGTCCTCAATCTGGCGTTGAGGCTAATCGATGAGGCCCTCTTAGACTTGGTCTGCAATGACGGGATGTCTGGGGAGGCCGGTCGCTTTTCGGGAGGTAACGGACTCGTCCCACGTTCCTCTCTGCCGCAGGGTCTCTAGCAGAACACCAGACGGAGAGGGTCGATCGCTAGCAGCTGACTGGATGGAATATCTGGACTCTCTGCCATGTTTTGCCCTTGTTTTGCGGATCTATCTGCAGCACGCCTTAAGATGCAAAGATGATATTTATTAAATGCAGAATGAGATAAATTAATGCAGTAACTGCAACGCGGAATTAAACGCGACACGGCGTAGAACAACTAGGGCATATTACATGTGGATCGGAGGCAGAAAAACGTAATCTACAAATCATTGCAGATTTTCATCAACGTAAAGCTAGCTGAACAATCACGTAATACACGTGAATAAACAGTAGAAATAACGATAATTAATCAATACAAATAGTAAAGGATACTAGCTATACCTCTATAGTAACCTATGAGAGGTAAAAACTAAGAGATTATCAAAGGATATGGTGTGTAAGGAGACACAAGGCGCTCTCACATCCTGCTCACTGGGCGAAGAAGGAGAGAGTGAAGCACATGGCCAGAGGGTGGCGACACCTTTCCCGCCAGGGGAAGCAAAGGGGAGCAACTCGTGGTGAGTACCAATTAGTGATTTTATTTTGAAGGGAGCTTCAAATAAGGAGATACAAGTGTTCCACTATGTTCGCAAGAAGAAGAAGACAAGCAAAAGAGCATGAGTCAGGATAAGGAAAAATCAGCAATTTTCTCTGATTTGTGCTCTGTTAGGATCGAACAAATGCTCCATAAGTTGTCAAGACTGGTTAACTTTCTAATCAGCTTATTCCAAATTAGAACACACACTGGGGATGAAACAAAACATGTTGATTGGTCTGAAACAGTGGCTGTGCTGTTGTAGATAGTTTAGACCTAATACTTTATGACTGATTGTTTGTTGTTTAAGGTGAGGTGAGGTGAAATTGGGTTTAACGTCGTGCTTGAGAATATTTCGCTCATATGACGACGTGCATGCATGTGTATGTGCGGCTGCTTGTACTAGCCCAGACTGAGGCTGGTTTTATAGTGCTAGCCCACTGAGATACCATGCCGCAGTGAAGCATGAATACCCCACTCAGACACATTATACTGACTCCGAGCCGACCAGTCCTTGTTGTACCCATTAATGCCGATCGCCAGGCAGGGACCAACAAGTACCATATTTTAACGACTTTTGGAATGACGCGGTCGGGGATCGTACCTGCGACCTTCCGCTCTCCTGGCGGACGCTCTAGCCACTACACCACAGAGGCGGTCCTTGTTGTTTAAGGCTGCACTAAGCAATATTAAAGCTATATGATGGTAGAGTGGGGATCAGACAATCCAGTGATGATGCATGAGCATCTATCACCACAATTGAGATACGATTAAACGGGCCTGACCATATGAGTTTCATTGTTAATTTCAGTGATTTTCTCTGCAGAGTTTGTAATTAAGAGGGCCCTTGGGTCCTGAGGTTTTCTCAAACAGCATTTGACTCCGGGGACCCTCAATTCTTCAGCTTTCAGCATCAGTGTAATGACAATAAAACCTTGGACTTCCATGCTTAATTTTGAATGCTATCATGCATTATCAGGACTTGTTTACATCTGTCAGATATCTAGACTGTCTCGGGCTGTCGGACGGGCCTTATTTCATACACTGGGTATTTGTACATGTAGTACAACAGCCAGAACAAGCTAAGAAGGGACAGTTAACATGATTAACATCCAATAATCAGGGCTTTACCTTGACTTACAAAAGTGGGGGGCCAAGGGACACCCATCCAAATTTTTTAATGGTGCTTGCTGGAAATATGAGGGTCCTGTAAAGTACTGCAACAGTTTCATGTCCCGTACCTGCAGATAATTTCTTCAGTGCATAGAAATTGGAATGAATCAGGGATCATAAGGACAGTTTTCATGACTGATGGGTGAAATAATAGAAACAGACAACTGCTCTTGATGCACTATAGGCATGCTCTCTGTAGTTTGTGTCTCTTCGGATGCAGTAATTTGGGGTTTTACGCGTCCATTTTCTACATTTGTGCGTTGCGTAAATACTGTAACTAATTCATCAAGACCTGCACATCTGTTTAACTGCTATTTTTTAATATTTATTTTCATCAACGGCTTACCTCTGAATGATTGTGCAAATGTAGTTGTTCAAAGTTTGTCATAAAATATATTTCAGTTATACAATGTATTATGGTATATCAAAAGGCTGGAAATAATCAATTTCAGGTGACTGAAACCAATGGTTGCCTAGGAACTATTTGCTCTGATGTCTGTGTACAGGTACGTCTCAGGGGTGGAAATAACCCATTGCCCGACGTCCCAGTCCAGTGTTTTTATCTGTCGGGCAAGCAAATTTGTATATCACGCTGTACAGGTATCCAGTTGACTTTCCAATGTTAATTATGTTGTTTATTTAAAAAATGAACAAGAAAATCGGCCGGTATAGTGGAAAAATTATCAGGGCAAGTGACATTACACGTGCCACTGTACCAGAGTACACTAGCAATTTTAAAGTTATTTCCACCCCTGCGTCTGTTACCATTTGCTTGCATATTCAGTAAGCCGAACCATATCTCTTCATGAAATCAAATCCTTATTCGCGATCACTAGAATTGATTATTCATGAATGTTTTAAAAATTATTATTTTAAATTGTTTAAATGCTATTTATTAAAGCAAGATATGCAAAACTGAATAAAGTCATGCCAAGACAACTGTCAAATTGTATTTAATTAACACTGTCAATTAGGTTAAAACATGTTAGAGAATTTATTTTGCTTTTGTCTCACTGAATATAATGAATATCTTATCAACAGCTGACATGGTATCAGTTCACTACCCAATATTTGTACTTGTTACCTAATCTCAGTGATATGTATCATAGTCGCCTCATAGTTGATTTATTGCAGACCTAGTGCACAGCTGACTTCATGGAGTTACTCTGCCCAGACTGCCAAAGGGGTACAGTTTCCAGATGAGAGTTTGCAATATTCCAGCTAAATCGAGGCAGCCTGTAAATCATGTAAATACTGGTGACCAAGGATCTATTTCACAAAGATCCCTGTGCCAGGATGATCGTAAATCTCACACTTTAACAGTCTTTCCATAAAGCATGAAACAGGTGTCATGACAATATAACAGGATATTCTGTATGTCACCTTATAAATGTCCACACATGTGAACATAAGAGTATACTATAACAATCTCATTCCTGGATCATTAAACACAAGTTAACGTAGGCAGACATAGCTTTTCCTCTCCCCTCTTAATTATTGTTGAGGCAACAGCTCCTGTGAAAACTACAACTCACCCTTCATTTAAGATAAGAAATTTCATTTTGAAGGATAAAATACTTAAATGTTTCTCAAATCTAATGATATTTTCAATCAAATTTCTTCAACTTCAGTTGGAAGACAAAAGAGCTTGTTGAAGGTAAAGATCCATCAATATAGATGAGAATGATACATGTTATCCAAAAGCACAGTGTATTATTAGTGATTATCAGTGATTCCACATATATGGAAATAAGTTTACATCAAAAGGTCTCGAACGCTTTGTTCTGTTTTAAAGAAATGCCAAAAGATGCCAAAATAGAGAGCACGGCTTCACTTGTTACCCTTTTTGTGTGGACAATAAATTACATATCAACGCCGTTCTGTATCTTATGAATAGTTGGACGCAGACATAAACATGTTCATTTTGTTTATTTCAACCTTTAAAATTAGATCAGTCACTAGAGTAAGACTTTTACTTAGTAAAACTTATTTGTTCCCTCACTTCCGGGTATTACAACGACCGAACTTCGATGTAACGGACACTCTGATTGGCTTATGCATGCATGGGCGGGTTAATCTCAGCTGGGGAAGTCCGTGCCTGTAGCTCTGCATTTACTCACCCCCACTCGATAACGGTGGTCCTTTCGGTGAGATCCTACTTCCGCCCCGTAAGAAAAACACTGCAAAATAAAGAAAAATGTGCAATCTTAAACTTTTGTTCAAATCAAAGGAAAGACTATGCATTATACAGTTTGATTTCAGGGGAAAACGAGATGACCTATTTCGAGCGAAAGCTTTCTCGTGACGTCACACTTGCCTGTAAACAAAGGTCAAAGTCTGGGCATTCAGCACATCGAATTCTGAAGCCAGAAATATCACACTGGCAATTGCTACAGCTGTGTTTTTCCATCCCCTACACACAAGGACACATCCGGTGGATGTAATAAAAGGCCAATTTGGTGGTTTGGAGGCGGTTTGGCCATTCAATCCACCAAATCTTCCCCACTCGCCATCTTTTGTTCATCTGCGATCGTGAAACCGTGACGTCACATTCTCCCATAACCCATTTGAATATCCGGTGTCCGAAAATAACTGTACGGTACTTGCACACACCTGTTCGGCTGGGTCGTTGTTGCATGTCTGAGTTTGTCTTGCAGGCCATGGATACATAAACTATGACACTACATTGATAATATTGACAGAGCTGTTTTATAAAGAGTTCTCTATCAATAAACATGACATTCGCCCGTGGTTTATTGTTTTGAAAAAACATATTTGCCAGGGATAATAATTTCAAAATCTCTCAGCAAGAATGTTAATCAAAGGCGTAAACATTATCCATGTTTATCAGAAAACATCATAGTTCCTAACAATAAATTTCATATTCCGATCGCTGACTGCCATTCCAGAATCACGGACATTGTCGATATTTTTAGTACTCGTTGGGTCATTATTGAAAGAAGAGAACGTAAAATATAAAGTTATGTCTGATAAGGTAAGGCGTGGGAGAAATCCTCACCTATTTTGTAAACATACTAAGATAATAACATACTGTGTTAAATGTGGATCCTGAAGTTTAAAATGGCAATATTGTATGTTACGTCTGGAATCTCCATCTTTGCGTTTCATCTAGACAGCATGGCTACAATGAATGCAGGATCAGATATGTCGCACTTCAAATAATTATTTATATATGACTTATAAACATGCGTTAATTAGCCAGGGAAAATAAATCCCTTGCCAAATAAACCCAAAGAAACGAGCGGTTGTTCCGTATAGTTAATTTCTCACTTTTCCAATCATTGAAATGTTTAATTGAAAGGTTTGGTTTGACATTCCAAGAACAATGGAAGCTTGCCATCGACATTTCGATTCGCGTGAGAGAGCAAGAGCTTGTATTTAATTTCACCAGCAATATCACTAGAGTTAAATTGAAAACATAGCGAAATGTATCATAAGTGACCATGATGAACAATATTGCTATCTCATTTACTCGCTATGTACAGTACATCGGCATCTATTTTTGCTGACACAAATATAAAGGTTTAGAGAAAAACAACATTGAAACAAAACAACCGTGCGTAATTAAATTTCTGTAGCCTATGTTTTGTGGGGCGGTGGGGTGTGATATGATACATGCAATCCTAGGAATAGATAGTTCCAACCATTTATATAATGAACAATCACCAAACGTTATTCTTCTTCACATGGAAACTCGACGTTATACTTCTTGTACCTCAGCGCCATTTTGCTCCAAATGAATATTTCACAACTGTGAGTGAGGTTAGTTTTACGCCGCACACAGCAATATTCCATCTATATGGTGGCGGTCTGTAAATAATCGATTCTGGACCAGACAATCCAGTGATCAACAGCATGAGCAACAATCTACGCAATAGGGATACGATGACATGTTCTAACCCGTATCTTTACAGGTGTGGGTCAGTGTTGTATTCAGGCTGTCACGGAGATCGATGCTGTTTGATTGTTGCACGTTTAAAGCCGCACACAGTAATAATCTAGGGATATGACGGCGTCCAGAATGCATTCTCGTCTGGGCCAGAAAATCCAGTGATTAAAATCATTATCACTGACACACGCAGGTACATTATAAGATGCATTAACCAACTCAGCGAGCTGGACCACCCGACATGCCGCCTTTACCAGCATGGTAAGACCAATTCCAATCATATCTTCAGGGGTTGACGATCTGTGAATAGTGCAAAATAAAACATTGAGTATTTTCAGCTTTGTTTTTCAATATCCGTGAAACTGTGTTTAACATACCATTCCCATATTAACAAAGCCTGGTGGCCAGCGGTTTCAAACATTCTGGATCCGCATTTAACCGGTCAGAGTTTGGTTCGAATCCCAGATTATGAGCTTTGGTTTGTCAAATCCGTGCTGACGCTTGTCACCATGTTGCGCCAATGTATCCCAATAATGTGTTTATGTTTTTATACCAAAATATACCTGTTCAGGTGGGACAACACAACATACACAGTGATATCGAAAGAAAGGTCTGCATTTTCTCTTTGTGGAGAGTTATGTCCCTTGGCACAACTGGAACTCAATTGTTACGATTCACTCGCGTATTGGTTGAATCGAACCATATATCCCTTAATGAATTCATCGTGATTGCTATGATCGAATATCCATAAATATCTTGCTTCAGACAGGAACTTTTTTTATTTGTTTGAGTGGCATTCTAGAAGTTGGTGGTGTAGAGATGACAAAACTGTATGGATGATCAACTTCTTTATTTTGACAACGGCGACGTTTCGGTATAGATTCTTATACCGCATATGCTTGAAAACGGTATAAGAATCTATACAGAAACATCGCCATTGTCAAAATAAAGAAGATGATCATCCATAAAGTTTTGTCATCTCTAGGAACTATTTTACTTGAAATTGGGTGTGAAAATGAGATATGCAAAAAGGAACATATCCAAACTAGGCTGGATAACAGTCAGCACTCATTGGTCATGTTATTGACAATAGTGTGGTCACTGGTCATTAGCGTACTGTCCGCATGGTCAAAACACGTCGTTTGTCCTTTCTCCCCCATTTAGCTAACATATAACTTGAATACTGTTCAAAAGCGATATTAAACTCACTCATACATCGGTATCTGAGAGTTTAAGTTTCTATATTTGGAACATAAAGTAGTAAAAGGATTTTGTTGGAACTTGTTATTAACTTTCATTCTACCAATAAACACAATTTGAAAGTAGACGTGTTATTGTGCCTTAATGAGTACATATCCAGCATCTAAAACAATATCCAGTTCTAGGTGTATTTGACATACTTGAAGTCGTAACGAATTATCCGCTGACTAATATTGAGAGATCGCAGAAACGCCAATTATTTACTCTCAGATTTCGGCATAGAAATACAATAACATGATAAACTGGAATTTGACATTATTGATAATTATATCATATTTACTGTCGTAGGGGGGGTAGCCTAATGGTTAAATCGCTCGCTCGTCACGCTAAAGACCCGGGTTCGAATCCCCACAATGAGTACAATGTGTGAAGCCCATTTCTGGAGTCCCCCGCCGTGATATTGCTGGAATATTGCTAAAAGCGACGTAAAACCATACTCACTCACTACCGTCGGTGTATTTTATGTGCGCTTCGTGTTACCAACGCATTGATATTATGAAGCATCTTGTAAATAACTGATATATATGACCGTTGAAATAGCGAAGAAACCCAAACAAACCTCCCAATAAAACAACAAACAAACATAACAAACAACCCAAGCAAAGACGAAATAAGAGGTTAAAGGAGAAGACGTTCGGTGTGTGATAACTGACGAGATATCTAGTGAATCAAGTTTACAGCTAATATTTTTAGGTACACGTTTACTGTGGAAATATTCCATTACGTTTGAGGCGAGTCATGTCTGCATGTTTATATTTACGTGCACGTAATTTCCGTTATGTGTGATGTTTGTATCTCACGACCTCCCTATCCACTTCCGTCACTATGTTAGGGGGACTGTAATGATTTGGTTTCCCATCTGTCAACTGTACGGCCAACTGTGTCCCTTTAACATTACATGCTGGGCGTCATGATTTCAATTTTAAACTTTAATAACATCGTATTTCTATATTTTATGGCGAGGTGTAGGCAGCATGACCTTAACTAAGACGTCACAGACTGTCCATGTTTGATGAGGTCGTAAAATGATTCACAATACATCTGGCTCACTGGTTACACCTGTTATGTGCTTTTTGCGCTTATTCAGTGTAGTTCTGTACCGCACAATGTGATTGATATAATATCAAGTCCGTACCAGACCGCCAAACGTTTCTAGCGGCAGCGCCTCGTTTTGAGATTCCACGATTTTCAGGTTTCTGTTTGTCAGTGCTCGCTGTACTACAGAGCACGCTGCACGACGTGTTTGCAAGGAATAGAAGGTGCTTAGTGTTGCAATATACAAGTGCTCAGATGTATCAAATAATACTGATTAATAATCATGTATCCAGTTAAATTAATTGGTCTCAAACTTTTGGACTGGTTATTGTACTAAGTTGCGCAATAGGACGGAACCCATTCAACAGGAAACGAGACTGCTGTGTAATCAATGTTTTGACTTGACTCGTAATCTCATAAAATAAAACACAATATAAACCACGACTTCTATATCCTTTTTCAATAGCGTCAGGACTGATCCCGACGCCCGTAATCTCATAAAATAATACACGACATAGACCCCGACCTCTCTATCCTCTTAACAGCGTTAGGATTGACCCCGACACAATATAGACCCTGACCTCTATATTCCCTTAACAGCAGATGTTGGATGTGTATTATTCTGTCTCACAGTCCCTGAACCACATTATTTGGCCCCAGCCTAGCCTTCCCTGCAGTGCTAAAGCCCTAAATGAAGCAAGTCTAGATTTCCCCAGGTTCTGAATCTCTGGTCTCCCTAGGGCTCCTTTTCAATTATAATAAGTTTGTTTGTTACTATCAAAATTATATCTATTCAGAGACTAAGCATTAGTCTAGATGTGTATATAGACCCCAAAAGGCGACAAGCCACGGCCTATTATCCAGGGCCTTAGGCGTGACGAGCGACCGCTTTAACCACTAGACTTCCCCATTGCCCCTAATATGCAGAAAATCCCCTTAGCATATCATGGTACGCGTGGAGACAGCCCCGACCTCATAATCCCCTTAAAATAACATGATTAATACATGTACACAGAGAGAGAGAGAGAGAGAGAGAGAGAGAGAGAGAGAGAGAGAGAGAGAGAGAGAGAGAGAGAGAGAGAGAGAGAGAGAGAGAGAGAGAGAGAGAGAGAGAGAGAGAGAGAGAGAGAGAGAGAGAGAGAGAGAGTAAAATATACGAAGATAGCCCCTTCAAAACATAATTGTTAGTTTACAGATAAAACCCAGGCCGCCACGTCAATCTTAAGTCGAATTGGTCCGATTATCAGCCGACTGAATCTTCGATTTCATGCTATTCGTCAGGGAAAGTGAGAAAAATAACAAGTTTATTGGTGAGAAATAAGACACACGTCTGTAATATAGACTTCGTAAAGCCGTCACAGAATCCTGGAGAGTAAATATCAGTGCTGGTTATGTGAAAAATACTCATATGGTGATTTTTATGGAGCTGTGTTCAATATAATGATTTTCAGCGTTTGATGCAGTTCATGACAGTAGTCCGTGCTGGAAGCTGTCATCAGCGTTGTAGTGACAACCATTAAACGGGGAATATCCACAATGCTGGATAGCTTATAGTTAGTGTCTCCCACAAACAGCTCGCAAAACAGTGTCAGGTATTAGATTCCAGCTGGGTTATATACATCCAGAATGTGTATTCACACTCGTAGGAACAGTTCGATCACGTCGTTGTAGCAGTTCACGTCCTTGCTGCAGTTCACGTCGTTCATTTCCATCGGTTGCCGTGACGTGAAATGGGCTGGAACATCGCTTTCAAGATTGAGTGCATGCGCGTGCATGTGTGTACACAATCTGGGTGTATATTGCTTTCAAGATTATTGATGCTTTGATGCTGTTTCATATGATAATCGTTTACGGGGTTGTGTAGTGTGTAGTCGTGTTTCAAATTACAAGTGCAATCACACACACATCTCAAGTAGTAATTTAGCTGTTAGTAATGTGTAGGTGGGTTGGGGTGTAAGTCGCTTACAGCATTAGTCATGCACTATTACGACGGGGGATTATGGGCTCAACACATGTCACCCTGAGGAGAATCGAACCCGGGACTGTTTGGCGATACATACAAGTAGGTAGTCCAGCATATAACGAGACGACTTCGCACTATACCAAGGTGTGCTCGACGTCTAGCCGGCGAATCCAAGTTCTTTGTCGCACCTCGCTAGGCAGAGAGGCACAACGGATTTAGGCAAAAACGAGAATGGAAACTCAACCTATCGACTAATACATGTGCACGGTTGATAAAACTTTTATTCATCTTCGAAACGAAACACTTGAAATTAATAGAAGAGCGCTCAGCCAATCAGAAAACGACATTTATATGTGAGGCAAGATGAGTTCGGCATTCCTAGCGGGGTACATAGAAAATGTTACTCGCTTGTAAGCAGAAGGGGGTTACATTGACTATACATAAGTAGGCAGAAAAGGTTCGACAGATCAATAGAAGACATTTATGTGTGAGGCAAGATAAACATGGAGGTTCCATCCTGCACTACAGCAGCAGAAGGTTCGACAGATCAATGTTCGACACAGAGGTGTTCGACTATACATACAAGTAGGCAGTATAAACATGGAGGTTCCATCCTGCACTACAGCAGCAGAAGGTTCGACAGATCAATGTTCGACACTGAGGTGTTTGACTATACATACAAGTAGGCAGTATATACATGGAGGTTCCATCCTGCACTACAGCAGCAGAAGGTTCGACAGATCAATGTTCGACACTGAGGTGTTTGGCTATACATTCAAGTAGGCAGTATATACATGGAGGTTCCATCCTGCACTACAGCAGCCAAAGGTTCGACATATCAATGTTCGACACTGAGGTGTTTGGCTAATATACATGGTTCCTGGTTCCACCCTGCACTGCAGCAGCTGAAGGACATGCCATCCAGACGGCACGGAGGTCGACCTCCTCTTTGTGGCTTTATCTGACTTGGCTGACACATGTCATCGTATCCCATTTGCGAAGATCGATGCTCATGCTGTTGATCACTGGATTGTCTGGTCCAGACTCGATTATTTAGAGACCGCCGCCATATGGCTGGAATATTGCGGAGTGCGGCGTTAAACTAAACTCACTCACTCACTTGGCATTGCTTTGAAGGTTCCATGAAAGTATACTTAATCTGTATCCGATTGAAAGAGGGTAGCCACCGTCACTGGCATAAAGTACATTTTTGTTTATACCCCTTACATTACTACAAGGCCTAGCTCATTCTGATCACTAATAAAACTTCAGTACATGTAGTAATGATATGATAGTGCACTATCCTAAGTGATCAACGTAGTTACCATGAGGCCGTCAATGAAAGCCTCGATGGATTTTGTTCAACTTCATTCTGTAAACTATGGAATCCTAGAAGGAACATTCAGCTTCCACTGAACAAAATGACGACATTTGTTCCTTTCACTGTGGAATCCTAGAAGGGACATTGTCGCGTTGTCACCCTCACAAAAACAAGCAACAAGTGTCAAAATTAACCAAAGTGCGACTATGCGACAACGCAACATTCTGGCTTTTGTGGCAACGTCGCACTATTTGCTTGTTTTTGTATGTAATCAATGTACGTAATATTGTGACCACCCGCTGTATGTCCATTTTCGGTTACAATAATTTGAATATTTCTAATTTGAAAAGTTGAAGTGCTGCCTGCTTAACAGCTAATGAATATTTTATTTTTGGTTATCGTTTGTGCCCTTAACTCAGTCATATCTCATCATGGTTGCTCGTACCCGTGAAGGTCCGGGTTAGAATATTGATCTTCAGTAACCCATGCTTGTCGTAAGAGGCGGGTCGGGATCGTGGTCAGGCTCACTGACTTGGTTGACATCGGTTCCCAATTGCGAAGATCGATGCTCATGCTGTTGATCAATGGATTGTCTGGTCCAGACTCGATTATTTACAGGCTGCCGCCATATAGCTGGAATATTGCTGAGTGCGGCGTAAAACTAAACTCACTCACTCAACCGTTGTTGCTCGATCAGCTGTAAGAATGTATTCCAATTGCTAAGAGGGAGTATCTAGTATTCAAAAACAGGCGTAAAACTAAACTCACTCACTCAATAAAACAAGTAATGCCACAAATAGGTCACTGAAAACACTTTTAATTGACAGCAGCCTTGTTACTGTTTTTTTTCCAGCTGAATGTGTCTTCCAACTCTCCTGCAGTTCAATGGCCAGTTGCAAGTGTCATATGTTCGCTTGGTCACTCAGTTGTGACGTCGTCGTGTCTCATCTCACCACACTCCTTTTCTTTCTATTGACCATGCATGTATTTTATTTACTGTTGTTAACTCAAGAGGAAGTTAACGTACGCGCATGCTTGATATATCACACACAATCAAATGTCAACCACTAGCAAGAACACTGGGGCAGGGGCATTTTACGGGCACTGGCGTGGTATCAGAGATAGAGGTCTTCCACTTTACAGGCCCTAGTGGCAGTATCTGAGACAGAGGTCTTCCGCTTTACAGGCCCTAGTGGCAGTATCTGAGATAGAGGTCTTCCGCTTTACAGGCCCTAGTGGCAGTATCTGAGATAGAGGTCTTCCGCTTTACAGGCCCTGGGGGCAGTATCTGAGATAGAGGTCTTCCGCTTTACAGGCCCTGGGGGCAGTATCTGAGATAGAGGTCTTCCGCTTTACAGGCCCTAGTGGCAGTATCTGAGATAGAGGTCTTCCACTTTACAGGCCCTAGTGGCAGTATCTGAGATTGAGGTCTTCCACTTTACATGCCCTGGGGTTAGTATCTGAGACAGAGGTCATCAATTTAACAGGCCCTGGGGGTAGTATCTGAGACAGAGATCTTCAACTTTACAGGCCCTGGGGGTAGTATCTGAGACAGAGGTCATCAACTTTACATGCCCTGGGGGAAGTATCTGAGACAGAGGTCATCAACTTAACAGGCCCTGGGGGTAGTATCTGAGACAGAGGTCATCAACTGTTCTTATGGTAGCACCCGAGACAGTGTTCACCAGTTTACATGTCACGTGGGGTAGAATCAGAGGACGAGGTAGCCACTTTTACGTCTCCCGAGGGTAGCATTTCAAGCAGCTTTTCATATCCCGGGGTAAAGAATCAGACACAGAGTTCAACAGCTTTACAATGTCCCGGGGCAGCGTCAGAGTAGGCACTGGTTCACCAGCTTATTATACCATTGGGAAGATAATCCGAGACTGTGGTCACCAGCATTAAACCTGACCTGCATTCAAGACTTGGAATCCTTAATGTCGGTGAGCTTTGTCTCTGTTTTGGAGATGGTGAATGCTTTGGAGGTGGAAGTGGAGGAGGATGCAGCGTTGGTCGCCTTCGTCGTCCCCTTCTTACTGTGACAACAACATTCCGAATACAGCCTGACAACACGGCAGTTGCACACAAACGATATGAAAATGAACACACCCTGGCTGGCATTCACTACGATGAACAGGTAACGGAGGGCCTGAACCTGGACGCCGAAGGCCACAAACCCTAGGATCCAGGTGATGCCAGTAAGGGAGGACAGCTTGATATACACGAGGACATGATGCTCGTCCTGCTTGCTTTTGTCAACTTTGGGCCTGTTTCGGATTGGTTTGATTGTGAGGATGAAGAAGACCAGATTGACGAGAACGGTCACAGCCACGGGGATTCCAAACGCTATTCCGGTAGCTGCTCCAGACGACAGGTAGCATCGTGAACCGCCGTAGCCGATGGAGGCTCCCTCTGATATGATGATATGCACCACCAGTGTGGCTACGACCAGTATGGCTGGCACGCCGTATATGAACACACAATACTGCAGAAATTTTCGTCTTCGTTCACTGGAATCTTCTCTGTTCCTGAGCGTTGTGAAGACTCTGAACATATGGAATGAGCAGACGCCCATTGCACTGAACACTGACAGCCAGAGGTAGTGGATGAATATACCCATAGCTTCACACAGACCCTTTGTATCAGATTTACCAGAGCCTACAAGGTACAACAGCTGAGCTGCAAATAAGGTAACAGTCAAGTTCATATTATTTTTACCTGGCGTGCTTCGCAGAGTTTTGAAGAGACAGTATGTTATGAATGTCAGAAGAAGGCAAACAAGCGACAATACGGTGCACACAATAGAAACAATAACCTCAGCCTCAGATGCTTGAGAGTCAGTCTGGGCTACGAGTAGTGCATCGGGTTTGAAGTGCTCCAGACAAATCTTCACCAAGCCACTGTCGTCCTCCTCAAAGTCTCCCTGATACAGGACCTCCTCCCGCCAGTCCAGCTGTATTGCGGAGTCACCTTCAACATACTCGTCCTTCTCGAGCTGGATCTGAGGACACGGCAGCAGGTTGGATACCCGGATCAGCACAAGATCTGTGGAGAAAGGGTCAGATGAGTCCGGTTCTGTCTCCACCTCAGGGTCATCTGATTGATACGGGTTGCTCATTGACACACTGATCACACACGATGTGTGTTTATGCACTCGACCCTTGTGAGTCCGGCTTATCAGCCGTGCATTCTCGTTTGGCATCGTGTGAAAAGATATGTTCCTGGTTTCCGTCGGAAGAGTGAAATTGGTACTTCTCAAATCCAGAAGCATTGACTCAAAGACTTTGGGGTCAATGTGTTTGGTTGTTAGGAATGTGGCATATATGGAAAGTCTAGAGGATGATTGAGAACAAAGGCCTTGAACGGCAGTTGTATTGAAGGCCACGACGAAATCATGGAAAGCGATGAGCATGCCAAGGGTGTAGGGGAAGTAATCCTTGAGGCGGGCAGGCAGGGAGTGCAGCAGATCCTTTGGACCAGAGAGGGCCAGCTCGTCGGCAGACTCCATGTCAAAGTACAACTCATACCCGAGACCCTTCGCCGAGCCAAATATTGGAACACAGGTCTGATTCAGCAACTGCTTTCCTTGAGAACACAGGATATCTCGACAAGAGTCCTGGAAATGAATATGAAATACGCCGTTAACATATTATCTCAGTAACAAAGGTATATTTGAAATAAGTCAAAATTAATATCAACTAAATTATCAAATAAACACCTGTTTTCTCTGTTTTAATTGCCCATAATGTCAAAATTCTTGTTCTTGTGAATGTAGGTGAGGACATGACTTTGTTCTAGAATTTGATGACTAGATTTGATTAGATGGTCATTGCATTAAATCCATGTTTCTCTACGCCATATTACCGATGAAGATCTGGGTTAGATTTGGCCTTCAGCAACCCATGCTTGTCGTAAAGTGCGACTAACGGGATCGGGTGATCGTGCTACCTGACTTGGTTGACAAGTGTCATCGTATCCCAACTGCGTAGAACGATGCACATGATGTTGATGACTAGACTGTCTGGTCCAGACTCGATTATTTACAGACCGACACTATATAGCTGGAATATTGCCGAGTGCGGCGTTTAACAAACAAACAAACGGCGTTTAACAAACAAACAAACGGCGTTTAACAAACAAACAAACACAACTCTACGTCACAAACGTCCGTCTTACCCTCTGGCCATCATATAGCTGTCCTTCTGTGCATTTCGAGCTTGGGTCGTGTCCGCTTCCGTACAGCGCCGAGCTGAAGTCCAACAGAGCAGAGAACGATACTGGTCTGCTTGGTGTTTTCTTGCATCTGGAGAACAGAACTGGATCGTCCGAGTTGCAGATGTAGCAGAAGACATTTCTGTATGTCTGGGTGCCCACTTCCTTGACTGTTGTGTAGCTGTGGCAAGCTTGCTCCAGCATCTCGTCATAATGAGGCCACTTGCCTGTTACGTTACAGGCCGAGATCATACCCCCACCCAGGTAACATTGCCGGGGAGGTGTCTTCGGGAGCAGCAAACACAACCCAACACCCCTCCTGGGCGAGGGCGTAATCCAGAACCGCGGTAGTCGAGTTGAACTTTTGGAAGTTATGGAACTCAGTACAATCAACCAACGACTTCCACGCCCGAGCATCGTGTACCCCCTGACACGCCGCGCAGTGTTTGTTGAGGTAGGTGACGTTGCTGTCAACGACGGTGACCGGAGCGAGGGAGGGGGAGTCTGCACATGAAGCTGCCAGCACAGCATCAGCGTCTGCAGGACAGGAAGTCACCATGAAGAAACTGCTACTCATGTTGATGCGCGCCATCTTTTCTTCCATTGTGTATCTGCCGTGAAGGTTGCTCATACACTGCATTGGGGGGAGGGCGACGGGGGGCTTTGCAACTCCCGACAGCGTCTTATCTGGGCAACAATCGTCGTAGACAGAGCACATGGCATCACACTGACACGGTGCACAGCGCCAGCATCGAATTGGACGATAGCCCTCACAGAGACGGTTACTTCCACAGTACCGGACATGCTGAGCCAGGATCTGGGATTTAAACACGTCTCGATAGGTGGCGTTGTCAGGCGTTGTCTCCATTGGCGGCAACGTACTGGACGACATCAACTCCTCCGCGAGAACCAGACAGACAAGCAGGTATCCGAGCCACCGAATCATGACTGCACGTAACCTGTGGAGACAATATCGAAACTATCAGCACATCATTTTCAATTTTGTAAAAATAAATTACACAAATTTAATACTAAAATAGTTTTACACAGAATGCTCATGTGTCTGGTCCAGACTCGATTATTTACAGTCTGCCATCTGGGATACTGCTGAGTGTGGCGTTAAACAACACATAGACATTCAGTTTCAAGCTGGGTTAAAATGTATGTTGCTAGTCGTTTCTTCATGTACAGATAATTATCCAGATCGTGGTAAAAATTCTCTTCGGGGGAAGTTTCTACAGCAGATGGAAACCATAATGACCACATTTCTAGAATTCCCATGTTTACTTCATAGTATCCACCAAGGCAGCGCAAAATCTTTGAAAACAGGCATGCACTGTTATCTTCAACTGTCATTGCAAGAACACCTCCACAGTTTAACGAGTCGATAGATATGCACTTCAAAGCTGCATACCTGGGTTCAGGTTTTTAGGGTATTCCTGTTAGCGTTTGGTGGTCCGCGATTTGACAGAAGCCAGTGCTGTATATATACTCCGCTATAAGTGCGTTGCTACAGTGATATTGTTGTGTACACGACGTGAAACAATCCAGGGACCCAGTTCAAGGTTATACTACACTAAATCAAAATCTGTAGTTTAACAAGTACTTGTCGTGCCTTCAGTGCAGACTGAATTATCTGACAGCTGTGATTGGATGATTTTGTGTAAGATTTTTGTGTGTTTTTAAATGTACATCCATTCAGTAATTTAAAACTGACCCAAATTATAAAATTTAATGCTGTCTTTTTTTTTTTACATGATGACTTATGCCGAATCTGAACACAGGTATTATTTTACAGCGGTTGACATTTTGTGCGGAACTGAGGTTGGTCTGTTTAGCTTCCGGTACTCGAAAAAGAAGCTGTATGAAGTGGTCATTTGTTATATTTGTACTGCTGGTTTAAAGCCACATGTAAATGTAATGGCTGTTGATGGCTTAGTTACTTGAGTGAGTGAGTGACAGAGTGAGTGGCATATGAGGACAGTTCAGACATGTCAAAGTGAGTGAGTTAGGTTTTACGCCGCTTTTAGCAATATTCCAGCAATATCACGGCGGAGGACACCAGAAATGGAGCTTCACACGATGCACCTATGTGGGGAATCGAACCCGGGTCTTCGATGTGACGAGTGGCTTTAACCACTAGGCTAACCCACTCTTTGTGTAACCTCAACAAGCAAGTTGGACGCTACGCCTGTCGCAAGTCAGTGTTAACGGATAGCAGTAATGGTTGTCTTAGTGCTGACATCGCTTTGAGGGCAGACCTCATTGCTACATTCAGTTTGGGGAGAAACGTTTTACCGAAATTCCATGTCAACAGTAAACTGGCTGTCTGGTCCAGACTCGATTATTCACACACCGTCATCTGAAACTATTCTGCGGCTATAGCCGTAGTTCGCTCTACACATAGCGTAACTATACTTGGTTGGGTGATTGGTCGAGTGATTGATTGAGTGAGTGCTTGTGTGATTGGTTGAGTGATTGGTTGAGTGATTGGTTGAGTGACTGGTTTAGTGAGTGGTTGAGTGAGTGAGTGGTTGAGTGATTGGTTGAGTGAGTGGTTGAGTGCTTGCGTGTGTGGTTGAGTGATTGGTCGAGTGATTGGTTGAGTGATTGGTTGAGTAATTGGTTGAGTGACTGGTTGAGTTACTGGTTGAGTGAGTGGTTGAGTGATTGGTTGAGTGATTGGTCGAGTGATTGGTCGAGTGATTGGTTGAGTGACTGGTTGAGTGAGTGCTTGTGTGATTGGTTGAGTGATTGGTTGAGTGACTGGTTGAGTGAGTGGTTGAGTGCTTGCGTGTCTGATTGAGTGAGTGGTTGAGTGATTGGTTGAGTGACTGGTTGAGTGATTGCTTGAGTGATTGGTTGAGTAATTGTTTGAGTTACTGGTTGAGTGACTGGTTGAGTGAGTGAGTGGTTGAGTGATTGGTTGAGTGATTGGTTGATACCTGAAATATACAACAAGTGTCTGGGACGAAAACAAAAACAAAATGAGTTTCTTATATCCGTCAGTTTCGTTGTAAACGATGTAGGAATATTGCTGAGTTTGTATTCAAAACGCAAACGGACAAAACAAAGAACAATTAAAAAACAAACACACACGTGGATTAAACTACGAATATATTATAGCAGTGTATGAAATAAGGCCCATCCGACCTTTAGAGACTGGCTAGATTTCTGAGTGAGTGAGCGAGTTTAGTTTTACGCCGCACTCAGCAATATTCCAGCTTGGTGTGAACCAAGTCAGCGAGCCTGACGACCCGATCCCGTTAGTCGCCTCTTACGACAAGCATGGGTTACTGAAGATCAATTCTAACCCGGATCTTCACGGGTCGCTAGATTTCTGACGGACGGTCTAAAGTTACAGCTAGCCAGCCCAATGGTCTGGTAAAATTTTTAGATAACATGTTCCATACAACTGAGTATCGGAAGCTCAAAGCACTGCGTTGACATATATTATCACCAAAACAGCGACAAATATCGATGCGCGGAGTCGGATTTTTGTGAAAATGACTGTGGTAAATTGACTGTTAGACAGTAAATACATGTCTCAGGTTCATTAGATTATTCATTGTAACTAAAAATTGAGTTAATTTCTTTAGATTGTCAGGTCTGGTTGAAATTCAATTTGGGCTGATAACATTTTGAAGTTACGAGCACTGATGTCTAGCTGGGTTTTGGGCTTATTTCATAAACTGATTATCGGGTATCAAGACTTGTCTTGCAGAGAAGAAGTTTTGTCCCTAGACACAAAACTCATACAAACTATGCCTTTTTTAAAGTGCTTACTTATTTTTCTTAGAGAACACAACTTCTGCGTTTGGCTGCCAGATATGTGTGTTCTGTTGTCCACAGTTAATGAGACACTTTGGCAGTTACACTAACTGATGAAGGCAAGACATCAGACGTTTCTCAAGATACAAATACGCACTAGATGTTTGTTTGAAGTTAAATGATAAGACATATACCAACACGGTGATTTCCTGTTTTGCACAATCCTGATGTTTCCTGCTAGAAAGCCCTTGATAAATGTAAATACGTATTATAAATAACCGGCTGTGGAGTCGACCTGGATAACGAAATGAGGGTTCAGCGTGCTGAACAGTTTCTGATCCCATGAGAATACTAGCACTATATCTACAGGAATCCTATTGTGTGAGTGAGTGATTGGTTGAGTTGGTTGAGTGAGTGGTCGAGTGAGTGGTCGAGTGAGTGGTCGAGTGATTGGTCGAGTGAGTGGTTGAGTGAGTGGTTGAGTGAGTGGTTGAGTGAGTGGTCGAGTGAGTGGTCGAGTGATTGGTTGAGTGATTGGTTGAGTGATTGGTTGAGTGAGTGGTCGAGTGATTGGTCGAGTGATTGGTCGAGAGAGTGGTTGGGTGCTTGGTTGAGTGAGTGGTTGAGTGAGTGGTTGAGTGATTGGTTGAGTGAGTGGTTGAGTGATTGGTTGAGTGAGTGGTTGAGTGATTGGTTGAGTGATTGGTTGGTTGGTTGAGTGAGTGGTGAGTGGTTGAGTGAGTGGTTGAGTGAGTGGTTGAGTGATTGGTCGAGTGATTGGTCGAGTGAGTGGTTGAGTGAGTGGTTGAGTGAGTGTTTGAGTGAGTGGTCGAGTGAGTGGTCGAGTGATTGGTTGAGTGAGTTGTTGAGTGAGTGGTTGAGTGAGTGGTTGAGTGATTGGTTGAGTCAGTGGTCGAGTGAGTGGTCGAGTGATTGGTTGAGTGAGTGGTTGAGTGAGTGGTTGAGTGATTGGTTGAGTGAGTGGTCGGGTGAGTGGTCGAGTGATTGGTCGAGAGAGTGGTTGGGTGAGTGGTTGGGTGCTTGGTTGAGTAATTGGTTGAGTGATTGGTTGAATGATGGGTAGAGTGATGGGTTGAGAGAGCGGTTGAGTGAGTGGTTGGGTGCTTGGTTGAGTGAGTGGTCGAATGATTGGTTGAGCGATTGGTTGAGCGATTGGTTGAGTGATTGGTTGAGTGATTGGTTGAGTGATTGGTTGAGTGATTGATCGAGTGATTGGTGAGTGAGTGGTTGAGTGATTGGTTGAGAGAGTTGTTGGGTGCATGAGTGGAGTCAGTCATTTAAACGTTGCGGTTTGTAATATCAAGGCGCGGAAGACCAACAAATATCAACGAAAATCCATTTAACATAGGAAATTGTACTTCCAAGTGTTTCCCAGTTTTCATGTGAGAAGTGGGTCTAATATGGAGGGGTCTAAATCGACTACACACTAGATCTTAGCTCTAACAAAACTTTTAACGGAACGTTCGGTCACATGACGTGAAGATGGCTGCCATATTTGTCTCCCAGTGAATTGACCATGACAAAGTTGACCTTTGCTCGCCTCTTACGTTCGCCATAATCTTTCGAAAGGCATTTTAGAAATCAGACAGATACTGATTTATTCACGATGCGTGGCATATTATATATTATCTTATATTTCTGAAAAAGGTTTTCTATAACTGTTTAAAATTTTGATTCCATTTAAATTGAAATGGAGCCCCAGTGTTATGGCAGATTCAAAACCTGAGGAAAATCTAGACTTTCTTCTTTTAGTCTAGTCTGTCTCACAATCCCTGTATCACATTATTTTCCCGAATGCCCAGCCCTCCCTGCATTGCTAAAGCCCAAAATGAAGCCAGTCTAGATTTCCTCGGGTTCTGAATCTCCCAACTCACTGGGTCTCCTTTTCAACTTAAATCCCGTTTATTTCTTACTATCAAAATTATATATATATTAAGAGACTATGCGTTAGTCTACATTTAGTCTTACGTATTGCTGAGAGGACTAGGCGGAAGGGAAATTATACAACAATATAGGTCAGGGACTCTGAAACAGACTAGGACAACGCCTGAAGGCGTAATAGCCTGGTGAGCTAAACAGCAGATGCCGTCTCTTTGTAAGGTATCTGGGCCCAGTAAACAAGTTCGTTCTGTCTGTAAACCATCCCCAGTCAAGCAGTCCTGACGTT